GATGGCTCGTCCGCTTCTGAGACTCATTGACGACCCCCCCCCCCCCCGCCCCTTACCCATGGGCAAGGCCGCGCCTCGGAAGGTCGAGAACGGCATCTGCATGTCCTCGACGCGCCTGTGTCGTGCACAGGGCACGGGCGCCTCTGGAGGTGGCTCTACGAGAGGGTGGCTCTACGGGTGGCTCTACCGGTGGCGCAAGCTCCCCAGAGGGAAGGGGCCGGGAGGGAGGGGGCGGGGAGGGAGGGGGCCGGGAGGGAGGGGGCGGGGAGGGAGGGGGCGGGGAGGGAGGGGGCGGGGAGGGAGGCGGCGGGGAGGGAGGGGGCGGGGAGGGAGGCTGTGGTGCATCTCGGGCACATGCGCATGTGCATGTGCGCACATGCCGGTCAGCTGTGCGCCGTCGAAGGAAGTGTCTAGGGGGTGTCTAGGAAGTGTCGAGGCGCACATGCCGGTCAGCTGTGCGCCGTCGAAGGAGGCGTACGGGAAGTCGGAGTCGGTGATGGAGGCGTCCCTCATGATCGCCTTTTGAGAAGGACGTTGACTGATAATTAACTGCTAATGAACTGCTAATTAAACTACGAACTATGATCGCCCTGTCGAAAGTGACGTTGACTCCCATCGGCTTAGCGCCGCGGATGCTCCGCATGTTGATCATCTGCATCGAAGCCCCTGGGGAGGCAGCAGGCCAGCGGCCGGACTCAGTCACCCCCCCCCCCCTTTCCCTTCCCTGAGTGTGTCCAAACTGCGAGAGCCGCGCGCCGGTGAAGTCCGCATGGTTGATGGTCTAGGAAGTGTCTAGGAAGTGTCTAGGAAGCGCCGGTGAAGTCCGCATGGTTGATGGTCTAGGAAGTGTCTAGGAAGTGTCTAGGAAGCGCCGGTGAAGTCCACATGGTTGATGGTCGCGCCGGTCCAATCAGTGTTGTCGAGCATCGCGCCTAACCTCGGCCCCTCTCGGCTCCTCTCGGCTCTTTCAACGGGTAACAGGTCTCCGGCTCTCGTCAAGGGCACGGGAGGAGGAGGGGGGGGGGGGGGGGCGGGGTGGGCGCGGGTCAAGGTCGCCGGCGAAGTTAGCGCCGGAGATGTCGAGGCCGTCGAGGAGTGCCTGAGAGGTCGGTGTGTTGTGTTGTGCGCTGTTTGAGGGGTCGATCTCGGGTACATCTCGGGTCGATCTCGGCTCCATCTCGCCTTGGAGAGGTCGGCGTATCGCAGGTCTGCGTTCCTCAGGTGCAGGCACCCCTGCTCACACACAGCACACCGTCACAGCATGGGGAGCAGAGGGCGAGGTGTGCTGCCCGAGGCAGAAGAGGTCGCCCTCAGGTCCGCACCAGGGCCAACCAGCAGAAGGCAGGGGTTGGGCGGCGGGGGAGGAAGCGGCGGCGGCGGGTTTGGCGGCTGCGGCGGCGGCGGCGGCTGGGGAGGCGGCGGCGGCGGCCGCTCGACGTATCCCTTTGGCCTGCCCTTTGGCCTGGTCGTCGGCTGAGGCGTGGGGACCACCGCCGCGGCGGCGGGGGCTGCCGCTTGCATGGGCATCGAGAGGGCGCCTCCGAAGGAGGACTTGTGGGCGAAGATGATGTAGCAGCGCGAGGTCGGGATCGGGTACACCGACTTGACTGGGTCCTTGTGCAGCTCGCACACCCACTGCTTCGGCTTGACCTCCGTGAATTCCCACGCCTGTATGCCCGCGGCAGGGAGAGGCGACTCGCGCGCGCGCGCGGCCGAGGCGGAGAGAGGGCCTGCCGCGGCGCGCACCACGCACTCATGCGAATAAGTAGTCACGCACTCCTCCCCGCACTTGCTCTCCGTGACGCCCCACTTCTCGATGTACGACCCTTGGTTGCCGCCGGCCGTCCTGCAAGCCCCTTGCTTGGCCGGAGCCAGCCACTGCGGCTCTCGCGGGCCAGTTTGGACCGGCGCTAGCCAGTACGGTGCCTGTGCCTGCTGCAGGGATCGCATCTGGTGTATGCTAGCGCTGCCCTCTCGCGCCGCCGCCGCCGCCGCCGCCGCCGCCGCCGCGTCGCCCCCCCGGTATACTAGCGCTCGAACCGGAGGCGTCGCCGACCGATTCGCGAGCTCCGCTCCGGCCAAAGGGGCGGTGAGCTGCCACGCATGCAGCAGAAGCACAGACATGAATCTACACTGTGGTTCCGACTCACCGGCGGGCAAAAAGGCGCTGTTCACATCAACGCACAACCCCGAAATCGCACAGTGACAGTCAGACATGCAACACGGGGTCCGCAGCCTGAGTTTTGGCTCAAGCCCCCACCTGCCAGCGCGAAGGTAAGATTGGGCACGGCGCCTGAGACAAAAAAGCCTCTGCAGGAAGCCGCCGCCCTCGGCACTGAAGTTAGTGAATTAGCCGGTTGCTTGGTCGAGGAGTGAATGCGCGCAGGAGGCCGTGGTTGGCGACTGCTGAAAGCGTCCCTCTCTCAGTCACTCCGTCAGTGTGTGAGTGAGTATTCTTGATACGAAACCACGACGACACACACCAGTCGACTCGCATCGGTTGCCTCCATGAACGGCGGAGCTATTCTCGCGCCCACACCACACCTGGCTCCAACGTGGACACGCCCATAGCTGGGGACACTACTAGGTCACGCATGGCATCACAGAAGTTTTATCTCTGGGCCCCGAAAGGCATCTCTAGCAGTGTCGTTACACATGCCCCCTCCCCTCCTGGGCGCATGCGCCTCACGTCTCGCCAGAGCATAAGCCCTTGGCGTGTAGCGAGACGAGTTTTTCGCCATGCAGCGAGCAGCAAGCCGCCCGCCGCAAACAGCCGGAGGCCTCGCCGCGGCACTGGCTGCGCCGCGGTCCCGCACCCGTCGACGCAGCTCCCCCCGCGGAAGACCGCGCGTAGCGACGTCTTGACGATCGAGATGAGCGTGCCTGAAGCTCGCCCACCTACTGCCCCTGAGAGTTGGTTATTGAGTGGGATCAGCTCCCCCCCTTGGGATCGAAGCCGCCACAACCTCACACCCAACATCCCAGGCGGGATCAGAAGGGGACTCCACACCGGACACCGCCCGGGCACAACCCCCCTACCCGTCGGATCGCACAGAGGGCCCCCTCGGAGCAGCCCACACACAATCACTCACACACACTCACTCCGTCACTGAGACGAAGGAGTGGTCGACGCAGGAGGCTGCCCTCGGCGACTACTTCCTCGCCCTCGGGCTGGCGTTCCAGCTCCTCGACGACGTCATCAACCTGCAGGTCATATCTCCCCATATCTCCCCATATCTGTATCTCCCCAGCTCCTCGACGACGTCATCAACCTGCAGGTCATATCTCCCCATATCTCCCCATATCTGTATCTCCCCAGCTCCTCGACGACGTCATCAACCTGCAGGTCATATCTCCCCATATCTCCCCATATCTGTATCTCCCCAGCTCCTCGACGACGTCATCAACCTGCAGGTCATATCTCCCCATATCTCCCCATATCTGTATCTCCCCAGCTCCTCGACGACGTCATCAACCTGCAGGTCAGTCCGCAGCCAGTCAGTGGTACACACCGTCCTCCCTGCAGGTCAGTCCGCCAGTCAGTCAGTGGTACACACCGTCCTCCCTGCAGGTCAGTCCGCCAGTGGGGGGGGGGGTCTTGCTTGCTCCACACCGAGCGCCATCGGTCCGGACCGGCGTGGTCACCGAGGGGTGGCCTGCACAAGGTCTGAGCCGCGGGCGCTCGGCGCCAAGTGCGGTGTCACGCTCGCGCTGGAGCGGGACACAATGGGAAACCCTCGTTTCCTATGAACTCGGTCCCCCAACGGAAGAGGCCTCGCTCCTATTGGAACTGGCCAACATCAGATTTGCCTCTCGTGCGTCCCTTTTTGAGCCGGAAAGCTATTTTCTTTTGGGTCCTGTGGGCACCCTAATGGAGCTCCAAACACCCTCTGTTTTCCCTGGAAATTTCCGGAAACGCAAAGTGCTGGGGACCCTCTGTTTTCCTTTTTGTTTGCCGGAAAAGTATAGGAATTCCTATACAGGCCAAGAGAGAGGCCCTGGAGGATCGAGTTTCGTGATTGCTGAGGCGCTGTTCACAGTTTTGCGGAGTGGTCTTGTTTTGCATGTGTGCGGACGTGTTGTCGCGATCTGTCCGGCTGCACATTCGTCTGAGCCAAAATGGAGAGATGCTCGGACCGCCGCTTGCTTCTCCTCGCGACCCTCTGTCACGTCGCGCGCGCGCCCTGCGGCCCAACCTGCACGGGCGCCGCACTCCGGCGATACGCGACCAACCGCGGCGGCAGCTTCACGTGCGGTGCGCGTATCGAGTGGTTGCGCGCGAACCGCGGGATGGGCGAGGCGGAGGCGTGCCAGCGAATTGCAGGCACGGAGTTCCCCGTTGAGTGTGGCGCCTGCGCTCCAGCCGGCGCCGCTGCGGCAGCAAAGCTGGTCCCGTCCTTCGTCTGGGCCGGGCCCGGTGGCGGCAAGTCGAGCGGAGCATGTCGCACCGCTTCAGGCGGGGAGGGCTCCTTCGACGACGTCTACGACACGTCCGTGGAGGCGTGCAAGGAGCGCTGCGCCTCGCGCCTCGCCTGTGTGGCAATCGAGCACCACACGTACACGAGCGGCGGCCGGAGCGGTCGCACTCGCTGTGCGAGCTGCACGCGCGGAGATCACGTCACCCTGCCACCCTGGCCCTGGCCCTGACCCTGACCTGTGGCCCTAGGCGAGCTGCACCGCGCGGAGATCACGTCGGCCGTGCCGCTGATGCACCCGGTCCTCTGCCTGACCAAGGTGTGTCTTCAACCCCTAACCCTCGGACCCGGCCCCTCGACCCGGCCCCTGACCCAACACTAACCGATACCCCGGCCCGCTGTGATCCCGTGTCTGCAAGGAGCGTCCCGCCCCGCTGCCTCCGCCGCCGCCATCGCCGCCGGCGCCGCCGAGAGGGCCGCCGGCACCGCCATCGCCGCCGACGCCGCCTGCAGTGCCGCCGCCGCCGCCCGCGCCTCCGCGGCTGCCACCGACAGCGCCGCCGCCGCCGCTTCCGCCGCCGCCGCCGCCCGAGTTCCTCGACCCGTGTCTCTCGTACGGCCGTCGCTGCCGGCTCAAGTACGAGGACGGCTTCGAGTCGGGCTCACCCGACGAGCAGAGCGTGGAGCATCTCCCCGAGATCGCCACAGGCCAGAGCCGAGGTCCGCCGAGAGTAGGCTACCTCGACGAGGCAAAGTGGAACGTCGAGGTGCGGAACGACGGGATTCGCGGCGATGGCGACGAGGCGCGCGCCGCGTCATATGCCGCGTCATATGCCGCGTCATATGCCGCGTCATATGCCGCGTCATATGCCGCGTCACAGAGTCTCGGGTGGGCTTGATGACGGCCGCTGTCACAGCCACCCTCACCGTGAATCACCACGGCAGTCACACCACCGCCCACACCACCGCCCACACACCACGCACACACCACGCACGCGGCTGTGTCACGGCCCGACCAGCCGAGTGCGCGCGCCCGACTCCTCTCGCCTCCTCCCGCCCGACTCCTCTCGCCCCGCACACGGCCCGCAGGAGCAGTTCTACGTGCGCGACGGGGTGGAGGTGTCGGGAGGGAAGGTGTGCCGCTGAAGCTGTGCAGCAGACTCCTCCCGAGATCCGCCGAGATCCGCCGAGATCCGCCGAGCTCAGGTGCACCTCAAGCTCTACTACGACTCGTCGCGCACAAGCGCACAGGGCGCCAGGCGCGACGCTCGAGCGTCACGCTTGCCTCTCCCCCTTAGCCCGCCACTTGCCTGGAACGCCCACCCGCCCGCCTTGCGCCGGAGAGGAGCCGCCCCAAGTGAGACTCCCCCTCTCAGCTCCACCGCACCTCACCCGCGCACCTCTGCGCACCTTCAGGTGCAACGCCGACGAGCTGAGGCGCGCGGCAGACTGCCCCCCTGTGCTCTCAACCTGTCTCAACCTGCTGGGGCGTTACAGGGCGAGGAGATGCGGCTGGATAGCCTTCGATCGCCGCTAGCCCTTGTGGCGAGGCCTGCACCCCACTGCGCACGCCCACAATGTTTTGCATGCAGGTACAGCACGGAGCCGGCGGGCCGATCCATCTGCGAGCGGAGCGCCGCCCGCCATCCGACAGGCTTCTTCTCGGGCCGCATCAACACAAAGGACAAGGTGTGTGTGTGTCACCTGCACGGCGCGGTCGGGGGCGCGGGACTCGTCTGGGTTGAGGTGAGTGCGTCGCATCTCTATAGGTGGAGGTCCTGCACGGCGTGGTCGAGGCGCGGGTCAAGCTCGCGGACCGGAACGACTACTCGTGGAGCGCCTTTTGGGCGCTCGGCACGCAGGTCGGCTCGCGAGGGTAGTGGTGGTAGAGGCGACCCCTGAACCCCGAGGCCGGACCCCCTCCGCCCGCAGGTCGGCTCGCGAGGGTGGCCCTTTTGCGGCGAGTCGGAGATCACCGAGATGTGGACGACGTCGACGCAGTGGTCAAAGTGGAAGGACGGAGTGGGAGACGCGATGAGGCCCGCCTTCACCCTCCACTCCTACCACTCCGTCCCGGGCGACTTTGCCGCGGCGAGGGCAAACAAGCAAGCCTGGGCGAGCTCTCTCCGAGACGCCCTCCCCCGCTCATCGACAGCTCCCCTCTCGCCGGCCCGACCCCGACACACCCAGGACACACGCCGCTCTCCCCGCCCGTCGCAGGTGTCCTACAACGAGGGCGCCTACGCCGACGGCACGTACGACCCACACGGCTACAACGACTACCGCTGGGTGAAGATGCCAAACAAGATCGCGTGGTTCGTCAACGAGAGGCCTGTCGCCGAGGCGTGGAACGGGGGCGGGCAGGTGCGGATGCGGATTCACAATGGGAGATGGTGGGGCGGCGAGTTCGGGGACGGGCTCTGGGCTCCGTTTGACGACCCGAGGAACCCGATGTTCCTCATCTTCAACCTGGCGTTCGGCTCCGGCGTGTCGCTCGGCGGTGCCAAGGACATCAACCGCTTCCGGAAGAATGGGGAGCTAGACCGCGCCAGCATGGAGTACGTGCGCGTGTGGGAGGTGGCGTCGTAAGTCAGTAGTAAGTAAGGGGTATAGGTGGTAGGCATGCGCATGGTTGATTACATACTGTTCCAATTTTCAAAGCAAACAATCGACATGCTGCTGCTGAATGACAACCTTGACAAGGTAATGCTCACCACGAAGCCCCATGGAGATGCACATAAAGCCGTATATGTGTGGCATGTGGTGTGTGTGCACACCACATGCCACACATCTCCACATGCACATGCACATGCACATGGTCATGGACATGTCACAAGAATGCATGCACATGCGCATGTCATGCACACATCCATGCAGACACGAGACTACACCCCCCCCCCCCCCTCTCTCCACCACAGTGCCTAGATGCGCCCGACTACCTCCTGGCCTTCAGACTCAAGCTCACCCAGGCCCCATCCCAGCCAGCCCACACGGCCTCGCTGTCCAGCCCGCTCGCCCGGAAGGGCGAAGGCATCCTGCTCCTTCCGCGCTAGGTTCTTCCACGCCCGGCAGTCCAAGCCAGCCGCCGCGGCACAGGAGCGGGGGCAGTGGGTTCCCTCTCGATCGACGTCAGCTAGTGAGTGATATGAATTTCGCTCGGTCGGGGCCCCGCCCGGGGGTCGCAGACCTCCATGCCACAGAGAGATTCACCCTTGGGGACCCGCTGTGTGCGGGGCAGGTAGGTAGGTAGGAAGGTGAAGAACAGTCAGGCTCGCGGGGCGCGCCCCTGCCCAGACACGGCGGCAAGAAACTGCTAGCTGTCGCCCTTTAGGGCGACATGATGGTGTTTTGGCGCGAGGGGGGGCGTGCAAGTGGCTAGAATGCCTAGCGCCGTCGTCCTGGGGGGGACCCGTCCTGACCGGGGAGGGTGCCCGCCGGAATTCCGGCGAAGACTAGCACTCCAGTCGTGGTCCCATTGGTCAGACGGACCTGCGCTCCCTCGTGTGCCTGCCGGGTTCTCTCCGAGGGTGAAACAGAGAGACGGTGAAACCGACTCGGACGGGCCCCGCAACGCGCGGCGACGCTGCGAGGGACACACATGCCTCCGACCGGGCTCCCCGCTAATGCGATGCACATGTGGGAGTTCCTGGAGGAGCTATCACAGTCAGATCCGGCGGAGTACGACAAGTTTGTCAAGGAGCAGCTCGCCAGCGCATCCGCACCCAACCAACGGCGGGTTCCAGAGGCTGGCTTCTGCGTGCGAGCGGCGACTGGCAAAGCTCGCACGCCACTGTGGATCAACATCTGCTCGCATCCTGCAGTGAAGCCACCTTCGTCGACGTCGGATGGCTCCGTTCCGCTCGCGGTTGGAGTGCCCCGGGGTGCAGTGCTGAGCGTGGCCGGCGCAGCTGAGGAGCGGGGCTCAGTGTGTGATGTGGTGGTGGCAACCGAGGTGACGGCGCGCGCGCTGCGCGAGGAGGGCTTTCGTGAGGAGCTGGCGGCGCTCGCTGTTGACTGCGTCAAGGAGGTCCTAGGCCAGAAGCAGCTGCTGCCTGGTGGCCATCCGCTTGCGCCCGGATTCCGCTCGCTGCCTCCAAGCCGCACTCCATATGTTGGCCAGGCGGTCGCCTTTGTGGACGCGCGAAGCGACTCGGCGGAGGGCCACTCTGGCAAGAACGATGAACTGGCTGCGGGGCTCGAGAATGTATTGCAGCAGTTGGGAGGGCTCGACGGCGCGGCGGGCAAGGGGAAAGGCGCCGTTGCGGACCTTGCCTCTCTCAAGCGTGCCATGGGGCTGGGCGGCGGCAGCGGCGGCATCGAAGCGGCTTCGGGCGCAGCAAACGAGCCGCGAGACGAGGCGACGGGGGACGGGAGCGGTCTGCGGCTGCCTGGGGGTGCCACCGCGCCGAGGGCGGCGGTGCGGACGGCCGCTGCGGGCGGTGGAGCGGGGCAGGCGGCCGGGCCGCTGGTCCAAGTCGTGGGCTCGATTGACGCACCGCCGGAGGTGCCGGATCACTCCATCGAGGAAGTGGAGGGAACGCTGAAGCTGCGAGTGGAGCTTCCCAGGCTGGACTGTGCGGCCGGGCTCGACGCGCGGCTGAGTGACACCTCTGCGGTCCTGAGGGTTGACGGCCTGTACGAGCTCAAGCTCGAGCTGCCGCGCACCGTCGACTCGGGGCGAGCCAGCTGCAGGTTCGACAAGAAGAGGCGAAGGCTCACGGTGACAATGCCAGTGCGATGATCGCAAGCGCCCTGCGTCAGCGTGTGCGAGTCTGTGTGAGCTCTCGGGCGCTCTCTTCTCTCTTCTCTCGTCTGACCACTGTGCACTGACTCCAGTGACACTGACTATAGAAAAACAAACAGGTACAAAACGCGACAAAAGACGCTAGTCGAGCGCGGAACCCAGATAGAAGACCTTCGGTGCGCTGGGCCGGCCATTCGTCTCCGATGGCACCCGAACGCCGATCCAGTGGCCAGCTACGCCGACAGCTCCAAAGAAATCGTCATTCTCGAACAGCGTCGCCAGGGCGGATTCCTCAGCCGTGGGTTTCAGCTGGACAACTGTAAAGAAGGTGAAGTCCTGTACGAGATTGCTCGGTCCGGAGAGCGCGTCAACCGCAAGCGCCCCCCGTGCGAGGGTCTCGCCAAGCACCCCGTTGCGCTTGCGGAGCCACACGCGAAGCGCGCGCACAAAGGAGTTCCTGGAGGGTTTGGTGAGGTAGACAATGCCCAGCAGAGCAGCCAGCGAGAGCACGCGCGGCATATGGCTCTCGTGTGCCGATCAGCTATTGCAGGAGCGCCCCGCTCGGTGTGAACAGAGTTCGAGTTCGAGGAGCTGGGAGCTCCGCAACTCGAGATCCCTCGAGAGTTCACGCGGAGTGGGCTGGGGCTATCCAGACAGTCAGTCGCCCACACTCGCCTCTCCGAGAGCGCTGCGCAACCACGGGCTACTAATCATAGAGGCTCAAGTGACAAGTCCACACACATTACCCAAATCCCAATACTACGATTCGATCACAGTTTCTGGAGCAGCTGCTCCCCGCGCTCCACCAGCCACCCTCCCATGTCCCACCTCCGCGGCCGGCTGGGCTTGACGCTGTCCTCCTCCGACGCCGTCGGCGACTCGGTCGAGAGGAGCTGGGAGGGCGAGAAGCAGCCGGCCTGGTGCGGGCCGGTCGCGCACCCGCCCGGCCAACGCCCGGCGCTGCAGGCTGCGTGCTGCGAGCTGCTGCCCCCGCCGTCCTGGCTGCCGGCGGCGCCCCCTCCCCCCAGCAGCGAGAGCTCGGTCGGAGGGTATGCGCTACTCAAGCTGCTCTGCCGGTACGCGTCGCTCGGCACGTCGCCGCCGCCGAGCAGGCCCCGCCGGCCCTCCTCGCTCGGCTGGCGCCTACAGGAAGGCTCCGGGAAGCTTCCGAGGAATGCTCCGAGAGAGGACGCCGCCTCTCCTCGCCCGGGACGCGCCGCATCGGCAGCTTGCGCCGCGCGCCCGCCCCGCCCGCCCTGGCGGCGCGCGGCGCGCCGCCGCCGCCACCACCGCCACCACCGCCTCCGCCCGCGTCGTCGGCGTCGCCTCCGCTCGCCTGGGCTGAGCACGGTACACTGCTGAGGTACGCTGAGGGGTGGGTGAGTGAGTGGACGACCCCGCAAAACGCTGAGGCTCTGCTAAGGCTCGCCTGGCTCAGCGCTCGCTGCACGTGCGGCGAGTAGTCGACGGCGGCGCCCTCGGAGCAGCGGTTGAGCTCGATCGCCTTTGGTGATTACCATTCTCACGATTAGGAGTAGGACCACTCTGACTGCTATTGTTGTTGTTGAGCTCGAGCGCTTGGGGGGCGTGTCGTGGGCGTGTCGTGGGCGTGTCGTGGGCGTGTCGTGGGCGTGTCGTGGGCGTGTCGTGGGCGTGTCGTGGGCGTGTCGTGGGCGTGTCGTGGGCGTGTCGTGGGCGTGTCGTGGGCGTGTCGTGGGCGTGTCGTGGGCGTGTCGTGGGCGTGTCGTGGGCGTGTCGTGGGCGTGTCGTGGACGTGTCGTGGGCGTGTCGTGGGCGTGTCGTGGGCGTGTCGTGGGCGTGTCGTGGGCGTGTCGTGGGCGTGTCGTGGGCGTGTCGTGGGCGTGTCGTGGGCATATGGTGGACGTGTCGTGGACGTGTAGTGGACGTGTCGTGGACGTGTCCCTCCCCGCCCTCGGCCCAACGGGTTCGCCTGCAGGACCTTGCTCGTCATCGCGTCGCCCGCGCCGCGCGGCGCGGTGGCGTGGCCGCGGTAGCGCAGCTCGAAGACCTCCGCCGACACGCCGACAAAGTCGTCAAAGAAGAGGCGGAGGTAGAGATACTGCCGCAGCGGCCAGTCGAGGCACCGCTTGCGCTGCGCGAGCTTCTCGAGCCACTGTGCGTGCCTGTTGGCGGAGGAGGCCTCAGATCACTCCGACGCACGAGTCCAGAGCTTCTCGAGCCGCTGGTGCGCGCCGCGAGAGCGCCGCCACCTGCGCCTCCTGCACGAGCGGGTCCACCATGCGTGACCCGTCCTGAGGGAGGCCGCGCGGGTGAGAGGGCGGTGGCGGGCGACCTCGGGTGATCTCGGGCGATCTCGGGTGATCTCGGGCGATCTCGGTCCTGCGCGTTGAAGTTGCCAGAGTGGGCGAGGGCGGGAGGGAGCCGGAAGCGCTTGTAGAGCCGCTTGAAGGCGCGGAGGGTGTGCCTGCCATTGGGAGGGTGGTTTCGGGTACCGTGGGGTAGGGGAGGGTGTGCCTGCCACTCCGATATGCTTGATCACTGACGAGTCCCTTGATGCCGCTCGACGGCGCGGGGGGGGGGGGGGGGGGGGGCGGGTCCCCGACCCGGTAAAGCACCCCCCAAATGAAAAAAACGGAAAGGATGATGTCTCCTTGCATCAGCGAGTAGATGAAGGCGATCGCGAGGAAGGAGAGGGTGCCGAGGAAGAAGGCGAGGAAGACGAGTCGGTACTCGAGAGCGAGTCCGTCCACCGCCCGGTCCATCGCCTCGACGCCGTCGCCACGCAGCGCGAGGCCCGGGCCGAAGAGGGCGAGGCAGTTTGCAAAGAACATCGCCCCCAGGTTGAGCGTCATCGCCGCCGTCGCGCACAGCACAAACAGCACCCGCAGCGCCTCTGGTGTCGCCGACGCCTCGGCCAGAAAGCCGGGCGGCGGCGGAGGGGACGGCGGCGCGTAGGGCTGGGAGGGCGCCGCAGGCGGCTGGGAGGGCGCGTCGTCGAGTTGACCCACCACCTCGCGCCCCTCGAACCGCACTCCGTATTCGAAGCAGACGAACGCAAAGCCGGCAAACACGGACGCCTGGGCAGGCGCGCGAACAGCGACGAGGGTGAGGCCCGCTCCACAGCGGGCGATGGGCGCAGCGAGGGGCGAGAAGGCAGGCGGCACCTGCGTGCCGATGGTCCGGCAGTTTGCCGTGTAGAAGCGGAGCTCTCGCTCACGGATCGCCAGCAGCTGGACGCGGAGGTCCGCCTCAACGTCCTGCTTGTTGGCATAGAGCATCCGCCGCCGCAGCGAGTGCCGCGGAGGTGCCGCTCAAGACAGGGAGCTAGCGGAACGGATGTGGTGGTGAGGCGGGAGGCGGGTGGAGAGAGGCGGTCAAACAGGGAGGCGGCGCGCTTATATCGCGCAGAAAAAAGAACATATCCCTTACGCCGGCATCGAGCGAGCAACGTGATCGACCGAGCGGCTTGCTGTGCGGACGCCTTCTTGTCGCTCTCTGTGCCAGCCCTCCAACGTGATAGGAACGAGTGTATCGCTTTGACGGATCGACCGTGCTTGCTATCAAGACTGATGTGACGCACACAGTGACACATCAGACGACATATGCAGGGGGACAAGCGGGGTTTTAAAAACAAGAACCGAACGGAACAAGGAAAAGAAATCGTGGGCGGGGGGGGGGGGGCTGTAACCCCAAAGGGGTGCGTGTGTAAAGAAACATATGGAGCGAGGAGCGGGGTTTTAAAAACAAAAGAGTTTTAGAAGGAACTCCCTTGCACAACACTGGGCAAGGGACTGGCGCGCACTGGCAGAAAAAAGAACATAGCCAGAAACGGAGTTTTAAAAACAAGAAGCGAAAAGGACAAGGAAAAGAAATCGCGGTCGGCGGGGGGGGGGGGGGGGCCTTGACCCCCAAGGGGGGCGGGGGGGGGGAAAAAAAATAAACCCCGCCCCCCCCCCCCCCAGGGAAAAAAAAAAATTTTGGGAGGGAATTAAAAAAGGAAAGGTTTAGAGGAGAGGAGAAAGGGGGAAAAAGGGGGAAAAAGGAAAAAGCTTGGAAAAAAGAGGGGGCCCGGGGGAAAAAAAAAAAAAAAGGGGGGGGCCCCCAAGGGAGGGAGGGAGGGAGGGAAAAAAAAGGCCGAACCACCCAAACAAGAGTATCCAGGGAAAAGAGAGGGAGAAAGTTAAAAGAAAAAAAAACGTAAATTTGTGATGTGTAAAAAACACCATCGCAAATACCATGTCGGAAAAGAATTTGTATGTCACACAGAGGGACAGGCTCGACACAGGACACAGGTGCGGACTGGCGCGTGCTAGCACTAACACAGGCAAACCACCGGAGCCGGAGCGTCGTGCTCGTGGCGCAGCCAGATTAAAAACAACCGACCCACTTTCTGCCCTTTATGTCACTAGCAGACCTTGCGCGCATGCGCGCCGTAGTGTTTTTCAGAGAGAGAGAGAGAGAGATTGTTTTTCAGTGTATGTAGCTCTTACGAACATACCCGTAGGTGAACTGCTGACAGGGTTTGCGATGAGGAGCGATCCGAAACGTGGTATTCGGGTGATTAGATCACTACCGCCGAAGCGCAAGCGCTTTTCTGTCTGCAACAACAGCCCGAAACCAGTATTTATTTCTTAGTATTTATACATATCTAATGAAAAAGTAACCTGGTAACCAAGGTAACCTGCGAAAACTCGGCCACCCAAAATTTTTTTTCAGAGGCTGAGAAAAAAATATTTTTTGGCTGAGTTACTGTGCCGTATCAAAGTCTGTGCAAGTGTGAACAGCAGCTCCTGACCACGGCGCCGCAGGCGCCTGTTGATAGGTCCAGGTGATAGCCCTGTATAGGCAATGCATACGCCTAGTCGGGCCTCAGATCGCCCGACCGCGTCCCGGTGCTCTGTGGTCGGATTTGTGACGCCGCCGCACCGCGCCGCGGCCGGGGGCCCTCCGGAGGCCGAGGATGGCCGTGACGGACCGGGACGAGCTCTGGGAGGTTCAATGTCAGTGTATATATTGTAGAGACTAACCATGTGCACAATATCTTTCAGTCTAGCTAAGCCTGGGAAGGCAATGCTGGGGCCGTAAAGCAGCTTGATGATGCTTCGCCGGCGTGCGTCCCGGAGCGGTGCCAGACGGGCGGTCCGTGGGAGGAAAATGGAGGACAACGCCGACGGCGCTCTGATTCGACTTTTTACTTCAAACAAAGACAGCCGCACGCGCCGCAGCGCGGCGCGTGCGACTGTCAGGAGCGGATCCGTCAGTTAGTCGTGTTCACGCCGGGATCGTGTCCTCCGCAACCTGCACAGACTTTAGGCCGCAACAGTAGCAAAAACACGACACGCTCGAATGGGACACTGCCGCAAGCCTGACACGAGTAAGTGTGTACTCGCAAGGGGGGCAGTTCCCAGTGAAACAGCAAATCCAGCCCGGCAGACCGGGAGAGCCCCCCAGGCGTGAATCGCGCGCCGCCGCCATCCGCCTCTGCGCCACTCGGCAGGCAGCGCAAGGCCCTCGTACGGCTTCCCCGGCCTGGCGCCGATCGAGACGCCCTTTCCGTCGGGCGCGACGACGCCGATCCCGAGGCGAGACGCGTCGGGCGGCCGGCCAGGTCCGACCGCGTCTGTGACTTGGCGCGGGGTGCCCCACTGTGGGGTCGCGCCAGCACTGCTGGCGGCGGCTCCTCGCGCTCCTCGTCGATGGTGTCGCTCCACAAGACGCAGCTCTCGAGCCGGGGCTCGGAGGCGTCGCTGCCCGTCAAGGCCGCCGCGCCCGCCGCCGCGCCCGCCGCCGCACTGGCCGCGTCGACGTCTGCACCCGACACGCCCACCTCGCCAGCGGCTGCTGCGCCCGCCGCGGTGCTCCCTGCTGCCGTGGCGGAGGAGCAGGAGGCGGTCGGCGAGGGGGTGTAGGCAGTCGGTCTGCGTGCAGGTCAAGGTCTCGGTGTGTACTCTCTGAAGTACAATCGTTTTTTGTTTCTTTCTTTCGGAACAGGCCGCCCCCACCAGGGGATGCAGGAATATGTTTTTGAGGAGAGGGTTTGGTTTAATCTTTAAAGACTAAAGTACAAAAAGAATTAAAGTATACCCATGGCACCCGCCAACTCTTGCGTGCACAGTGGCACGGCCGGCGGCGGGGCCGGCGCCGGCGGAAGCAAGCAGCCCGGATGTGCAGCGCGCCATCGGTAACGCGAGATCGCGCTGCATGCACGCTGGACGTGGCCAGTCCAGCCGCATCGATCAGGTTGAGCCGCAAGTACCAGGGTAGAGCACGATAAGTTGAGTGCGCGGGAAGAGGTGTGGGCGCCAACGTCGCAACGATGCTGCGGAGAGGGCAGAGCCAGCGTGGGCACGCATTGGTCGCGAAGCATGCTGCCCCGAGCCCGCCGATGAACAAGCCGCGGGCTGGCAGTAGCCACGTCAACCCACCGCTGTGCAATGGGCAAAGCGCGAGCCCAGCAGTTCAGTCAGGCACGAACGCTGCACCGACGGCGGCGGCGGCCTCGGGGCGAGCGCGACCGAACGCGCTTGCGGTGTCGCCGCCATGCTGTCCTTTCGTATCGACTCCACAGCTGCTGCTCATGCGGGAGCTCGGCATATGCACAGACATCGATACTCGACGACGATACCGGTCACGCACAGGAGCGGCACGCCCTCATCTAATGAACAGCGGCCCCGCCACACACCTTTCGCGGCGCGCCACCCATCCCAGCACCGAGCGCTCCGAGGTGGCCGCGAGGGGATCCGAGTGGTGGCAAAGGGGATCCCTCTCCCTGCGGCTGTGGCCGCGCTCCACCGCAGAGCTTTGCGTCGAGCGAGAGGCCTAGAGCGTGATGCCGCGCTCCTCGCACACGGCCTTCAGCTCAGGCTGCTCCTTGTTGTCCACCTCTAGCGTCTGCACGCGAAAGGAGGCGCGATGAGCATTGGGCGGGGGGGGGGGGGCGAGGGGGTGTCTCGCGCCTTCAAGCTCGGGGCGGCCCCCTCCTTGAGGGCGGCGGACAGCGCCTTGCAGCCCTCCTCGCCGATCCTGTTGCCGACGAGATTGAGCTTCTCGAGCCGCGGCGCTGCCCCCTCCTTGCCGAGGGCGGCGGCCAGCGCCTTGCAGCCCTCGTCGCCAATCTTGTTGCCGAAAAAAGAGAGCGTCTCGAGCCGCGGTGCTGCCCCGCTCGCGAGGACCTCCGCCAGCTGCGCCGCCTCCGCGTCGCCCCAGCCGAGCATGTCGTAGCTCAGCTCCGTCGCCTTGCCAAACTGCTCCTCGAAGGCGGCCTCGTACAGCTGCTTCACGAGCGGCTTGTCGTCCTTGCCGTTGGTGAAGCTCTTCTTCTCCAGCTCCACCGCGAAGGCAGACGGCAGCAGCGGAGGGCGCCGGCCGCCGTGCTGGCCCCAGTCCGCTCGGAGGCGGCCGTAGTCGTACTCCTTGCCGTCGCGCATCTTGCCGAGGTCGAGCGAGAGGAGGCCGGACTTTGTCAGGCTCGCACAGCTCTGCTCCGTGAAGCACCAGCCGCGGTCAAAGTACTCGGCCACGTTGGTGCCCTCGGGCTGGTCCTCAGCCTTGTGGCCGTCCGGGAAGGAGGTAAGCCGCAGCACGGTCGTGTGGGGGTGGGAGTAGAGCGTGCCGAGGCAGCCCAGCCCCTGCTTGAAGAGCGCGTTCTGCTCCTCGCTGCGCATGACGCCGTTGGGGGGGTCGGGGTGCTGGTGCAGCGAGCCGAAGTCCCAAAAGACGCCGAGCCGCGTGATGCGAGGATGCGAGAGCAGGGCCTTGAGCGCCCTCGCGACACGGGTGAGGTTGGCTCCGCGCGGGTCGGGGTGGTCCTTGGTCAGCCACGGGGAGGAGAGCGCGGCGACGGCAAGGTCAAAATCGCCGGTCGCCTTGACGAGGTCGGCGAGGGAGAGGAAGGCCTCTTCGGGCAGTGCCTGGCGGTGGTTGAGGACGCCGCCCGCCTCGGCGTGGCTGATTATCCACTGCGCGTCGAGGAGGGCGACGGCGCCGCTCGCGAGGACCGGCTCAAGGGAGTCGCCGCCGAGCTTGCGCCACCACTCCAGCTCAAAGCGTTTCACGCCGAGATCGGTTGCGGAGGGGAGGGCATTGCGTTGGTGGAGGCAGGGCAGCGACTGCTTGAAGCATGCGCGCATGGACAGCATCGCGATGGTGCTCAACAGCGGCTCGCTCGACAGGCTCGGCGACCTTACACGCACATGTACATGTACAGGTCCGCGAATCGTTGGCTCAAAGCGTGTCACGCGCGGTTTTCTAATTAGGCAAGTCCGTGGGCAGAGCGTCGTGGTCCTACCCTTTGCGATAGAGTTGCTCATGAACCGCTCTGCCGGTGCTTCCGTCACTGAGTCGGTGACGCTCAGTGAGGTGACTCTGCGCAAGTACGCGAGCAGCCGCCAAGCCAGCGCCAACCACTTCGAGTGGCTCAGGAGCGTGTGCCCCGAGCTCTACATCTTTGTCACAGTTTCAGAGAAGGGCGACTGCTGCGAGTGGAGGCTGCGGCACGGCACAAGTTTGTCTGGCCCACTCCTGCGATCGCATTGCTCGAGGAGTGGCACGGTTCGCTACTACGGAGACAGTGAGCAGTGGGTGCGCGAGGAGTTTGCCAACGGCAAGGTGTACCACTACGAGGGTAAGCGCGGCTCGGAGCGGGTGGTGCGCGTGGTGCGTGCCGACGGTGCCGTTGGGCTCTACGAGGGCGACAAAGGCGCGGAGCGGATGGTGCGCCTGAAGGAGCCCAACGGCACGGTGTGGCAATACGAGGGCGAGCAAGGTGCTCTGCTGCGCGCAGAGGAGGTGGCGGAGGCAGCGGCAGCGGCGGAGGCGGAGGCAGCGGCGGCGGCGACGGCGAAGCCCGTCGCCAAGCGGGCGAGGACGGCCCCGAAGCCACCGCAGCAGCCGCAGCAGCAGCCGAGCCCACAGCAGCAGCCGCAGGAGGCGGCGGACGAGGTGGAGGAGAAGGAGGACACGCCGATCCGAATATCTCTCACCCCCCGCTGGCTGTTCATAGGCCATCCAGACGACCTTGCCGGCGGGCTGGGTAGAGGGGGCTATGGTAGTCAACAAGCATTCGGCGACCGGCGTGATCAAGTCCGTCGGCAACGGCAAAATCACGATCTACTGGCCAACGGCAGATATCCACAAGCAGGTCAAAGGGTTTCAGGAGATCCAGAAGAAGGAGATCCAGAAGAAGAAGCTGTCAGGTGCATGGGCCTTCGACGAGTGCCCCATTGCGGACGCTCTCAACAAGTACGCTCTTGTTGGCCAGGGCGAGCGCACCTCCAGGCGCCGGTGACTGTTCTGTTTCGATCGCCGCTTGCCCGCGCTTGCTGAGGCGGGCGGGCGCCAGCGATTTGAGCAGCGGGAGGACCCAATCATGGTTTTTAGTCTCTCTTTCGTGCAAGTCTCGTGGTGCTGTTCGCGCAGGGGGGTATGGGAGGTTAAGTGCGCGGTAGGTGTCCCACGCAAGTGCGAAAGGAAAGGTTTTGGCGGTCAGCGACGATCGCCGCTAGGTGCTGATTGGCTGGGATGAGACCAAGTACGCTGCGGCGCGGCAACGGCGACCCCCTCGCGCACCCTGTATTGTTACTTTTTGAACAGTAAGCAAGCAGCCCCTCTCCCCTAGGTTAGGTTAGCCACCCGAAGAGAGAGGCGAGAGGCACAGGTCACGGCACGCAGTGTGGTCACGGCACAGTGGTACTTGCGCGAGTGGCACGCGTCGTGAGAGCAAGTACAGTCGCCGGTCGCGAGGCGAGGCTCGTCATCAAGCCGTCAGCGCACACTGGCCATTGGATGCTTGGCCTCAGTACCACTTAGCGACGCCGGTCTCGAGCTTGAAGTCGATCTTGGCGAGGGTCCGCTCCGGGTGGCGTGTACCCTCGCGTATCCACTGGCGGACGCGCCGGTTGGCCTCGCGGAGGAAGCGCGCGGATGGGCAGCCGCCCACGCAGGGCAGGCAGGTGCCCCCCAGGGTTTCGAGCGCTGTGGCATCGTAGTCCCCTCGCTCCTGATTATGAAACCATGGGGGTCCGCCATTCCAACGACCCCCAGCATAAGCATCATGGGGGTTCGCCAGTCGGCAGTCACAAGCCTGGTGGCAGCACACGGGGTTGGCACATGGCTGCAGCGTAGTGCTGACTCGCTCGGCGACCGCTAAGATCAGCGCCTTGCCCGCCGGCAGGTTTGCCGGGTCAGCCTCCGCCACTTCGCTCGCAAACGACTCCATTTTGCTCGCAAAAGATGCGGGTTGTAAGCCATCAAGGTAGCCGTGAAGGATGGCATAGGCGATCGCGTCCTCGCGAGTCAAAGCAAGCCAGTACGCTCCGTTCCACGGGAAGTCCGATTCGAGCTCTTGAAAGAAGTCAGCTGCGGTCTTGTACCATTCTCGCGTGAATTCTCCGTCTGAGCAAAATGGCAGCAGGCCTGAAAGCCTGAGGTACAGCTCGCCGCACTGTGGCCCGATGGCCACGCCGATACTGCCGATATCGTCGTCGTCGTCGTCGTCATCATCATCGTCGCCGTCGTCCTTGTTCTTGAAGTCGCAATCGTCATCGTCGTCCTCCTCCTCGTCAGGCAGTAACGCATCGGCTCGCATTGGGAGTGTGCGCAGGAAGACCTGCATCGCAGCGTCCACGTCCTTGTGCTTGATGTGCTTTCTGCGACTATGCTCCGTGTGCGTTATGGCATGCTTCATCCATTCCGTGCCGCATTCTCCAAACTCAAAGTGCCGCCCAGGATCATCTTCAGGATACGAGTCGACAAGCGGCTGATCGCCCACGAGCACGTGCAGCTTCTCGATCGCAGCAATCTCGATACTGATATCGGTCTTGAAGTCACAGGCTGTGCGAATGGCCGCAGAGTAGAAGACTGCGGGCGCAAAGCGAACGCCGCACAAGCGCGCGAGCCGATGGAAGGTGGTTTCCAGGTGTGGCACCGGCACGTCGCCGACCCGCATCTCGATGATGGCCGCGTCGGCGACGCTCGTGCATAGGATGCGGAAGCGCTTGCTCGCCTGCGAGACGAGCGTGAGGTGCCGTGCCGACAGCCAGCGCAGAACCAGGCACTGTTCGTCCTCCGAGAGAATGCTCTCGAGCAGCAGGCTGCCGGGAGCAGACATGACGCTGACCTCCTTGGACATGGGCGGGCAACATCCGACGACGCGGGGTAAAAAAGAAAAAATTCGCATCTTGCCCGCCCGAAAAAAAAAATCGCCGAAAAGAAAGACCCCACCACGTGCTCCACTCCCCAGACCCCTCCGGGTCCCGTCCTGTATCCGCGCCCGCCCGAAGCAAGCGGAGGACGACGGCGGGGTGGTTGTGGGCAGCGGCGCACATCAGCGCGGTGCCGCCGCTGCTGTCCTGCAAGTCGATCTCTGCGCCGCGCTGCAGCAGCAAGTTGACCATCCGCTTGTGGCCCTGGCCAGCGGCGAGCATCAGCGCGGTGACACCTGCGCCGTCCTGCAATGGGCAGAAAACAGCCGACGCCGCTCTCTCGCTTCTAGGTGCCACGAGCCACGTCTGCTCGTCACGGGTGCGCGACGCGATGCTGACCTCGGCACCGGCGGGCGCCGCCGCCTCGAGCGCCCTGAAGTCGGCCTCGAGCTCCTTGTCGAAGAAGCGCCGCTCGGTGCGCGCGTAGTTGAAGGAGACGGCGCGCACCTTGCAGAGGCGGAGAGGGAGGCGGCGGAGGGAGGGGAGGCTTGTCTCGTCGTCCGCCTCATCGCACCTCTTTGGTGGAGGAGAGGATGCGGCTGATCTCGGCTGATCTCGGCTGATCTCGGCTGATCTCGGCTGATCTCGGCGGATCTCGGCTGATCACGGCGGCCTCGGCTGGTCTCGGCTGGTCTCGGCTGCCTCTCGGCTGCTCTCGGGCACTCTCGGCCCGCCCCGCGCACCTCCTTGGTGTCGTCGTCGAGAAGAATGCCCGCCGTGTTGCTTTTAGGGTCGTAGGCAATCGTCTCGAGCTCCGCGCCCGTCGTCGCGTCCAGCCGCACCAGCGCCTGCGTCTCGCGGGGGGAGATATGGGGGGATTCGGGGAGAGATGGGGAGATATCGTCGCACCAGCGCCTGCGTCTCGCGGCCGAGCGTCGAGAGGGCGAGCACCGACTTGAAAGAAGAAACCGTGCCTGCAAACTCGACCATGTTGCCCTCCTCGCCGTACGGGAAATTGACCAAGTCGCGCCACTCATCGCCCGCCGAGTCGCGGACACGGACTGTCGTCGAGCTGTCGGCCTACTCTGAGGTCAGCTCGGGTCAGCTCGGGTCAGCTCGGGAGAGGCGGAACCGCCGTCAAGCTGTGAATCGCTCTACCGCGCCCCCCGATCTCTCCAGCACGCTGGCACGACAAGGGCGCGGACTGGCGGGACTGGCACACACAAGGATACCCATCACTGAGCCGACGATGCTATGGGTAGCCCCAGGGTGGCGCCCACCCCCATACCCTCAGGCACTTGCCTGCGCCCTGCCCGCGCACGCCGCGCACGCGCGCGCACGCCCGCGCACGCCGCGCACGCGCGCGCACGCCCGCGCACGCCGCGCACGCGCGCGCACGCCCGCGCACGTGCGCGCACGCGGCACTACGCCCGCGCACGTGCGCGCACGTGCGCGCACGTGCGCGCACGCCCCGCGCACGCCCGCGCACGCCCGCGCACGCCCGCGCACGCCCGCGCACGTCCGCGCACGTCCGCGCACGTCCGCGCACGCCGCACTACGCGGCACTGCCCAGGTTCCCTCACGCTCAGATTCCCTCACACTCAGATTCCCTCACGCTCAGATTCCGTGCAAGGGGGTGCCGAGGTATGCCACAGGCCGGGATGGAGTGAGATCTTGCGGGGCAGGGCGTGGGCTAGTGCGCGAGGGCGCAGGCAAGTGCCCGAGGGCATGGGGGTGGGCGCCACCCTGGGGCTACCCGTAGCATTGTCGGCTCAGTGATGGGTATCCCAACACCACAAAAAAAAAGTATTATCCTAACGGTGTGGGGGCGCGGAGGGCTTGTTGGCGAGCCAAAATGGTGTTTTCCGAGGCGCTGCGCTAGGCTCAGAGCGAGTTCGCGCTGCGCTAGGCTCAGACGGCGAGTTCGCGCTGCGCTAGGCTCACAGATGCGAGTGCGCTGCGATAGAAGAAAAAAACAGGGTCGAAACGACAACCGAAGGGAGGACTGTGTAGTGTAATCATGTGTCAAGAATCACGTGCTGCTGCTGCTGCTGCTACTGCTGCTGCGGCGCGGCGAGCGCCGTCGCCGAGGCGGGCCTCGGCGGAGAGCGCGATTATGCGGCCTTTTCCGCGACCCGCACAAAGAAGAGGCGCCCTCCGTCAGCCTCGACCTGCCACCGGCTCGCGTCGACCGACCCGGCCGCGTGCCACACCTCCACAGCCCAGTGCGCCAGCCCGCAGAAGTTGCCCTCCTCGATGCCCCATCCCGTGGGCCACGCGGCCAAGGCGGTGCCGAGAGGCGGCGGCGGCGCCGCGGTCGCCTCGAGACGCGCCGCGACGGCGTCAAAGGCGATCCGCCTCGCGCCCGTCGCGGCCGCCTCGGCCAGCAGCGCCTCCCCGGCCAGCCGCGGGAGGTCGCCCTCCGTCTCGAACCAGCACGACGAGCGGCCGTCGGCGCACGCCTCGTCCCACGCCTTGAGCTGGCGGACAAAGGCCGCCAAGCTCTTGAGGCCGGGCGAGGGCGCGGCGGGCGACGGGGCAAGGGAGCAGCCGGGCGAGGAGAGGTAGGAGGTGCTCGCCGGCGAGCGCTCCCGCGCCTGCGAAGGGGCAAGGCCTGAGGGCGGGCGGGCGGTCGGGCGGGCGGGCGCGGGTGGGGGGGATAAACGCTGCGCCGCCAAAGGAACCAGCGACACTGGCCGCGGCTCGTCGCCACGCGCCGGCTCGGAAGAGGGGCTGTCGGCGGCGAAGCAGAGTGGCACGCCTCGCCGCTCGAGCCGCCGACAGCCCCCCTCCTCGACGTGACGGCCGCTCCCGGAGCCGGCCGGTGCGCGCCTGACCCACGCCCCCTCTCGCACCCCTCCGACCCCCCCTGCGCGGCGCACCCGTCCGCTGTGCGCCGGCTCGAGCGCCTATTGCCAAATCGCGACGTTTGAGCGCAGCGCACGCATCCTCTGGGCGCCTGAGCGCGGCGGAATCTTGCCAGAATGTGGCCGCAGGAAGAGCCTCCGGCGGGCCTCCGGCGGACGCCTGGCGGCGTGGCGCTGCGCGCCGGCCTGCGGCCCAAAGCCCGAACGAGCGGTCAAGTTAACTTGACGCGCCGAATCCCTTGGTTGGCCCTCGCAGCTGTGATACAAAAGTGGGGACGCGCCTGGCGGCGCGCCCCCAAAAATTGTCCGGCGCGCGCTGCGAGCGACTCAGAACTCATGAACGAAGCTGCGCGCTCCAATCCAGACGTGCAGTCCTCACCCGCCCTCCTGCTCGTGACCGACCTGATATTCCACGTGCACGGCCACTGCAGCGACGCGCGCCAACTCTTCAGGTCGCGGGAGGTGTGCCAAGAGTGGCGGCGAAGCATTGATGCGCCTGAGCAGAGCGAGCTGTGGCGCGGCCTCTTGGTGAAGCGCTGCGGCCTCCGGCGCCATGTAGCGCTCCCGTCGCAGCTGCCCACGACCACGTGGCGGGCGGCGTACCTGCTCGCGCTCGGCCCAATCGTCACATTCGGCAGCCTCGTGACGGACAACGGCCGCCACTTTTCGACTGAGCAGCTGGACGAGATGCTGCAGTGGCTTGTACGCCTTGCCGACCTCGCTGCGACGGAGGCGCGCTGTCCCTTTGGGCACCTCTTCGGCATCGACGCGCGCGGATGGACGTACGCCGCAGTCTTCAAGTCGGGCAAGCGGAAGGGGGGGCTTGGGGGAGGCGGGTCGGACCTCCAGGCGCATGTGCAGGAGTGGTGGCGTCCGGCGGTGATGGCGCTGACGGAGCGCGTGCGCGCCTCGGTGAACGATGCTCCGCTTGAGGCGCGGTCTGCCGCGTGCAGGTCGGTCCGCAGCTTCGTGCATCTGATGTCGTCCGTCGTGATGCGGTGGGGTTGCTCTGGGGCGGGCTCGAGCACGGCCGAGTGGATGGCGCAGTCAGTGCGCGACGCGGAGCCGGCTTGCGTTGCGCTCGAGCGCATGGCGCAGTAAAGAGGCATTGCTGCGCAGGCGCTGCCCGTACGCGCGTAGCGTGACCTTGCGGCTCGAGCCTTGCGGGCTACGTGCTGTTTAGAAACGTTGAGATTGCGGCCGCGGGCCGGCTCGGATTACTTTTCACTGCAAGACATAGTAGTTTTTTGGTGTTAGTACCGACACGTTCTGGCTAGTGCCATTTCACTGTGGCACAGCCCGCGTTACAAAACAGGTTACAAAACCTTGATTTTGACCATTGCGCGAAAAATGTACCTCTCGGTGCCTTCCAGTGGAAGCTGCGACCTCGCCGAGTAGACGGCGGCACACAGCAGGTGGCGCGGTGTGCCGCCGTCTACTCGGCGGGGTCGCAGCTGCCTCTGCGCGTCCTGGGGAGGTACATTTGTTGCGCGCCGGAGACGACTCGACGCCGCTGAGATCGGAGATCAAGCTCTGACAGGTCACACGTCGCTCCTTTGACGCCGACGTGACTCACCCGTGCAGACCACATCAGGACACGGTCTCGACGCGCTCGGTACGACGCCTGCGACCTGTCTCGGGTCAGGTGGCACGACGCTCATCGCGCCTGCCAGCGCTGCCGTGCAGGTTGCCACGACGAGGTCGAGCACGCTTCTATACGCTCGCCGAGCCTTCCTTTCCATCCCAGTAGGCAGCCTGGGAACGGTGGCGGTCAGAGGCAAAGCCTATGAGGGGTGGTGGAACCACATGTCACGGCTACTGCCGGCTCCACCCCACGATAGCCTCCGAAGGCTGACTTTGAGGCACCATCATCGGACGATGTCGACGAGTTGGGTCGCTCTCGCGGTAGCCAGATGACCTCTTTTCCTAGGATCATCGGCCATGGCCGCAGGAAGCGCGGGGGAGGGCGCTGGGAGCAACACGGAGCTCCGTTGGACGTTTTCAAGATTAGCGTGTCAGAGTGAAATGGCACTAGCCTCTCTCTCAGACAGTATACACACGCGACGGAAAAAGAAGTCAAGGCGGGTAGAAAGAAAGAAAGAACGCAACATATGAAAAGAAAAAAGAAAACCAACGGATTTGCTCTTATGCATCTGTGGGTCGGAATTACTTTTTGTGCTGCATCGATGACGACGAGCTCTCGCCAGTCATGGGAATCGAGCGCTCAGCAGATCACGGCAGATCACGGCCGGTCGAAGCGCGAAGGCCCTTTCCCGTCCGATTTGCGGTTTCACGCTTCACTGACGTTGTCGTGAACACATCGTGGGGGCTCCGTATCTCATCATATCCACGTGCATCTCCTGGTATCTCCCGGTATCTCCCGGTATCCCGCCATATCCCGCCATATCCCGCCGCGGATACCGCGAAAAGAACCGGCCAGCCTAGGCATGCCCGCCATCAAGTTGTACGATGAAAAATGCAGCAGGAACTTAGTTGCCTCGAAGGCCGCCCTGCTCGAAGGCCGCCCTGCTCTCGGCATTGTGTTGTTGACTGATAGCACTGTCTGATCCAACCAGAAAGAGCCGTCGAAGAGCCGTCGAGAGCTACATGAGACCCAAGTCGTCATGATGTACCAGAAAACGAAACTAGCGCCAAAATTGAGATCTCAGGATTGACATTAATTTCTCGCGCCTGCTTTCGCTGCTTGAGGCTCGCCAAACAGATACTGCGTCTATGGCGGTGTGCAACGTCAAGTCGTTATATAACCGCGACAAGACCATCGCGCCAACCGCGACTCTGTTGCTTTTATGCGGCAGCATTCACCGTGACTCTTGCCGTGAATGGTTAGTGACCGCAATACTACGCCGTGAGCTGAGCTTCACCAGCCGTTTATCTTCCTTCCCTTGCCTTCTCTTGCCGTCCGTTCTCTGTGCGCATTCCACTGCATGCATGCGGCATCACAAGCGTCTTCTGCCGGGCGCGCATCTGAACTCGTACCTGGTAGGCCATCGCTTTGCTGAAGGATCAGGCGCCTGAATGGCGACAGTGAGCGTCTCCTACTTATGGATTGCGCTCCGGGTGCACCGGGACCCAGCTGTGAAGAGTCCGCAAGGGTCCGTGCCAAAATGGCCAAAATCAAGCCTGGTTTGGCCGACTCTGCAGTGGCCGCAGGCGGTGATGGCGGACGCCGACGAGCCTCACGCGCCGGGCCCCACCTCAGACAGTACCTCCGGTGGGCTGCATCCACTCACTGCGGGGCTGCTCGCTCGCCATGATAGTCAACGTGCACCGACGGCGACCGCCCTCTCGAAGCGCCGTGCTGACAGGCCAGCCGCCGAGCAGGAGCGAGCAGCCGTTCGAATCCGCGGTGCAGCGCCGCGGATGGCGAACCTCGAGCCGGTGGAGAAGACCGCGGTCGTGTCGGACTCGACCGGCGCCGATGCGGTGCCAGCAATTCGGGCGCGGCCGACTCGCTCCAGTTCGGCGCAGCTCGCCTTGGAGCCCACCGCGCTCTTAAATCGCCTCGAGACCATGCTCCTCGGCAACCAACCCGTCCCCGCACCCTCCAACGAGGTCAGCATCGTCGGCGAGGTCACCAACGGCATCATCATCGCCGCGAAAGCTGCCGTAAACACGCTCTTTTCGTCGCAGCGGCGCGGCGCGCTGATGGCTCTCCAGATAAAGAACCTGAAGAAGGCTGCGCTGGCGTACCTTGTGTGGGACCTACGCGGCGAGCTGGCGGGCGCGCGACTCGAGCAGGCGGTCGTGTACGGCAAGCGGCTCGAGACGCACGCGAGCGGCGTGGACAAGGAGTTGGGCAAGTGCAAGCGGCGGCAGGCGGGCGCGGAGGCGCTTCTCGCTGTCGTTCCAGAAACGTTGCAGGACGTGCCCACGCCAGAGGAGCCCGCGGTCGAGGAGGAGCCGGCGGTCGAGGACCTGCCGGCCAGCGACTCCCGTCCCGACGACGCGTCTTCGGACAGCGATCGGGAAAGCGTCTTCGAACGTCGGGTGACCCGTCGGATGATCGACGCCGGCCTGAACGAGGCGCAATTCGATGATATGCGGAACGTTTACGGGATTCAGCTCGCCCACGAGGACAAGTGCCACGAGTGTGCCAAGCTGCAGGCTCGGGCAGTGAAACTGTATGATATGCTCCTCCCGTACCTCGAGCGCGACTGGGTGCCACTGGAGGAGGCATTCCAGCGGCTCGACCTTATAGCTGCTCGGGAGCGCTCGGGTACCCTGGGTCGTGGGTATGATAGTGACACAACATATGTGTGATACACTACCAAAACAGGGCCGCGGGGGGGCGTTGGGGGCCGCTGGAGGGCCGCTAGACCCTTCCCGGGCCCCTCCGGGTGGGTCCGGGTGCACCCGGCTCAAGGTACGAGGACCGCAAGAGCGCGCCGCAGGCGAAGCGATTTTTGGCGGCAGGGCTGTTCCAATCTTGTGATCACGCGCGAGCCTGTGAATACGCCCCGGAGGCCTCAACCCCCAACTAAAGGGTTGACGGGGGGTCTCAACCGTCAACCAGATGGTTGAGGGGGGGCCTCAACCCTCAACCCGTCAACCACCTGTCAGGAGACGGAACACGGAGGAGCTGTATAGGTCACTAGAGACCCACACCATCGCTACATCACCACAACCACCAAGTCGGATACAAGTCGATGACAATGTGCGCGGCAGGGCAAACCAAACATGAGACGGTTACACAAGGACGGTCAGGCTACGGTCAGGAAGTAGGTTTGAGTTCACACTCTCCAACACTCCCCCATTGTCTCCGCAGTCTTCATGAATGAGGATGCGGCAGACAACAACAGCAGAGTGTGAATGTGTCTGAGCGTAGGTATGCCGGTTACCCGCCGGCGTCTCGCGGGGCTGGCTAAGCGTCCAACCTTGCGTCTTCGCGAAGGATGGTCTTGCTTGTTGGCAAGACTTGCGCGCTAAGATGATCCAGTGAAGGGGTCAAAGCGCGGCCGAGTGGGCGGAGAGAGAGAAAGGGGAGATAATGAACAGGAGCTCGTTGTGGAGCTCGGTCATGGCGCGCCGCGAGCTGCAATCCGGGCTGAGCGTCGCGGGGCAGCGGCTTGAGCGGGCGCGGCAGGCGCGGCGGGCGCGGGAGCGGCAGCGGGGGCGCCCCCTTGCGGCGCGGCGATTGGGCCGTTGGGAGGCCTCGCCGCGTTGACGCGGATGAGCGCATCAGGGACGTGAGGACGATCTTCAATGCCCCGAACGTTGATGTTGCGCCACGGGCCGCCGACGTCGGAGATGGCAGGCTCAGTCTCAGACGTCCAGACGGCAGAGGCGCTCGTAGAGGCGCATTGGACTTCTTGCCAGAGGCGTTGGACAGCGGGACGGGCTAGCGCGAGGAGGCGAGACGAGGAAGAGACAGCAATGAGGTAGAGTGGCATTGCCACATCGAACAGATGCCCAACACTCCCCCACGACGTGGTAATCGCCACACAAGGCAGAGAGGGCGTGTCGATCGTCGCGTGTTCATCGCGTACAGCTCCGGTCGTGTCGAGTGGCGACGTCGGAAGTAGCGGCGGCGAAAGGCAGGGTCCACATTCGGTGCGAGATCTTTGCGGTAACTGCCGTTGCAGCAGCCCGAGAGCTGGTAGCGGAGGCAGCAGCTGCGATGGTGGTCCGTAGGCGAGGAGAACGGACCGGTAAGGAGAAGCAAGAGGGGATACTCGTGTCCACACAGCCGCAGTGCTGGCGGAGATGCGCTCTGTCGCAGAAGATCCGCAAGCACCCAAGTTGATGTTGCGGTTGTACTCATTCTGCTCAGCCTCCGTGCCGAGCAGTTGGCGGCCGCTGTGCCACCGTGCGCCGAGCCTCTGTGCCCAGCCAATCACCACGGCTCGCGCAGGTGCCCATGGTGCCAGCCAACGTATCGAGCGTAAGCCGGAAATGCTGTGCGGCAACACATCTCGCTTGTGTGCCGCACCAGCTCTCATGTCGGCCTCAGTGCCGCACTGCTCACTCCGTGCACTCACCGGTCGGTACCATGTCAGGAGACGGAACACGGAGGAGCTGTATAGGTCACTAGAGACCCACACCATCGCTACATCACCACAACCACCAAGTCGGATACAAGTCGATGACAATGTGCGCGGCAGGGCAAACCAAACATGAGACGGTTACACAAGGACGGTCAGGCTACGGTCAGGAAGTAGGTTTGAGTTCACACTCTCCAACACCACCCCTCTGAGCAGCGTCTGGGTGCAGAATTACTTTTTGTGCTTTGGCCGACGCCCTTGGCCGACCCGAGGCGGCCTTACCAGCTGCTGGTCGTATCGACGTGTGCCGTACAACTTCACGTATTTAACACGAATGCCCACCTCCAAGCCGCGTGAGCGGTGGGCCGATGAGGCATGCTTCGAGGTTAACCGGGAGCGAATGCACGTGCCGCTCCGGGCGTATGAGAGCCGAGCCGCTGTGCTCGGCCGCCGCTTGTGCGACGAGCTGCCGGCCGGCCCGTGGTTGCTGGCGCTCACACCCGCCCGCTGGTCCTTCTCGCTCGCATCAAAGCCAGCGGATGCTCCATCGGTGTCGGGTCCGGGCGGCTTTGACGCTGCGGGCTGGGGCGACCTGCAGGTTCCATGCTCGTGGGAGGTCGCCGGCGTCGGCTCCAAGCCCGTCTACCTCAACGAGCGGTATCCGTTCAAGCTCGACCCGCCGCGCGTGCCGACGGACGAGCGGAACGAGGTTGGCTCCTACCAGGTCTCGTTCACCCTCCCTGCCCGTTGGATCGGCCGCCGCTCGTACCTCGTGCTGGACGGGCTCGGCTCGGCGGCGACGGTGTGGATCGACGGGGCCGAGGTGGGCTACTCGCAAGACTCGCGGCTGCCGGCCGAGTTTGAGGTGACCAAGCTCGTCTCCGCCGAGGGGATGTCCGCGTCCGAACACGTCCTCTCGGTCCAAGTGGTTCGGTACTCGGACGGCTCGTACCTCGAGGACCAAGACCAGGTGGCAAGTCTAGCCGCCTCCTAGCACCTCCCGAGACCCTCCCTGCGGGCAGGTGCCCGCCTCTCCTCTCCCGCTCCCTCAGCCGCCGCACCCCAGACCTCCCCGCCTCCCCACGCCCACCCGCCAGCTACCCCACCCATCCCGCTACCCAGCGACCCCACCCATCCCGCCGCCCCGCAGTGCCGGCTGTCCCTAACCCCAACCCCAACCCGAACCCGCAGTGGTGGCTGTCGGGCATCCAGCGGCACTGCTTCCTGTACTCGAAGCCCGCGCGCCTCGCCATCCGCGACTTTGCCGTCTCGACCACCGTCCCTCCCTCCGGCGCCACTGCCGACTTCTCGCTCGACGTGGCGCTCGCCGGCTCGATCGTCGACGCCGCCGCCACGGACACAGCCGCCGCCGCGAAGGCCAGAGCCCTGCCCAGAGAGAGCGGGCTCGTGGCGAGAGGGCACGCCCAGGACATGTCCGCGACACGCTGTCGCAGGCCTTCTCCGAGAGCGGGCTCGCGGTGCGCGCCTCGCTCCACGGCCCCTTCCGCCTCGGACGCCAGCAGGACCTCGAGGCGCCGCTGCCGGCCTGCAGCGAGGCGTGGGCCGCGACCCTCGCGCCGCCCACGCTCGCCGAGGACGTGGACGTCGCCAGGCTGTCTGCGGTCGGCCGCCCCGCGCCGGGCGCCGACGACGCCGACCCGCACCACGCCCTGCTCGACGACGACGCGCACGGGCTGATGTCGCTGCGCGGCTGCCCTGCGCGCGCGCGCGGCGGAGCGACCCTCGAGGCGCCGGCGCTCTGGAGCGCGGAGGAGCCGAACCTGTACTCGCTCGTCGTCGAGCTGGTCGCCCCCGGCTCGGGCGGCGAGGACGTGCTCGACGTCGAGACGTGCCTCGTCGGCCTGCGCAGCGTGTCGATCGAGGGCGGCCCCGCCGCGCGTCGACGGCGAGGCGAGGAGGAGCCGGTTGACCGGCTATGCGGTCGTCGGGTAGGCGGGCTGCTGCGGGTCAACGGCGCCCCGCTCACCATCAAGGGCGTGAACCGGCACGAGCACACCGCCGAGGGCGGCAAGGCCGTGTCGTGGGAGTCGATGCTCCTCGACGCCACGATGCTCAAGGCGGCCGACTGCGCCGGCTGTCTGCCGGAGGGCGGCGAGTGAGTCACGCCTGCTCGCCCATGATCAGGCGTACAACTTCAACGCCGTCCGGACGGCGCACTACCCAAACACCGACGCTTGGTACGAGATCTGCGCCGCCGTCGGCTTGTACGTGGTGGACGAGGCCAACCTCGAGACGCACGGCTTCTCCTCGTGGGGCGACGAGGGCTACCTCTCCAAGCAGCCCTCGTGGCGGCACGCCTACCTCTCGCGGATGACGCGGATGGTGCGGCGCGACACGCGCCTGCCTCTTCCTGGACCTGTCGTGGACCTGTCGAGGAGCCCCGCAGGTGCGGCGCGACAAGAACTCGCCGTGCGTGATCGTCTGGTCGCTCGGCAACGAGTCCGGCTACGGCCCAAACCACGACGCGATGGCTGCGTGGTGCCGCACGCACGACCCGAGCCGGCCGGTCCAGTACGAGTCGTGCGGCGGCGGCGACGCGACCGACATCATCTGCCCGATGTACCCCGACAAGAAGCACGTCGAGAAGGTGGGGAGCTCGGCCGCCGGCCAAAACGCGAAGTGGATGTTCGCCCCGACGCGCCGCTTCCCGCTTGGCACGCGTGAGCAGCCTCGGCAGTGCCCCCTCGCGCGCCACGCCGCCCTCGGACGCGGCGGCTCGCCCGACCGCCGGCCCGCACCGCGCGCCGTAGGCCGCTCATCCCTTGCGAGTTTGCGCACGCGATGGGGAACTCGACGGGCAACTACGCCGACTGGTGGGAGCTCTTCGCCTCGCTCCCCTACGCGCAGGGCGGCTTCATCTGGGACTGGGCGGACCAGGGGCTGCACCAGACGGACCCGAAGACGGGCAAGCACTTTTGGGCCTACGGCGGCGACTTCGAGTGCAAGCAGCACGACGCGCAGTTCTGCATCAACGGGCTCGTCTTCCCCGACCGCACGCCTCACCCGGCGCTGCACGAGGTCAAGCACGTGCACCGGCCGGTCGACGTGGCGCTGCTCTCCGCCGAGCCGGCCGCCGAGCCGGCCGCGGGGAAGCGGCGCTCCGCGTTCCGCGTGCGGATCAGCTCGCGGTACGACCACCTCCCCAGCCTCGCCCACCTCTCGCTGCGGTGCGGCCTCGAGGTCGGCGGCGTCGAGGTCGGAGAGGCGGCGCCGCTCGAGTCGGGCGGCGGCGGCTGGCGGGCCGTCGGCGCGCGCGACTCGTGTGAGGTAGACCTCGAGGTCGTCTGGGACCCCGCCCTCGCGCCGTACCGCCCGTCGGAGGTCTACCTCGCCCTCTGCTTCACGCTCTCCGAGGAGTCGGCCTGGGCCGCCGCCGGCCACGAGGTCGCCGCCGTCCAGCTGCACATCGACGCCGCCGCGCTCGGCGAGCAGCTCGCCTCGCAGGCGCCGCCCGCCCGAGGAGCGGATTAGCCGAGGAGGAGCCGAGATATGCAGCTCGCCTCGCAGGCGCCGCCCGCCCGCGCCGCCGCCGCGCTGGAGTCGCCGGCGGCCGCGCCTCTCAAGTGCTCCGACCTCGCCGACGCCATCGAGGTGTGATCTCCCCATATCTCCCCACATCTCCCCACATCTCCCCACATCTCGCCGACGCCATCCAGGTGTCGGGCAGCGGCGCCGAGGGCGCCTTCAGCGTCGTCGTCTGCAAGACGACCGGGACGCTCCGCTCGCTCGCGATCAACGGCGAGTCGCTGCTCGCCGCCGGCTCGGCGGCGCTCAACCTTTGGCGCGCGCCGACGGACAACGACAACGGCGCGACGCCTGGCATGCCGGCCGTGACGTCGGACCGGAAGGAGTGGCTCGCGCAGTTCGTCTCGTCCGCCTCGTGGTCGAAGCCGAAGCCGCAGCTCGGCTGGGCGACGCTGCAGCCGCTCTACCTGCGGCCCTTCTACTCGACGGTCGGCCCCTTCCTCCGCTGGCTGACACTTCCTAGACACTTCCTACACACTTCCTAGACACTTCCTAGGTCGGCCCCTTCCTCCGCTGGCTGGGCGTGGGCGCAGTGCAGTCGTGGGCGTACATCTGGAAGCACCACTCCCTCGACAGCCTCTCGCGCGAGGCAGTCGCGGTGCAGCTCGTCGAGGCGGCGGCGGAGCGCGTCGTCATCCGCTGCAAGTGCGACCTGCGCACGCCAAAGGGAAGGACGCGCGCGAAGCACGAGCTGCTCGTCACCGTCTCAGCCGACGGCTCTGTCGCCCTCGACACGACGGCAAAGGTGACAAGGGCGTCCGGGATGCCGCTCTGCGCGCCCGAGTTCTCTCTCCCGCGAATCGGCCTGCGCTTTGCCGCGGCGCCCGACCTGCCGAGGCTCGGTGCGAGAGGTGAGTCAGTCGGTGAGCCACGCGCGTTTGATTCCACAGGCGCCCGACCTGCTCGGCTCGGTGCGCTGGCTCGGCCAGGGGCCGCACGAGAACTACCCCGACCGGGCGGCCGGCGCGCGGTTCGGCATGCACAGCGCGACGTCCGCCGAGCTCTTCACGCCGTACGTCGTCCCGTCCGAGTGCGGCCACCGCGGCGGCACGACTTGGCTGGTGCTGTCTGCGCCAGGAGGGCGCGGGCTCGCCGTCTCGAGCGAGGAGCCGTTCGGGTGGTCGGCGCTGCCGCACGGCGCGCAGGCGATCGACGCGGCGGCCCACCCCTCCGACCTCGAGCCGGAGGCGCACGCGACGCTCTGCGTCGACCACCGCATGATGGGCGTCGGCGGTGATATTGGGTGGGGGCGGTCGGTGTGGCCAGAGTACCTCGTGCCGGACGGGGCCTACACTTGGCGGACGACGCTGCGCCCCTTCAAGCAGCCGCCGGCGACGCCGCCGCCGGCGGCGGCGCCCATCGCGGGGGCCGAGTGATGCCGACGGCTCTGCCTCGGCTCTGCCTCGGCTCGGCGTCGGCGTGGCGCCGGAGGGCGCGTGTCGCGCCCAGTCTCGAGTCTCGACAGATGATCAACGTGCGTGCGATTGTGTGCTGTCTCAGAGAGGGGCCGAGTGATGTTGTCTGGGGTGCGGGCGGCGGGGACGGGCGGATCGGAGCCGCGGGGCCGACTGTGGCTGGAGAGAGTGAGTCAGATTGCTGGTCAGATGGGGCGCGGAGGCGCGAGACGCGGAGGCGCGAGGCAGCATGCATCGGGCGAAGAGCTCGAGCCCGAGATTGCGCATTTCGGCCATATATTTTTGTGTCGGCCGTGTCTCCTTGGGTCGATGGGTCCGCACCTCAGAAGTGGGTGATACGCCGCTGTGAAACGGAAACCTGATCCGCTATAACCCGCCACGTACGGCTTTAACTAAAAAGCCGTCATATAACGGGCGCAAACAATATGTACGATCTGCACACAACTAGAGAAAAATCTACCGGGGTTGTGCGTTTATGTGAGTGAGGTCTGTGTCCTGAGCTCCTGACTTGCCAACAATATATACCTGTACAACTTACCACAATTCGATACAGTCATACACAACAATGATAATCTCTCTCTGTCTCTCTCTCCACAATGCGTAGCGCGCTCCCTAGCTCGGCCCCTTGACGGACGAGTCACCTGCACCGCCCCCCCTTCGTGCCCGGAGTAATTAATCGGGCACGCACCACCACCACTGCATGCAGCGCCTTTTCGCAGCAAAGCGTGTTCACCGCGCCCCCGGGGGAGGCGGGGGCGTGGAAAAAGCGGGGGCGGCGGGTGTGCGGGATGTCTGTGGGCCCGAGAGCGATATGCCATACGTGTCCTTGCTTTGTTTCCTAACTCGAAGGCTACCCGGCAGCTCAAAAAAAGCGGGCACGCGGGACATGCACAGGCGCCAAGGGGCGCAGAACCGACCTAACCCGTCGGAGGTGGGGGGAAGGGAGTCCCCCGGGTCCTGCGCGAGCGCGAGAGTAACCCCAGGAGGGCCAAGATGAGCGGTGCGCGCAGGGGTCGGCGTGGAGGGCGATGAACGCGCCGCGCGGGGCGCCGCCTCACCGGCCCTCGCCAACGCCTCAAAAATGGCGCAGAGTGAGGCGGCGCACCGAGCGAGCACGTGAGCCCCGTGGCTCCAACCGGGCCCTTCCTTTTTTGAGCAGGTGTGCCGCCGCGCGAGCGACGCTCCGAGATCGCCCGAGATAGCGCGGCGCGGCCCCGAGATCGCCCGAGATAGCGCGAGATCGCCCGAGATCGCGCGGCGCGGCCCGAGGCGAGGTGGATGGGTTGGGAGCGAGGGGGCGAAAGTGTTCAGTGCGGTAGACGGTGAGCTCGGGGCGCGTGAGCCGGACTTGGGGGCCGGACGGCTTTCATTTCTCTCTGCGTTCTCGCACATGGAGTGCGAAATACTCGACTTTCCGCCCCAAACTGTCGCACTCCCCTTTCTCCCGGCCGGGGTGGGGCGCGCGCGGGGGCGGCGGGTGTGCGGGATGTCTGTGGGCCCGAGAGCGATATGCCATTTCCGCGTTGCGTTTGTTTCATCACATCGAAGGCTAACCTCAAAAAAAACACGACATTTCGCGCCATGATCGGCGAAGAGGGGCAACGATATGGGACCCACCACGCCACGCGATGACCCCCTCCTCTCGATCCTCGATCGCTTCACGCCTCTTGAGGCGCGCGCCTCGCTGCCGCCGAGCAAATTCGTGTCTCCTCCTGGCCCTGCAGCCGAGCCCATCATGCGGTTCGTCCGCGAGTGCCACCGCGAGCCCGTCCCGCACCTGACACCGAGCGGACCGGGCCAAGAAACGCTGCACGAGCGCTCGGCGGAGCGTCACCCCGATGCGGCGCGGCGGGCTGGTGCAGAGCGGGCGGCGGCTGCCGTTCGTGCGGACGCGGCAGTGGCAGCCTTCCGTCGCCGGCTGTGCCCGTGGCAGACGCTCTGCGAGGAGGCGTCGCTGCAGCTGATGCGACGGCTCGACCTGCCGACCCTGCTCGCTCTCAAGGGCACCGACCGGGCATCCGCCGCGCGCGCGCGCGCAACACTCGCCTCCGTGCGCTGGCGGACCACCGGATCAAACGGCGCCGACCTCGCCGCCCGGCTGCCCGAGGCGAAGGCTGCCGGGTGGCTGCGATCGCGGATCACGCCGTCGAGCGACTTTGCGTCGCTGACGGCGCGGGCGCTGCGGGCGGAGCTGGAGGTGGCCCTCTCGCTGCCGCCGGGGGCGCTGCGCAAGCGCAGGGCCTGGCTCGACCGGCTCATCCTCGTGCGGAGAGACGAGACGACCGCCGCGCCGCCACCGCCGCCGCCGCCGCCTCCTCGCCAACCGTCGGTCGCGTCGCGGCCAGCCGAGCGGTCGCTCCCGGCCCCCTCACCGCGCCCGCCACCGCAAGCACCGCCGAGGCCGCAGCCGAAGCCGCCGCCGCCCGCCGCCTCGCCAGGGCCGACGCCGTCTGGGCCGCCGCCCTCTCTGCCGCTCCATGGCGCAGCCCAGCCGACTCGCCAGGCCCGCAGGCAGGCCCCGCGCAGGAGATGTGGCGAGTGCGCGGGCTGCGTCTCTCCCGGCTGCGGCGTGTGCGCCTCCTGCCGAGGGACGAAGAGTGCGATCGAGCAGCGGAAGGGCTGCGTGCATCGCAAGTGCGAGGTGCTCGCCCTCGCCAGGAGGGAGGCGGCGGCGGCGCGCCTCCTCCTGCAAGCCGGCTCGCCGCGCAGCGCCGCCGCCGCCCCGCCCGCGGCGAAGACCGCAACCCCCCGACCGGCCGCTCCGCCCGCTCCGCCCGCTACGCCCGCTACACCTGCTCCGCCTGCTCCGCCCGCCGCTCCGGCTGCTGGCTTCTCGACCGGCCGCGAGGCGAGCCAAGAGGCGGCGCCGGACTCGGACGAGGAGGAGGGGCGGCCCCTCGCCGCACGCGCAAAGAAGCGCGCGCGAGGCGACCCGCAGCAGGCTGGCGAGGGAGGGAGGGGCGAGGGAGGGGCGGGCGGCGCAGAGGGAGGCGCCGGCTCCGACTCAGAGGAGGGCCGGCCGCTTGCCACCAGGCGGCGGGGGGCGGCGGCGGGGAAGCCGCCGGCGAAGGCGAACGCTTCGGAGAGCCCGCCGCCTCCTCCGCCTCCTCCGCCTCCTCCCGCTCGGCACAAGCTTGCTGCGGTGCGGCAAATGGCACAGAGCAGCGATGAGGAGGAGGAGGAGGCCGACACAGCTTGCCAGGTGCTTTCCGCGACCGTGCAAGCGGCGCGAGCGCAGGTGGCCTCGGGGCCATCCGGGGCGATGCGTGCAGCCGCCGTGATGCGGTTGGTGCGCCACTGCCACCGGCGTCCTGTGCAGCACCTTCCTGGCCCCATCCCGTTTAGGTAGGCTCGCCGGACGGCGCGAGACCGAGAGATTCTGCCCGTCGCGCGCGCTCTAAGGTATACATGTAACCTCGGCGCCAACCCGCCTAGTTTCGTTTCTTTTCTTCCCTACAGCACCCTCTCGTGTCCTCTCTAGTTTCCGGACATCCGTGGAAATTTCAATCAGAGGCTCTGACTTCCAGAGGCCAGGAACGCGTGTCGGTGGTACCCAACTACCTCCTCCCACAGCTCCCCGCAGTCGCGCATCTCCCGGCCCCAGACGCCGTACGACGATGGGATCAGCCCTGAGCCTGGCTCGGTCGTCGTCCCCTACATTTTTGGCAGCGTCGCCGGCCTCCGGGCGGACTTCGTCCCTCGCCCCAACCCTGAGACTGGCTCGGTCATCACCGCCGCCGGCCTCCAGACGGACTTGCACTTCGGCAGTCACCACATACAAAATAGAGGCGGTTAGAGCACCACGACGCAACAAGAGACTAGCGCAGACGAGAGCAGGGCAGACCCGGGGACTGGGGAGCCGGAGCAGACGGCATCGGCCGCCGAGGGAACGTTGGGAAGAGGCACGAGGAGGGCGGCGACCTCGACCGACTATGGAGGACCCGTCGCCAGACGACGCAGGGCAGAAGACGGTGAGGCGGAGCAGACGCGCAGGGCGAGACGAGGGAGGGAGCAGGACTTTGCGGAGATCAGCAGGAGGATGTACGAAGAGATTAGGAGCAGCAGGGACCCGAGGGACCATGTGGAAGACGGCTAGTGCTAGTCCCCCATCGGGAGGACGACCCCGGCTAGTCGCCGCGACCACACCCACAAAGAACCCTGCACAAAGATCGCAAGGGCGGGGACCTGTTCCTTTTTACCCATCTCACAGTAGAGAGGTGTCCGTTTTTATTTATTTATTTATTTTACGACGCAACAAGATCCACTCTGCAGTACATCCCCCTGTGGAGAAGCAAGCGAAAGCCCACACACAGGCCGTCACAGAGCAATAGCTCGGTGGAGCGTCGAGCCCCACCACCGGCGCCCTCCCCGGGCGCAGCACTGTCCTCAGGCACGCTTGCCGCCCTTCCCGCTGGTGCCGCTATCGAAGAACTCAAACAGCGCGACTGCAAACATCGAAAAGTTGACGCAGTGGAAGCCGGTGCACACGATGCAAAAATCGCCAAGGATGAACTTGAGGACGTACAGCAGGTAGCAGGAGAAGCACGCGCCGGCGGTCGCGACCGCCAGGAAGAGCGGCTGCCGGTACGGGACGAGGTTCAACCTCCACAGGCACGCGGCGACAAAGTAAGCGGAGTAGAGCGCCATGCCGGCGACTGCTAGGCCGATATCGAGGGCGTCGCCCTGCTTCACCAGACCCCAGTGAGAGAGCGGGTGCGCGTACTCGCTCGAGAAGACTGCCGTGCAGGAGAAGCCCGCGCCGATGTCGCACGCAGCCTCGTAGCCGGGCTCGTGCATCTGCGTTTCGACGGAGAGCGCGTACGTGGCGATTGTGAGGCCAACCAAACCCAGGAGCGCCACCTTGATGGCCCGCCGCTTGCTGGCCGCGGTGAGAGGCATATGTCCCAGGCCTACGCGGTCTCTGGATGGCAAGCGCTATGACTAAGACGGAGTGGGTTCAGGCTCCTTGCGGATACGGGGATCTGCGGTAGCGTCAAACAGCTAGGTCCAGAGAGAATTTCACCAGGCTCTCTCTTATGGGGTAAATAAATAAAACATAAATCACACCAAACGAGGGGTGGGAGAAGGACAGGGTCCCCACCTGCACGGAGCAGGCAGGAGATCTTGTAAGGACGATCAGGGACACAGGGGAAGGAACGGGAGCGGGGAGCGCAGAGAGATTTTAGAAAACCTTTCTCCTTCTCTTGGAGCGCATCGCGACACGGTCACACGGAGGGGGGCTGAGGGTTCACCCACACGACAGGGTCCCAGGTGCCAGGAATCCCCCCCCTCTCGTATAGGACAGGTTGCACCCGGCGGCACCGGGGGCAGGCGCGGGCCTCCTACTGGTTGCGCTCTCCTAGTTCTCCTGCTCCCGACAAGGCTCAAGGGTTGTCAGCGACAGGCTCGCAGCACGGTGGACTCCCTACTCCACTGGCGATCTCTCTCGACTAGCGACCTTCCTCCGGCTTCTCACTGGCAGTCTCTCACTACAGTTGTATCACGGGCACACTGACAGAGGCGGCCAAGGCTCACGCCGTTATGCCACCGTTTTCCGCGCACAGCATTTCTTCTTCTTGGACCACTAAGAATTGGCTGGGGCTGCAGAAGCAGCGTATCTCAGTCGTTCTTCACACGGCAATCGCAGAGCAGGTTGTGAATGAGCTTGCCTGTGGCGGGGGTGGGCGGGTGCACGGAGCTAAGTGCCTCGCCACTCTCGCAGGAGTCGCTTAGGCGGCTCCCGTGGTGTACCTGTGTTAGTGCCAGTGCGAGCCAGTCCCGTGCGCTGTGTTGTGCGAGGGAGCTCGTTGTAAACTTGGAGCACTTGGAGTGCAGTCATTCGCCTCACATCCAGGGCCGGGGAACTGAGAAGCGCACCCAGCGAGCCGGATGATCGGGATCGGGCTACGGGCTAGAGAGCCCTGACCCCTAGCTAGGGGGGTGCGCGTTCGCAGGGAAAGGGCCGTAAAGTAAACACAGGTCTCCGAGGGTTGGCTCCGTGTACCGGGTTTCCCCTTAACTTCAGAACGCCCCCTCTACTCGGAGCTAGTAGACACGCCCCTGTACACCACGCACGTACACAGGTCCTCCCCCCCTCCCCCCTCCCCCCTTTTTTGGGGCCTTTTTTCTTCTTGCCTGGCCTGGCCCCCCCCCCCCCCCCTGACTGACTGGCTCCCGCAGCTGCAGCTGCCCGGACCTTTGTCCCGGGGGGGAGGGGCCTCCCGGGGGTGGTTGTCCCCCCCCGGGGGCCCGGGTGGGGGAAATTTTGGAGCCAATTTTCCCCCGCCTTTTGGGGCGGGGCATACAAAAATTTCCCCCGTTTCCCCCCCCGGATTCCCCGGGGGTCCCCCGAATCCTTTCCCCCTTTAAGAGGAGCCCGAAAGGGGGCCAAAAAATTCCCCCCCCCCAAAAAACACAAATCCCCGGGGGCGGCCCCCCCCCCCCCCCTTTTGCCCGTTTTTGGCCCCCCCCCCCCCCCTTTTTTCCCCTCCCCCCCCCATCTTGCCCGCTTTTGACCCCCCCCCCCCCCCTTCTTTCCCCTCCACCCCCCATCCTGCCCGCTTTTGACCCCCCCCCCCCCCCCCCGGCAGTCGCACGTGCCGATGATGGCGCCCGGCATCAACGTGCTCACCAAGGACCACTTCGTCGGTGACGAGGGAGAGCCCGTCCTCCCCCTCCAACCCGCCCTCCCCGACCCGCCGCAAGCCGCGGAGCCGGCCGGCGCCGCGGAGGCGGCGGCCCCACAGCCGTCGCCGTCGCCCGCGCCGCCGCCTCGCCAGCCCGGCTCGGGCGGCGGCGGCGGCGGCGGCGGCGGCGGGTCGGAGCGGTCGCGGCCGCGCAACGCGCTCGAGCGGCGGGAGTGGACGGCGGAGGAGGACGAGATCATCAAGGACGGCGTGCGGCAGTACGGCTACCGCTGGCGGCGCATCGCCTCACAGCTGCAGGGCCGCTCGGACGACGCGGTGCGCAACCGCTGGTCGCGGCTCAAGGGCGGAGAGGAGGGCGAGCCAAAGGCCGGGCTCAGCAAGGGCGGCGCCTCGGGCCGCAACGCGGCGGGCGACACGGGCGTCACGGGCGACGGAGGCAGCCCGGCTGCGCCGCCCGTGCGGCGGCGCGCGTCTGCGAGCGGGGAGGAGGGCGGAGCAAAGCCGGAGCGGATCGGGTGGACGCAGGCCGAGGACGCGATCATCATCTCGTCGGTGCGCAGAGATCGGGCACAAGTGGTACCGCATCGCGCAGCGCATCCCCGGCCGCACCGAGCACGCCATCCGCAACCGCTGGCAGCGGCTGCTCAAGATGGTGGAGGAGCAGCAGGCGCCGCCGCCGCCGCCGCCGCCCCTCATCGCGTGAGGCGCCGCTCGCTTGCGACCACGGCACAAGCCGCGAGGTAGCTGCGCTCGCGCCGTGTACGTCGCAGGTGCCGTTCCCGTACTTCGTCGATGAAAGCCCTACCCCGGCCCGAGTACTCCTCGTTGGCCGTCAGCAGATCTCGGAATCGGCCCTGCCGTTCCACCCCCATGGGACTCCGCCTGGGGCGCTCCGCTGGGCCAATCCCCACTGCCCTCTGCGGCCCACTTACCATGCCTGGCCCGGCTCCCCATTGGAAGGAGCCCGTCAGCCTTGCAACCACCGGCACGTGAAGGGGGCCCGCCCGGGTCGCCACTGCCGCCCGCGCAGGTTGCTCGGCCGACGACCATCTCGTCGCCGGCTCATTGGCCCATACACAGTCGATGCGTGACACTCCCCTCCCCTTTGGGCAGAACGTGAACCCCATCGCCGCCGGCCCTGCTGCTTCATGGCAGTCGGTAAGGCCCAGGCGCCGCAGGGCGAGGACCAGGGAGCTCGCCCCCTCGTCGTAACCCTCGAGCCTCCCCGACGACCTGTCCGCCGCCGAGGCCGCCACATTCAAGTCTCCCATAACGATCGTCGCGGCCTGCCCGTGCCTCCGAACAAGCGTCGTCAGGGTCGAGCATAGCTCCGCCGCCAGCTGCCGCTTTTGAGCCGAGCTCTCCGGCGCGCTCACCCCATAGACCCCGACGAGGTGGAGGTCTCTCCCGTCTGTTGTGCTGAGATGTACATGGAGGAGTCTCCCACTACAGTAATACGCCACCTTCTGGATCCTCCTCGCTAGCGGCGCGCGCAGGAGCATTAGCGCCCCTCCGGACACCCGCGCCGGCAACGGGCTCCCCGCAACCATCTGTTCCATGGTGCTTACGGCCGCAGACGAGGGCGCCCCGACCACCTCGACATCTTCCACCGATGTCATGTACGTCTCCACCGCACGTACCCCATTCGCATCCACATTCGCCTCTGGTAGGTAGAGAACGTCGACTAGGCCATGTTCCACCAGGGCGACCGCCGCGGGTAGACGGCACTGGGACCTCTCTTTCCCCGACGTCTCTCGTACGGCATCATCCGGCCGGTAGGGTTGACGACTCCCACCACCAGGTCCTCTTCCCCTTCCCGATGCAGGATGTTTACGTCCCCTTTCCAGCCAAGGGATCCGTGAATCCGGGCCGCGGTGACTCCCTCAGGCCAGCCCACCTTCTTGCCGTCTCCGGTCGACTCCACCGGGGCCAGCAAGAGGCACGACGGCTCCCGTATCTCCCCCTCGTGGTCGCCCTCACCCCCCGCCTCCTCCAGGAGCCGGGCCACGGAGTCTTGTTCTAAGCTGCCCATGAACTCGATGGCTTCCACCCCAAACAGATACTTCAATCGGCGGAGATGCGGGTGGCCCCGCCGGCTGGACTGCGTGGGTATCCTCGCCGCCCCGGCCCTCCCAGGGGGAGGCAGCCTAGTCGTTGCGAGCCCGAGTTGGAGTGAGTGCTCGCCGTCGTCCGATGGTAGCCCCCTTCCACTGGCGAGAGCGTCCTGGCACCTGGGGCGGTGATCAGCCTCGATCAGTCCGCGGGGTGGCTGGGCGAACCGAAGAGCCCTTCGTTGGGCTGCAGCTGCCTCGCTCTCCCCCCCCGACGGCCGCAAGCGTATCCACCTCCGGGTCGCTTCCTCAGCCGGTAGTGTGCCCCAGCTCATACCCGCAGCCTCGCGGGTTGCTTATTATATTCTTCTTGGCTTCCCGTTTACACGCTGTAGCTCGCTGTGTGTTTGTGTGTGTGTATGCGCTGCGCTGTGGCGGCCTGCGCCACCAGCGCGCTCGAAACACGCCGCAGCAGGCGCACCGTCGTTCCTCCCACGCTCGACATGCGCTCCTCCGACGCGGAGATTCGCGCCGCGCTCGCCGGCGTGCGGGGCGCGCTCAGCCCGGTGCTGGCAATCAAGGGGCACGGGCTGGAGCGCGCGTGCACGGAGCTGGCGCATACGGCGCGCGAGCACCACGCCGCCGCCCGCGCGGCCGGCGCCTCTGGCGAGCCGGAGCAGGAGGCGCTCGCGCTCGACGGCCCGCTGCACGAGCGGGCGGAGGAGCTGCGTTCCGCGCTGCTCGGGCTGAGCGCGCGGCTGCTGCGAGTCGCGCTGGGCGTCGAGTCGGACGCCGAGGCGGAGGCGCGCGCAGGCCGGCTCGAGGGCCGGCTCTGCCTCCGGCGCTACCCGCAGCGCGGCGGGGAGGCTGCGGCGCCGCGGCTCGGCGCGCACATCGACTCGACGGTGCTCACGCTTCTGTGGGCCAACGGGCCGGGGCTCGAGGTGCTGATGCCGCGCGACGGGCGGGGGGGCGAGGAGGGCGAGGGCGGCGAGGGCGGCGAGGGCGGCCGCTGGACGGCGGAGCAGGTGCTCGGCCTCGGCCTGCCGACCGCGTCGGCCGTCGAGCTGCGCGAGGCGCGCGAGGACGAGTGGGCGTGCGTCGAGCTGCCGTGGGAGGAGGGCGCGCTCATCCTGACGGTGGGCCTCGAGTGGCTCGAGAGCGCGCCGCTCCGCGAGCGGATGCCGATGGAGTGCGCCGTGCTGCACCGCGTCGCCGTGCCCGGAGGCCGCCAAGAGCGGCTCTCCCTGCCATTCCTGGTAAACCTGCGGCGAGGGCCCGGCGGCGGCGCGGGAGGCGGTGGGTGACGTTGTTCTCGCCGCGAAAGGGACCAGCCTGCGGGCCGTCTGAGCGGGGTTAGGCGGCGGCGGGCGGCGGAGTAGCCACCCCGTAGAAAATACCCCAACGTGTCGGGTGAGGGGGTGTTTTCAGCCGCGCGCAAAGAAAAAATCAGAAACGGTCGGATGGTCGTAGTTCGATCGGTCCCCATGCCAGTACTTGCTACGAGCTACACCACAGCGGTCAGCGCACACGGCACAGGACTTCGCACAGGGCATGAGAGGACAGGGCGCAAACACACGGCAAGCGGCCAGAGAACGTGCAGCTAGCCCTTGTACGAGCCCTTGTAGCTGGGCCCTCCCAGCACCCCCTTGGCCTTGGCGAGCAGGTCACGCGGGGGGCGGAGCGCGCACGCGTGCAGCAGCTTGTCGAGGTAGTGGTGCAGCAGCACGATCGAGTGCGACGAGAAGAGCACCACACCTCCCAGCGAGACGCGCAGCAGCGGCGCGCCCGCCTCGCCCGCCAGCCTCGCGACGAGCGCCTCGTCGTCGTCGAGGAGGCCGCGGTCGTCGCCGAGCACGACCACCACGCCGCGCGCCGCGCCTCCCTCGCCGGCCTGCCGCCGCAGCAGCGGCTGCAGCCGCGCGCACGCCGCCTCGATCGGCTCTCCGCGCGCGTGCAGCAGCAGGACGGCCGGCGGCGGGTCGCTCTCCGCGAGCGCCGCCCGCACGGCCTCCTCCGTCGAGCCCGGCCTCAGCAGGAAGCCTCGCCGGTCCGACTGCGAGTACGCGGCCGCGTCGCACACCTCGCCGCCCGGCCCGACCCCGTCCGCTGGCCCGGCAGGCGAGGCCATCGCCGCGTGCAGCCGCACCGCGACCGAGAAGTCGTCGGGCTGGAGTCGGCGGATCGAGGCGCCGCGCACCTCGAGCCGCTGCGCCTCCTCCTTGAAGCAGAGCGAGACGCACGTGTTGCCCCGCAGGCTCTGCGAGCGGAACAGCGCGGCAGAGACGCACGAGCAGCCGACGTCCATCCTGCCTGTGGACATGCACTGGACGCGTCATGGACGCGTGGCATGGGAGAGCGCGAGCACGCGAGTCCACTCTGCCCTGGCGGAGCTCGCGCGGCGCAAAGTCGGTGCGCGCGAGCCGCATCGGAATCACAAAGTGGCGCGAGAAGCAGCCGCACGCCCCCGCCTCCGCCTCGCGCGCGCAAAAGAGGTACCGCTCTCCCGGCAGAGCGCCAAAGGTACACTCTGCCGCGGCGTGCAGCTGCGAGCCGCAGTGGCTGCACCCGGCGCCCTTTGGCCCGGCGCAGTGCTTCGCGATGTGGCCAAACCCGCCGCACTTGCGGCACGCGCGGGTCGGGCACGTGCGGCCCAGGTGGCCCACGCGGCCGCACACGTTGCACGGCCCGACGGTCGAGCCGGCCTCGGGCGGCGCGGCGGCGGGTGGTGGCTTGTCCTTGCGCTTGCGCTTCTTGCCCGGCGGCGCGGCGGGAGGCGTGGAGGATGGCTCCGCCTCTGGACGCTGCGTCTCGGCTACAGGACGATGCGGCTCGGCTACCGCCGCTCCCGCCGCCGGCGGCAGCCGCTCCGCCGCTCCCGCTCCGGCTCCCGCCGCCGCCTGCTGCTCCGCCAGCTCCCTGGCTCGCCTGAGTTGCCGCGCTTTCGTCGAGCCCATGTCCGCCGTCGACGAGAGCGTGGGAGTCGACGAGCGGAGCGTGGAGAGCCTCTCGAAAAGAAGTCTTCCTGCGGTCCGTTCCCCCACCCCTCCTTTTTGGTACCCACGCCCCGGTCCCTTTCTTTCTTTTCAATGCCTGGTGCGCTCGACCCCATAAACTTGCTGTCTGCCTCGCTCGCGTTGCGGCTGAGACGCGCGCGCGCCGCCCGACACTCTCTCCCCAGTCCCCACCCAGCGCGTGCTGCGCGACTAAGACGGGCTCTGAGATCTTCCAGCTGCCTCCATCGATGCCGATCGCGCCGACGATCACCGGCACGGGCGGCGGCTTCCGGAACCGGCTCGACCTCGAGGAGGGGAACAAGACCGACGACGACAAGATCATGGCCGAGTGGGGCAAGTCCGAAGCTTGGAGGATAGCGTAGGGTGCGATTTCGATAGTTGTTAGCACGTTACTAAAAAGGGAATTGTGCCTTTGTATCTAGCCCGTCGCTGCCTCCTCGATGCCGCCAAGCCGAGGCGGAGACAAGGATCGGAGCTCCGACACAGCCCTCCTGCCTTCCTGCTCCTCCTCCAATGTATCCCAAAAGCAAAACGGCTGTAGTAACAGTTTTAGGAGACGGGTTCTGCACCACGGCGTTCATCCCCTCATCCAGCAGCGCCCTATTCACGCGCGCGCGAGTCGTGCAGACAGGGGGTTGCCAGGTTAGAGCGAATGGCGCGGTGCGCCCTCTGTTCACGCGGCCCTGTTCACGCGCGCCGCGCGCGCGAGACGTGCAAGGGTTCGTGGGGCACAGGAGAGCGATGAGGCACAGGAGCGGGACGATGCGGCTCCGCTCCCGCTCCGGCTCCCGCCGCCGCCTGCTGCTCCGCCAGCTCCCTGGCTCGCCTGAGTTGCCGCGCTTTCGTCGAGCCCATGTCCGCCGTCGACGAGAGCGTGGGAGTCGACGAGCGGAGCGTGGAGAAGCCTCTCGAAAAGAATTCTTCCTTGCGTCCGTTCCCCCACCCCTCCTTTTTGGTACCCACGCCCCGGCCGGGTTATTTCTTTTCAATGCCTGGTGCGCTCGACCCCATAAACTTGCTGTCTGCCTCGCTCGCGTTGCGGCTGAGACGCGCGCGCGCGGCCCCACACTCTCTCCCCACCCAGCGCGTGCTGCGCCTTCGCCCGCCGCGCGCGCGCGCAGAGACCCGCTCTCCGCAAGGTCCGGCGTCCGCGCTCTGACGCCCCTGTGCCGCGGGCCGCGCACAGGGGAGCTGCCGTGCGCCTGAAGGCGCGGCACCATGTTCTGGTCGCTGCACGCGGGCACGTCGACCATCGACACGCTGCTCAGCAGCGAGGAGGGCTTCACCCTCGAGCAGCTGCTCGATGAGGACGATTTGCTGCAGGAGTGCAAGTCGCAAAACACAAAGCTGCTCGACTACCTGACCGAGTCGGCGACGGCCGCCAGGCTTATCGACTACGTCATCGAGATGCCGGCGGAGGACGACTCCGAGGCGCGGCGCTTCAAGTACCCGTACGTCGCGTCCGAGGTGCTCAGCTGCGACGTAAACTCGATCCACGAGGTTCTGCTCGCCGACTCGAGCCGGCTGGTCGAGAAGCTGCTCTCGATCCTGCAGCAGTCGCCGCCGCTGCCGCCCGTCCTCATCGGCTACGCCGCCAAGGTCCTCATCGCGCTCTACAAGTGCTCGCCCGAGAGCTTCGCCGCGAGCTTCTCTGCGCTGTGGGAGGGCGCGGCGGCCGCCGACAGCGGCTCGCAGCTGGCACTGCCGCGGCTGACGGAGAGGCTGATGGCGCACCTCGGCTCCGACGCGGTGCTTCAGATGCTGACGGTGCTCTGCGTGGGCGAGCCCGTCATGGCGGAGCCGGGCATGGCGCAGCAGCTGCAGCCTCCCGCCGCGGCGTGGATCCCGCACGAGGTGCTGGTGCCGGCGCTCTTCGAGCAGCTGGCGGCGCCCAACCCGGAGGCCGCGCAGAACGCGTCGGCCCTGCTGACCACGCTGCTCGAGGCGAGCCCGGCGCTGCCCGCCTGCTTTTGCGAGCCCGAGCTCGAGGCCCGCGAGAGGTGCGAGACGCTGCTCAAGATGTGCCTCGGCGCCGCCGGCCACCCAAACGGCGGCGGCGGCGGGCTCAACCTGCCCGCGCTCGATGTGCTGGTGAGGCTGCTCGTGCGCTGCCGCGAGATTGGGGCGAGTAGCCCGTCGTGCGCGGACCACCTGCTGCGTGGCGTCGCCGAGTCGGTCGACGCCTTCTTCGTGGCCATCGCGACGCCGGCGCAGCTGCCAGAGCGCATCAGCCGCTTCTTGCCCGAGAAGGGCGCGCGAGCGATGCCGCGGCCCCAGGCTGTGACGCGCTGCAAGCTGCTCGCCCTCTTCGAGGAGGCGCTGCGGCGCGAGGAGCCGGAGACGCTGATAGCGCTCTGCCAGCTCGGCTTTTTCCACGTCGTGCTCGACTTGCTGCTGCTGCCGCACCACTGCAACGCGCTGCACATGCGGACCGCGGCCCTCATCGACGTGGTGCTGTCGGACCGGAGCGCCGAGTCGGCCGAGTCGGCGGCGACGCGCGAGCAGGTGCTCCACTCGCTGCTGGTCGAGGCGCAGCTGCCCCAGCGCCTCATGGAGTGCGCCACCGCCTCGAGCGAGATGGCGGTCCGGCCGTCGGGGCACGCCTATGTGATGGTGCTGCTGCGCGCGCTGCTCGAGGCGGCGGCGAGGGAGCAGAGCATTTCGTCGGCGCTCGAGGCGGTCGAGGGCTGGGACGAGTTTGTGGGCCCGTCGGGGCTGCTCGCCTCCTGGGAGAACGTCCAGTCCAAGCCGCTCGGCGGCAAGATGCCGCAGCGCGCCTCGGACGAGGACTCGGACGGCGACGAGTACGACGGGTCGCGCGAGCTGGAGCGGGCCCTGCAGCTGCAGGCGCAGCTGCGCGCGCAGCAAGAGAACTCGAGTTCGGGCGAGGACAGCGGCTCGGACGGCGCGGGCCCAGTACCTCGGCCCATCACTGATGAGTGAGCGGTGAACGAGCGAGCGCGGTGACAATAGGCGAGGGCCCGTACCTCGAGCACTTCGCGCAGCTGCTCTCGCAGCGCAACTTTGTCAACGACATGGGCGCCGAGCTCGACGAGGCGCGGAGAGATGCGCGGGGCGAGGCGGGGGGAGATGGGGAGATGGGGAGATGCGTTGCGATGTGGCGAGGTATGGGCGCCGCGCGCGCTGTGACCGTGCCGCGCGCGCGTGCGCCGCAGGTGCTACAGGACGGCAGCGGGGGGGGCGCGAGTGCGCAGTGGGACGCGTCGTTCGATGACGATGAGTTCGACACGGAGCCGCTGCCGGCGCAGCCACTCGGCGCGGGCGGGGGCACCGCGAGCTTCGCAGACTTTGGCGCGTCGGCGCCGGCGGCTCCCGCGGCAGACTTTGCGGCGTCGGATTTTGCAGCGTTCGACGACGCGGCGGAGGCGCCGGCCAAGTCCGACGCGTCGCCTCCGGACTTTGCAGCGTTCGACGACGCGCCCGCCGAGGCGCCCGCCGCCGAGGCGCCCGCGTCGGACTTTGCGGCGTTTGACGTGGCGGACGTCTCGGCAAAGTCCGACGCCCCGGCCTCGGATTTCGCGGCCTTTGGCGATGAGGACGCACCGGCGGCGTTCGCTGCGGACTTCGGCGGCGCACCGGAGCCAACTCCCGGTGCGGCTATGCTCGCGGCCGCCCCGGCCCCTTGCTCGCCGCCTCACCACTGCCCTTGCGTGTAGGCGAGTCCTCGGCGGAAAACGCCGCGGCGGCGCCCGACCCCGTGGCTGATGGTCTAGGGGAGAGCAGCGCAGCGCCGCTTACCGGATGACAGTTCAGTTCGCAGCCGCACAGCGCCTCGCCCGCGTGCAAGGGCCCAAAGCCGTGGCGTGCCCAGGCTACTTCACCCTCTCACTCGATCTGCCGACCACACAGGGCAGATCGCCTTTTCCTTTTATGTACATCTCTCTGGGTGCTGTGCGTGCCGGTTATTGCCGCATAAGGTAGAGGGGATCTGTTTTTTGAAAAGCACAAAAAAAACGAAGCGCGACAAGCGTGTATATGTCAGCCCCATGGCCCCGTGCGTCGAAACGGCGAGTAAAGGGTCCCCGGGGTAAAGACTAAAGTACGAGGGGTAGCGCCGGTTAGAATCGGTTAGTGGGGTAGTGCGTAGCGAGCGTAGTGGCGGCCCACGTCTGCAACCGCAGAGCTCGCGGTGTGGTCTCACGTCTCCCCCCCTTCTCCCTGCACGGATACCACCTGTGCCCCTTCACCGCTCTCGCGTCTACCGTAACGCGCGGATCCGCGGGGCCGTGGCGCGGGTGCGCGCACCGCGCTCTGCTACAGCCGCTCCGCCTTGCCTCCCTGGTTGCACGCGGCGAGCAAAAAGGACTTTTCTCTCTCGGCCGCGTCGAGCCGCGCCTTGAGCGACCTCGTCTCCTCCTCGGCAAAGTCGAGCCGCGCCTGCGCCTCGAGCAGCGCGTTGTGCTCGCCAGACACCTCGGCGCGCGCGCGCTGCGAGACCGCTTGCGCCACGCGCGCCTTCTCCTCGGCACCGTGCAGCGACGCGCGCAGCCCGGCCAGCGCCTGATCGCCATTCACGGTGTCAGGCACGGATGGAGCGGGATGGCATCGCAGCTCGGCTGGCGCCTGCTCGTCGCGGATCGCCCTCTCGCGCAGCCGCATCACCTGTTGAGTGGTTCGTGGATCGAATGAGTCTTCAACAAGTCGTGCGGATCGCCCTCGCGCGCAGCCGCGTCACCTCGACCGTCGCGTCGTCCGCCACGGCGCGGAGCTTGCTCTCGCTGGCGCGCGCCTCGCTCGCCTGCTGATGCGCCACCCGCAGCTCCGCGCGCCCCGCCGCCTCCTCCTCCGCCCGCGCCTCCGCCTCGGCTTGCAGCTGCTCGCACCGCTCGCGCGCCGCGCCCGACTCCGTCCACGCGCCGGCCAGCTCCTCGCTCTTTGCGTCGAGCGCCTTGCGCAGAGCCGCCTCTCGCTCCGCCGCGCCCGCAGCCTAGAGGGGAGGGGACAGCTCGCGCCACCGCGGGTGGCGGCGGGCGGCGGGTGGCGGCGGGCGGCGGGTGGCGGCGGGTGGCGGCGGGTGGCGGCGGGTGGCGGCGGCGTCACCTCGCGTGCGTGCTCAGAGGCCGCCGCGGCCGCCTCTTCGCGTGCCTGCTGCAGCTCGGCCGCGACCGCGCCCGACGTGCCCCAGTCGACCAGCAGCTGCGACTGCAGCTCGTCGGTCGCTCGCCGGAACCATTCCTCGGTCTGCTCCCTCCAGCGCGTCTGCAGCTCCGCGCGCTCGCGCTCCGCCTCTGCTCGCGCCGACTCGGACTGCTGGAGGCGCTTCACAAAGAGGAGGTTCTCCGCCGCGAGCCGCGCCAACACACCGCGCTCCCGCTCCAGCTGCGCGTCCAGCTCCAGGCGCCCGGTGGCGGACGCCTCGCTCGCGGCCGCCGACTCGCGCGCGGCCGCCGCCTCACGCACCGCAGCTGCGGCGGCCGCCTCGGCGGCCGCCGCGCGCGCCTCGGCGGCCGCGGCCCTGCTGGTGGCATCGTCCACTGCGGCGCGCAGCGCTGCCGTCTGATCCGCCACCGCCGCCTCGGCCCGAGACCGAGCTGCCGCCGCCGCCGCCTCGGCGGCGATGGCGCGGGCGTCGGCGTCGGCGATCGAAGACTGCGCGGCCTCGAGATCGGCGAGCGCTGTGCGCGTCCGCCCGAGCACCATTGCGGAGAGGTCACTCGCGATGTCGAGCGAGCCCTTGGCCACCTCAAGCTGACCCAGCCCGCGCTTGCCGAGCGTCGCTCGCGTCGCCATCGAGAGGTTCGCGCTCGCCGGCTGCTGCGACTGGAGCAGGTTGACGAGCGCCTCGTGCAGCTGCGAGCGGGAGGAGGAGCACAGGCGATCGAGCTCGACCATGCCGAGAGCCTGGTCGAGGTCCATCGCGGCCGTTGGGAGGCTTGGCGGGAGCGAGGAAGGTCACACACCAGCTGTCGAGCCTCTTCTCGAGACCTCGAAGAGCGACTCCAGAGCGCTCCTGGGCACATGCACATGCACATGCACATGTGCATGCACATGTGCATGCACCACTTTTTTAAATAAATTGGGACGCGTGCGCACGACCTAACACGGCACTTTCCTGGTAAATAAATATACCTACCTGTCCTAAAAGGCACAGCAGAACGCTGCTCGCTGGGATGGAGAGGAGACGCTGAAGACTGCTCAAGTATCAGCAAGCATGGACACACAAATTTTTCCGGGTGGTTGTTGGCACGCACGCGCAGGACACTCAGGCCCCACACAGCGCACAGGCGAGCGAGGGACTTCAGCACACTCCACGCTGTGGGGCTAGCACGCACGCATTGGGGCAAGACGGCCGATGGACCACGACCGACACCCCCGCCCGGATCGGTAACTAAATAGGTCCGAACATTGTCCGATTGTGGTTATGACAGGATGGCGTGATACGCAGTCGGAACTTCAGAGGGCAGGCGGCGACACGGCCGTGATGGTCGATGCAGGGGAGGGGTGGGTTCATTCAGCGGGCCATCTCGGCGACCTCTGGCTGACCGTAGGTCGACTTCGAGGCGGCTGACTTCTTGAGCTCGCGGTAGACCAGACAGTAGGTGCATCCTTTGCAGCAGAAGACCTGGACGCACGGCTCTTCGCACGGTCCAAATTCGGGTCGGAGCGTAGCGGAGTGGGGACCCGAGTTTGAAAAAGGCGACGGACGCGCTTGCGTCCTAGCCTCCAACAACGCCTCCCCGGCGCAGAGGGGCCCCCGGAGGGATGCTCAACCGCTCCACGCCACGCCGCTTGCGGCGGTCCTATTCCCTGCGAGGGGCCACTTCTTGTAAGAGTTTTTCTTGCTAGCGCCAAAACAGCATGCCGGCCGACAGCCTTGCCTCCGTGGTTGGGGAGCTCCAGGGCGTGCTGTCGAAAGATGTTTCGAACGCCGTCGCGCAGGAGCGCAGCCTATTGAGCGAGCGCCGCCGGGTGTTCCACCGTCTCCACCGTCAGCGGCGGCGGAGGCGAGGCGCGGCCCACGCGGCGGCTCAGGAGTCGCCGCCCACGTTTCTGGTCCTCGGCTTCGTGACCAATCCGCGTACGCCAAAGACGCGCGAGTGGATCCGCCAGACCGTGCTCGTGCCAGCAGCCGAGGCGGAGGGCATCTCCTCTGCCCGGCGCCAAGGCAGCCCACCACTGACGGCCCGCCCCGGTACAGGTCGGCGCCCCGGCGCTGATTCGCTTCGTCGTGGGCAAGCGCGGCCTCTCGCCTCGCGACGTGCAGCAGCTCGACGACGAGCGGCGGCGCGTCGGGAAGGACGACTTTGCCGTCGTCGACGCGTCCGACTTCAACGAGGCGGGCGGCATCTACTCGTGCATCGACAAGCTGTTCGCGTGGTTCCGCCACGCGCCGGTCGCCTACCCGGGCGCCTCCTTCTACGCAAAGGCGGACGACTCCTCATGCAGATGATGCGTGACGAAGAACGATGATGACGAGTATGAGCATGTTTGTGATTGTTTAAAGGCGGACGACGACTCGTTCGTCGACGTCGCGAGGCCCGCCTCTCCTTCCTCTGGCCGGCCGGCGGGCCTACTCATTCACAGCCACCCCTAACTCATCCAAGCAACAGGCTCGCCTCCTTCCTCCGGCCGGCGGCGGGCCTGCCGCGCGTGTACGGAGGCACCTCCAGTACGACTCTAATAAATATTTATTCTTTATTTACGATGATTTATTTTATTAGGCTACCTCCAGTACGACTCTTTCGTGACAGAGGAGTGGAGGTGCTGTGGTGGGTGGCGGGCCTCGAAAGGATGCTGTAACGACATCAGGAGCCGTGTGTTACCCTTCCAGGCACTGCGGCTGGTCGGCGGGCTTGGTCGGCCCGATGGCAGCCCGTGTCCACGACATGTCCACGACATGTCCGAGACACGGCCTCTGTAGGCGGGGCCGGTCGGCGCGGCGCACGCGCGGAGGCACGCATGCCGGGAGGGGCTCCTGATGGTGAGAATGTTGTGATGCTGACTGGTATGCCATTCTCGCAGGCACGGCTGCCCGAAGGAGCGGCGCGTGTACGGCCCCTTCCCATTCGTGGTCGGGGCCCTGACGGTGATGGGCGGAGACTTGGGCGAGATGAGCCGAGATGAGCCGAGATGAGCGCAGATGATCCTCACATCCCGCGGGCGTGGAGAGAGGGGCGGGCGAGGTCCTGGCGAGGACTAGGCGGGCTCGCATCCCACACCACTACCACCAGCGATGACCACAACGACACTAGGCGTCTGGTTCGCGTCTTCGCCGCACGTGGCGCGCCTCGTCGAGAAGGGGCGGGGCACCTGTTCACAGCAGGAGGTGTGAAGAGACGCTGTTCACAGGCGGGGCTCGTCGAGAAGGGGCGGGCGACGCAAGGGAGGCCGCAGCATTGGGTGCCGCTGCCGGTGCGGGGAAGGCACCGCTCTGCCAGAGGGCCTCCCTACAGCCTGACGGGGTGGGGTGGACTGGCGGTAGGACTGCGGCTACTCGGACGTGACGCTGGGCTACGCACTCGGCTCGGCCAACCTGTCCCTCTCCCTCCTCTCGGCGCCCCGCCCCCTCCCCCGCGGTGAAGCGCGCGGCCTCGCTTCCGAGTGGGCGAGTGGTGCGTGTGCGTGGCGGAGTGTAGGCCTCTTGCGCGGTGCGAGACGCGAGCTGTGATTGGCACTCAATCGCTGAGTACGACTCCTCAACAACAACAGGTCTCCGATGCGATGCGAGACGCCACGTACGGGGCGATGGACGCGAGTCGCTTCGTCGTCTCGCACCACCTGCGCAGCGGGCAGATGTTCGAGCGCGAGGCGGCGCGTGCAAAGGCGCAGCCGGCGTGGTCGCCTCTCCTCGGCCCGCCCGACTCCCGCCCCCTCCACCTCACGAGATGACCCGAGGTGACACACACGAGATGGCACCGAGAGTAGGCGAGTGCGAGGCGTGGCCGGCCGTGCGCGCCGAGGCGGGCGGCGCGTCGGCCGAGCTGCAAGCGGCGATGCGCACGTTCGAGTGCTGCCAGCAGTGGAAGCTGTGCCGGCTCGGGCCGGCGGCCAAGTAGGGGCCAGTGGTCGGAGGCGGGAGTGTGCCCGGCCGGAACGCGCACTGACAACCGCGACGGCGCGTAATTATGGGGGCGCATTCGGAAGAACGGGCGCGAGAGGTGGCAGGGGAGGCGCTGGCGCACACACTGATTGTGACACTCTTTCGAATCGTATTGCAGTTCAACGCAATGCACTGAGGCCGGGTGTGTCTGTCATCTGTCTCTGAATTGTGAGTCTGATGACTGCTCGTACTGACGTACTCTGCCGCGTTTCGCGACACACATCCCCGCATGACTGATATACTCTGCCCATGCACGAGATGTGCACGGAGCTGCACACGCATGGGCATGCGCTCGGCTACGACACGATGTGATATATGCAAAATGATGCAAGTAATGAAAGATGCCAGAAGCAGAACGACATGGGACCGAAATGAAATAGATAATGGATACCATACTGATGGGGAGGGGGCGATGACCGCGCGCGCGCAGCACGCGCCCAGAGAGCGCTCAGCGCTCCCTTGACTCTTGTCCTGTTGCTGGTCAGACACGAGGCGCGCGCACCCAAGCAGCAAGGCGACCCCGCCTGTGAGCTGTGTCATTCATCTGCGCCGCCCCCCTGCTCGCTTGCCTCGGCGGGCGGCGGCATCGCGAGGGCCTCTTCGAGGTTGAGCATGATGACCTAGAGAGCAGTCCTCGTCGCGCTGAAGGCAACCCGCCGCCACGCTGCCCTCCTCCTCCTCAGGGGCGTGCTGACGTTGCACAGCCGCGTCATCGGCGTGATCTCGAAGGGCTGCTCGACCTGCACGCCACACCTCGGCTGATCTCGGCTGCTCTCGACTGATCTCGTGTGATCTCGGCTGATCTCGGCTGATCTCGGCTGATCTCGGCTGATCTCGGCTGATCTCGACTCCTCTCGGGCGACGCATCAGCTCGGTGCTCGACCTGCACCCCCACCTCCTCGATGCCAACGAAGATGTAGCTCACCAGGAAGACCCAGAGCGAGATGTGCGCCGGCGACATGCTGCCCGCCAGCACGGCGGGCAGCCCGAGCAGCCAGAGCAGCATGCAGCGGATCACATGCCGCGACCTGCAGGAAGGGTGCCGGAAGGGTCGTGGGCGGCGTGCGTAGAGGCAGTGCAGCGGAGGACGGTGGCGAGACATCGTCGGCGGCACGGGCGACGAGAAGACGCGCTCGCAGCCGCCCACGACGAGGTCGAGCTCCTTGAGGTCCTGCGGCGGCGAGGGGAGGGCGGAGCAGGGTGAGAGGTGCGCGGGAGGGGAGGGCGGAGCAGGGTGGCGAGGTGCGCGGGAGGGGCCGGGCGGTGTCGCCTCCTCGAGCTTGCGGTAGACCATCGGGTGGAGCGTGCCTGAGGGCGCAGGGGGGCGTGGGCGTGTCGTGGGCGTGGGGCAGCCCTGCGGCGCGCCTCGAGGGCGATGGCGGCGCCGACGCGGAGCTGCGCGTGCAGCTGCCTCCGCATCGCGCCGAGCAGCAGCAGCGGCCGCGAGCGCGCCTGGCCGATGAAGTCCACCTCCTCGGCAGGCAGGAGCACGCGCAGGATGTCGGTGTCCTCGCCGGGCCGCAAGCCGCGCGTCTTCCCGACGCCGTCGCCCTTGCCCGTCAGCTTGGCGTTCAGCTCCCAGGGGAAGGCGGCGAGGTAGCGGCACACCTTAGACGCGGCTGCGTGCGAGGCGGGCGCTCGCTCCGCCGGCAGGCTGCGGTCGAAGAGGAGAGCCGTCGCGACTGTCTGGGCCGCCTGTTGGCCCCACTCTCGGAGGTTACTTCATCACCCATTGACAGGGCCGGGCCGCCTGGGACGATGAGCGGCAGGGAAGAGTCTGGGGAGTGTCTGAGAAGTGTCTCGGAGGCGTCTCGGCCGCCTGCCGGCAGAGGAAGACGGCCCTCCCCCACAGCAGCCGCGCCTCGGCCACCCTGCCGTACAGGTTGTTGACGCGGAAGACGAGGAGGAGCCCGATCGCAGAGCCCATCGCCGTCAGCGGCAGGGGCGACGTGCGTGGCAGAAACCTCGCGGGCAGCGAGGCGACGCAGAAGGACCAGAGCGAGAGCGAGAGGCAGATCGGCCACACCGAGGCGAGGACGGTCGAGTGGCGCCACGTGACGCCGGTGCGCAGCCAGCGGCGGAACGGCGACTTGCCCGTGTACGCGCTCCACGTCTCGTGCGAGAAGAGCTGCGTGAAGGACGGCTCCCCGGTCACCGAGCCAGACACCTTGTACATCGGCAGCAGCCCAGCCGACTCCCACAGCTTCTGCTGCACCTCGGGCGATTGCTCCGTCGGGCGGAGCTCGCGTATCCTCGCCAGCTTGCGCTGGATTGCGTCGGCGGTGGACTCGGCGCTGCGCTGCAGCTCCAGCGCCGCGGCCGTGCTGCTCAAGAGCGGGCCGGCGCGGCGCAGCCCGAGCGCCGGCGCAAACCTACCGTTGTGCGACGTGGAGACGAGCGCCGACGCCTCGGCAGAGAGCAGGGCGAGGGCGATGGTGGCCATCCACGAAGACCCTGGGGCAACAGTCGTTGCGGGTCGACCGAGTTTGCGATGAGAAGTGACCCGAGCCGCCGGGTGCCCCGCAGCGGCCTCCCTGGACCAGAAGAACCGGTCCGCGAGTGCTCCGCAGCAGCCTCGCTGAGCCAGAACGTCGGCTCGAGGGGGTGCTAGTATGAGCCCGATACGTCGCAGTGTTCTTGCTCCCAGCGCTTGCGCTTCGGCGGTTAGTGGTGCACTAACCTCCGAGAAACCCTTCGGGTCGCTCCTCATCGCAAACCCTGTCAGCAGAGTCCTCCTACGGGAATGTACGTAAGAGCTACATACACTGAGAGAGAGAGCAAAGCTCGCTTCCGAGCTCTCACGCCGCGCGTAGGGCCCTTAGGGGCCTAGAGAACACAACCCCCTCTCTCTTTTCTCCCAGTAAGCTAAAAGTACGTACGTACACTGAAAAAGAATGGCGGCGTAACACAAGTTGCTCATGTTCAATCGATGCGAGCCGCAACGCGGGTACGGACGCGATCTCAGGCGCGACTATCTGGGGCAGCCTCGGAAAAGCAATCGCCAGATGGCACCGCCGATCCTCAATGAGCGAAGACGCGACGAGCGGCAGAGCTCTGCTGCCGGTGAACAGCTCAATGCTAAACAGCTCAACGGCCGCATCTCGCATGCCAGCGGCACCGACCAGCTGCTCGCGCTCTTTACTGGGCACAGCGCGAGCTTGAACCACATCCACGCTGCAAACCTGTGGAACAAACTGGGCAAGCAGCGCATCGAGCGGCGGCACGAGGAGCAGCTTGAGCGGCTGGTGCAGCGCACGCTCGACCTCGTCCAGTCATGCGAAGCACGCAACCTGGCTAACGTCGCTCATGGAGTGGCGAAATGCCGGCTGCCAGTGAGTGTCGTGCGCTTGCTGTACGAGGCGGTGGCGGAGGCGGCCTTGGGCAGAGGGATGCCTGGCTTTAACCCCCAGGCCCTGGCCAACACGGTGTGGGCGTATGCGACGGCGGGCGTGGCGGCGGAAGCATTATTTGCGGCGGTGGCGGAGGCGGCTGTGCGCGGCGGGCTGGCTGGCTTCAATCCTCAGAACCTGGCCAACACGGTGTGGGCGTATGCGACGGCAGGCGTGGCGGCGGAAGCATTATTTGCGGCGGTGGCGAAGGCGGTGGTGCGCGGCGGGCTGGCTGGCTTCAATCCTCAGAACCTGGCCAACACGGTGTGGGCGTATGCGACGGCGGGCGTGGCGGCGGAAGCGTTATTTGCTGCGGTGGCGGAGGCGGTGGTGCGCGGCGGGCTGGCTGGCTTCAACCCTCAGGCCTTGGCCAACACGGTGTGGGCGTATGCGACGGCGGGCGTGGCTGCAGACGCGCTGTTCGCGGCGGTGGCGGAGGCGGCGGTGCGGTGCGGGCTGGCCGGCTTTACGCCTCAGAATCTGGCCAACACGGTGTGGGCGTATGCGAAGGCTGGCATGGCTGCGGACGCGCTGTACGCGGTGGTGGCGGAGGTGGCGGTGAGCGGTGGGTTGGCCGGCTTCAACCCCCAGGACCTGGCCAACACGGTGTGGGCGTATGCGAAGGCGGGCGTGGCGGCGGAAGCGTTATTTGCGGCGGTGGCAGAGGCGGCTGTGCGCGGCGGGCTGGCTGGCTTCAAGCCGCAGGAGCTGGCCAACACGGTGTGGGCGTATGCGACGGCGGGCGTGGCTGCAGACGCGCTGTACGCGGCGGTGGCGGAGGCGGCTGTGCGCGGCGGGCTGGCTGGCTTCAACCCCCAGGCCTTGGCCAACACGGTGTGGGCGTATGCGAAGGCGGGCGTGGCTGCAGACGCGCTGTACGCGGCGGTGGCGGAGGCGGCGGTGCGGGGCGGGCTGGCCGGCTTCAACCCCCAGGACCTGGCCAACACGGTGTGGGCGTATGCGACGGCGGGCTTGTATCACCAGGCGCTGCTTGCCGACTGCTCGGGCATGATCAGCGGCTCGCTCGCGCAGGATCCGATGTGGAGCACAGCGCACCGCTGTCAGCTGCACCAATGGCAGCTCTGGCTCTCCCTGGAATGCGGGGCAGACGGCCAGCAGCATCTCCTCCCCGACCCCCAGCGCCAGCTTTGCTGCGACGCTATGGTGGCGACCATAGCGCGGCCATCAGGCTTGCAGCGCTCCGTCGCGGATGCCCTCGCCGCCGTGCGGGGCCCAGGCTTCGAGGAGGAGTATGTCGAGCCGCGCACCAGCTACTCGCTCGACCTGGCGCTGCCCTCGTCACGCATCGCGATCGAGGTGGACGGCCCCTCTCACTTCCTGCTGCCCGACGGATGGGGCGTGCGCAAACCCAACGGGCCGACGCTGCTCAAGCGTCGCCTCCTCGCGGCGGCTGGCTGGCGGGTGATCAGCGTTCCATTCTACGAGTGGGGCCGCTTCACGACGGCCAATGATCGGCAAACCTACCTGGAGAGGGCGGTCGCCCCACTGTAGTCCTGTCTCAGCTGAGCAGGATTGCAAGCAAGGTCGCGCGCCTGCAAGGTCGCGCGCAGCCCGTCTCAACAGCGCTTGCGTCCCACCCATAGCGTCTGGTGTCCAGGGTCACTGGTCAGACGCGGTTTCGCTTTCTTGTGCGAAGGCGCGCTCGACATCCTTAGCCCATCGCTGTACGAGAACTCAGGTACGCCACGGGGGCCGCCTAAGAGACTCGTCTCCTACGAATGGTTTGTTCTCCTACGAGGAAAAAGAATTGATTGTGCGTGCCTTGAGCTTTTCGTTTTCTTACACTGGGGCGCGCACTGCTGGGCACAGCGACACAGGGAAAAGAATTCTAACATGTATTCATCGCAGAAGAAATCGTACCGAAAGAAATTCTCGGAAAGGTTTTGGCGAGCATAAGTTGGCGAGCAATGCGCACCCCACAAATCCTTGAAGCTATCCTTGATTGCTCCTTTGGCTTGTCGGTGAGCGGGATGGCCATCCAAATTGTGGCTCCTCTTGTGCTTGTGATCCTCAGCGTGGCTCTACGTGAACACGAGTTCTCAGTTGGCGGCGGTGCTGCATACGAGTCCTCAGTTTGTGTCGGCGGGCTCGCTGCGCTAACCCTGGTGCTCTCGATCGTCGCCTCGATCGTCGGGGGTTGGAGCAAGCAGAAGGTTGATGCCGACGTGCTGACGCTGGTCGATAAGGTGACCCTCGCCTTCCGCCTCCTCCGTTCGGTGTGGACCCGTGCAGGGTGGAGCGCCTTCAGGGTGGACCACGCGGCATTTGACGCAGAGCTTGCCGCAGCCAACGCGCGCTTCATGAGCGCCGAAGCCGCGGCCGCGCTCATCAGTGATGAGACAGTAGTTGCCTTTTCGGGAGTGGCGGCCAACGTCGCGCCCAGCCTGCTGATGGGGGCGCTGCGGCGGCGCCACCTCGCCACCTCCTCACCACGTGGGTTGACTGTTGTCGGGCCGGGCGGCAATGGCACCAAGGGGAAAGGCATTTTGCGGGGATCCTTGGAGGAGCTCGCCCTTCCTGGGCTTGTGACGCGCCTCGTTGTGTCGCACACTCTCACGCTGCCCAGATTTCTGCAGCTGGCAGCGCCCGCCGACTCAAACCTCGAGGTCCAGATCCTGCCGCTCGGCATCATCGCGAGGCTGCTCGCGCGCCTCGCCGGCGGGCAGGCGCCCCAGCTCGTCTCCACCGTGGGTGTTGGCACCTTTGTCGACCCGCGCTGCGGCCGAGGCTCTCCGCTCACGCCGGGCGCGCCGCACCTCGTGGTCCCCGATGCCGACTCGGGACACCTCGAGTTCTCGCTTGGCGTCGACCGCATCGACGCCGCAATCATCAATGCGCCGCTGGCCGACCGCAAGGGCAACCTCTACTCGCACGGTGCGACGGTCCTCAACGAGACGTTCGACATGGCGACTGCCGCCAAGCGAGGCGGCGGCGTGGTGCTGGCGCAGGTCGGCGCTGTCGTGGACGACGACGCGGCGCGCGGCATGGAGGTCTGGATCAAGGCCGAGCACGTCGACGCTATCGTCGTCAACTCCAAGACGGAGCAGGTGCTCGGCGCTACTTACGGCTCGCCCTTCTCGTGGCTCACGCTGCAGCACGGCGAGGATGGCGTCTCAAAGGCCAAGGGGCTGCAGCTCGCCCGCCTCATGTGCAAGCTGGCCAACGCCACACCCACACGCAGCGACATGGACCGCGCGATGGCGCGCCTGGCGGCGCACGTGCTCACTTCGCGCGTGTCTGCCGGCGCCTTGGTGGACATCGGCACGGGCCTGCCCGAGGAGGTGTCTTCGGTGCTGGACGAGTGCGGCACCCTGGAGCAGCTCCGCATGGTGGTCGAGACCGGCGTCTTTGGGGGCGTGCCGGCGCCGGGCCTGCTCTTCGGCGCCTCCATCTACCCAGAGGAGATGGTGAACACGGCGCAAGCCTTTGAGCGCATGCAGGGGAGCCTCGACGCGGTGGTGCTGGGCGCGCTCGAGTTCGACGAGGCGGGCGACGTCAACGTGTCAAACAAGCGCGGAGACGTGGCGAACTACGTCGGACCTGGCGGCTTCATGGACCTGATCGACTGTGCCAAGCTCGTGATCTTCATCTGTCCGTTCACACAGAGGGCGTCCATCACCGTGGGTGCCGATGGCTCGCTGAGCATGACGGAGCAGTCGGGGGCGAAGCTCGTGCCACGTGTGAGCGAGGTGACGTTCAGCGGCGCCAGGGCGCTCGCCGCTGGCAAGAGCGTCTTTTACGTGACCAGCGTCGGCCTGTTCCAGCTCACGCCGCACGGGCTGCAGCTCACGGCGCTGATGCCCGGGCTGGACATGCAAAGGCACGTCGTCAGAGCCGCACCCGGCGTGCGGCTGCACCAGCCGCCGGGCGAGCCCCCGTCGACCGTCGATCGCAGCATCGTGGCGGGAGGCGAAGCTTTCGCCCTTCCGCCCCTGCGAGGCGCCGCGCTCCGGGTGGCCGAGGGCGAGGTGGGTCCGCCGCCCCTGCGAGGCGCCGCGCTCCGGGTGGCCGAGGGCGAGGTGGGTCCGCCGCCCCTGCGAGGCGCCGCCAGCGCGCTCCGGGTGGCAGAAGAGCCCCCGGTGGTGCTCTACGAGGAGCTGGGCCACGTGGCTGTGTTCACACTGAACCGCCCCGCCGCGCGGAATGCAATCAACGGCAAGGTCTCGGCGCGGTTTGAGGCGCTGCTCACCGCGTTCGAGCGGAACTCGGATATGTGGGTCGGCGTCGTGGCCTCATCCCATCCAGACGTCTTTTGCGCGGGCGCGGATCTGAAGGCAATCAACGCCATGGAGCGGGTGTTCTCTTGGAAGGGCGGCTTTGCTGGGATGGTCCAGTTCCCCCGCACCAAGCCTCTGATCGCCGCGGTGGACGGGAAGGCTCTGGCTGGCGGGTGCGAGATCGTCCTCGCTTGCGATCTCGTCGTTGCCTCCCACAAGGCGGTCTTCGGGCTGCCCGAGGTGAAGCGGTCGCTGGTTGCCGGAGCCGGGGGGCTCTTCCGGCTACCGCAGAGGCTGCCGCGCCAGGTTGCGATGGAGATGCTTCTCACGGGCGACCCAATCATGGCAAGCCGCGCCAAGGAGCTGGGCTTCGTGAACGAGCTGGTGGAGCCCGGGTCCTCGCGCGACGCGGCGCTCGCACTGGCGGGCCGCATCGTGCAGAACGCGCCCGTAGCGGTGCGCGAGGCGAAGGTCTGCGCGGACCGCATGCAGCTGATGAGCGACGATGACGCGTTCAATGAGTCCAACCGCGCCCTCGTGAAGCTCTTCATGACGCCTGACTTCAGGGAGGGGCCAAGGGCGTTTCTTGAGAAAAGGGAGCCGCGATGGACGGGGCGCTACCCGCCGTGGATATGGTCGCTCGTGGTGTCCCTCTGGTACACGGGGCGGGCGCAGTGTTAGCGCAGCGGTGTGTTGAGAGCGCTGTTGCCCGTGGTGTGAGGGCGATGCCGATCAGATGATAAGGGGTGGAGCTAGGACTGTGCACCTTGTTCAATGTACTCTAATGAGACGATGTCGGTCGTCGTGCGTAGCCGTAGGCTTAGGTGTGGGGGTTGGGGAAATAAATAAATAAAAACGCACACCTCTCTACTGTGAGGTGGGTAAAAAGGAACAGGTCCCCGCCCTTGCGATCTTTGTGCAGGGTTCTTTGTGGGTGTGGTCGGCGACTAGCCGGGGTCGTCCTCCCGATGGGGGACTAGCACTAGCCGTCTTCCACATGGTGGGGGTTGGGGAGGGTATTATCACCCCCTTTTTTTCACCACGCACCTGAGAACCCGAATCTCAGCCCTGCAATTATGACCCCAACTGCCGTGCCCTGCCCTGCCCTGCCCTGCCGCCTGCCGTACTGCCCTGCCCGCACACTGCCGCACAACACTGCCCTCCCCGATCCCCTACCTGCCCCGGGTGTGAAACCCACACTGCCCTGCCCTGCCCAGACCACACTGCCGAGGTGTGAATAACTGCCCGCTCGCGAGGTCTCGGAGAAACTTGTGGTGTGAGTGATGGGTGTGATGGGGGTGTGATGGGGGTGTGATGAGAAGCAGAAGCGAACGTCGATGTTTTTGCTGCCGCGCGTCCGCGCCGCGACCTCCCGTTTGTTTTGGCGCCGATGCAGCGCCGTCTCTCGCCGCGCGAGATGGCGCCGCCGCGGCGTCGGTGCCGCGATCAACCGCGCTCCAGCAGCGAGCGGTGCAGAGCGGCTACCGACATGACAGTTGGCGACGGCGTCTGTTTCACTGTGTCATGTGTCCCGCCTCTCATTTGTGTCACACCACGCGGAACGCATCTCCATCGCTTCGGTGAAGGGGGTGAACCGCGCCATCCTCGATCGCCGTGCAAAGCTCGCTTCCGAGCTCTCACGCCGCGCGTAGGGCCCCTAGGGGCCTAGAGAACACAACCCCCTCTCTCTTTTGTCCCAGTAAGCTAAAAAAAGTACGTACATAACATCGAAGGCTAAGCTCAAAAAAGTACGTACATTGAAAAAGAATTTTCCAAGAAAACTCCCTCGCACAATACTGGGCACGGGACTGGCGCGCACTGGCACTAACACAGGTACACTGAAAAAGAAGAGAATTCTTAAGATACAAGCCTCTCTCACAGCACACTGGCACGACAAGGGCGCGGACGGGCGCGGACTGGCAAAGAAAAGAAACATGCCGAGCCAACTTAGAGCGCGCTCATCGATCTGAGGGGCTGGCCGATGGGTGGGGCTGCCACATCCGTGGCGACGCCCGCCGCAGAAGCGCGGAGCGGCCTCTCCCTCCTCACGACGATGCAGTGGTTCTACGGCCCGACCTGGGGCAACACGCTGCAGATCTGCCCCGAGCGAGCTGCCCTGAGCCGCCGGAAGCCGTGCGTCAAGTGGGTCAACGTGCATGCACGTCAGCTCGAGCTGCTGGAGGTGTCGGCGGCGGCATGCAGCCGCCTCGGCCGCCATCGGCTGAGGAAGCCTGCGTGCCCCGCGCAGGTGCTCCGGCGCAATGTGCTCCACGCCGCCGTGTCGGACCTCCACCTCCTCGTCGCAGAGGCGCCGCCCGTGGAGGCGCTGCTCAGCAGGCTGCGCTGGTACGAGAAGCGGAAGCACATGCTGCACGTCGTCGGGATTGCCGAGCGCCCCTCCTTCCGGACGTACCTCGCCTACGCCTCGCGCCACCTCGTCGGCCGCACCGTCGTCTTTCTCAACCAGGACGTGTACCTCATGCCGGAAGGGCGGTGGGCCGAGCTCGCAACCTCCGGCCTCCCGGCCCGCCACACGTACTTCCTCTCCCGCTACCACCGCCGGACGGACTACGACGTGCGCAGAAGCGCCGAGGCGGCCTCCTCCCTCGGCCTCCTCAACCTCACCGACGCCGGCGCGCCAGCGGACGGCGGGCAGCTGCAGGGCAGGCGGCTGCAGGGCAGGCGGCTGCAGGGCAGGCGGCTGCAGGGCAAGTCGAGGCTACTGCAGGGCAAGGGCAAGCTGTTTGCCAAGCCTGCGGCGTGGGGGCAGCGGACGTGCGACATGAGCGGGCCGTCGTACGGCGTGTGGCGGCGCACGCTCTGCTCGAAGATCAACTTTGGCTCCTGCGACGCGTGTGTCTGCTCCCCAAAGAAGAGAATGAGCTCGAGAAGAGGAGAGAGAATGGTGTAGGCTCCTACGACGCGTATGTCTTCTCCCTCGCTTCTCCGCTCTCCGAGGCGAGCGGACCCCTCGCCCATGCACTCCTCACACTTTCCCGCCCTATGCGCCCTCGATCCGCCCTCGATCCGCCCGACCGGCGCTCCGCCGCCCGGCCGGCGCTGCGCCGCCAGCGCGGGCTGCAAGCGCGGGCTTGCCTGGCGCTTCCCGCCGCCCGCTGGCCGCCCGGTTGCGGAGTCCTCCGCCACAGAGCTTGCGCCGCTCCTTGCTGCCCAGCTGCCTCACTGCCGCTTGCCGCCCTGCCCCTGCCAGGCGCAGCTCTCGCTGTTTGAGTTTCCGCAGAACGCGTGGGGCGGGGGCATGTCCTCCTCTGCATCTCCACGCGAGATCCGCCGAGATCAGCCGAGATTGGCCGAGAGTAGGCGGCGAGAATGTCCTCCTCTACATCTTCACGCGCGCGCTCGGCTACTCCGCCTCCAACCCGTGCCTCGACCTCGCCGTCAACCACGCGCACTGCCAGCTGCCCTCCTCCTTCGGGCCCCGCCTCTGGGGCGAGAGGTAGCAGAGAGGCAGCTCAGAGGCAGCGGAGAGGCAGCAGGAGGGGTAGCGGAGAGGCAGCGGAGAGGTAGCAGAGGGGCCCCGCTCTGAGGGTGGCGCCTCCGCCTCCGCCATCGCCACCGCCCCAGACCCGCACGCCACACGCCGCCACACGCCACCACGCGCCGCACACCTCCCTCACCCTCTCACATCCGGAACCCTCGCGGCAACAAGCCCCGTCGGCCTCGCGCCACCGGCCTCTTCGCCCCCGCGCCGCCCAGGCGACGCCCGCCAGGCCAAGGGCACGGTGACGAGGGCGGTGCAGGCGAAAATGCGCGCGATGGGCCTCGAGGTCGACCTGACGCCAAAGGCAGTGGGTGACCTCACGCTCAACGTCACGGGCCTCGGCACACCCTCCTCCGCCTGAGGGGCCGCGGCCGGAGAACTCTCGGCCGCGTCTCCGACTCAGCCAGTCCGGCGGCGCCGCCCCGCGCCCCGGCTTTGGCAAGCCGGGGCTCTCGCCTTTGAAATTTTGCCAGGGCTTGCGCGGGGGGCCGCGGGCGCGGCAGGTGTGGAGAGAGTGTGCTCAATGTTCATAAGATGACAGCGTGACAGATCGGGGGTAACGTCTAACGACACACGGGTGGCAATAGTCCCGGGCCGAGAGTGCCGGGAGAGGGGTGAGGGAGTGTAATACGGAGTATTGTGTACAAGAGAGTAGACGAGCGAGCGTCCTCGGACCTCGCGCTTCGCGCGCTCTCGCGCTGCTGCAGAAATCCCGACGCCATTGAAGACAGGCGTCAAACCTCGTCCTTTGCGGCGGCGTCCGACTTTGCGCGGATCTCTACGTCGTACTTCTTGTACAGCGCGTCGAACATGCGGCTCTCCCTCCCCTTCCACTTGTCCAGCGCCGCGTCCACGCCCGCGATCTTGTCGTCGAGCCCATACCTCGAGTAAAAGTCGACGAGCTCGTCTCGCCACTCTGCCCTCGACTTGCGGCCGCCGCGCCCGCCCATGGACGCGCCCATCTGCTCCGGGTTCATGTTCTTCAGGTCGTCCGCCGTGAACATCTTAATGCCCTCCATCCCTGGCATCCCCTTCATAGACGCGAGCAGGTCCTCGATGCTCTGGTCTTTGCCCTTGCCGGCGTCCGCAGGCGGCTCCTCGGGCGGCAGCAGCGGCGCGTCCTTGTTCTGCTCACACAGCGTCACATAGTCGGCCTTCTCCGCGCACCCCTCACACTTGAGCCCTCGAGCCGCCAGCCACTTTCGCAGCTCCTTTGTCCGCATCGCGCCGCAGTCAACCTCGCTATCCGTTGCGGCGACTGCCAGCAGGAGAGCGGACATGATGATAAGTGCGCTGCGTGCGCGAACGGTGCGCATGTAGTTGGCTTGGATTAGGCCCAGCGGCGCGAATTAGGATTGTGGCCGTACCGCTTCACACCGAGGGCGCTTCGATGACGTTATTGCTGGCAGCCTGTCCTGTCGAAAGAAAGAAACTGCGCGGTGCGTGTCCGTATACGTACGTGGAGCACATCATCATCCGGCAGAACGGCGGGCACGTCTCGAGACCATGGTGCGCGCGCTCGCCCCACCCGTGCCCACGGCGGCCTGCGCGCGCGCGCGCGCGGTAGTAGGAGTAGGCTGCGGGTCGTACCGAACCGGTGGTTCACCACCGGTCTCTGGTCCCCGGGAGCAACGAACCGAGCAGCCAGACCATGTGCGCCAAACAGCAGCACATTTAGCGACTCGCAGAGCACCAGTCGAGGTGCTGCCCGCCGAGGCCCGAGCACGCGATACTCGCATACTTACGCAAAATGGCGAGCGCGAGCGGTGACGTCGTGTGAGAGTGCGTGTCGTGTGCATGTCTGGTGTTCATTATAGCTCCGAGTATAGGGGGCGGTCTGCTGCTAGGGGAAACCCGGAGCGCGGAGCCAACCCTCGGAGACCCGTGTTTACTCTACGGCCCTTTCCCTGCGAACGCGCACCCCCAGGGCTAGGGCTCTCTTGCCCGCAACCCGATCCCGATCATCCGGCCCGCTGGGTGCGCTCCTTAGCTCCCCGGCCCTGGATGTGAGGCTGCCAACTGCACTCCAAGTGCTCCAAGTGCTACTCCCTGCATCTCTGCAGAATGTCCCTTGTAACGTGAGAGAGTGCGGTTATTTTTTGTACCGCTTTCTCTTCACAAGTAGACGCCCGAGGGTGGGCGACGGCTAGCACCACACACACTAGAGAAGAAGATCTCTCTCTCTCTCTCCCACCACACTCAAACAAATCTCCACACTCACTCCTCTCCTTAAAATCCCTGTGTGGTGGCGGCGTGCCGTCCTCCCATCCCTCCCTCCTTAAAGGTTCTTTCTTGCCGCGGTGTGGTCGGTGTGGTCGGCTTCCTCGCCGACGAGCGGCGGCTCAACGTCGGCCTCACGCGCACGCGACACCAAGCTGCTCAATCCTCGCCGACGTCGAGACGCTCGCGTCGGGGAGCAAAGGGCGCACCGCCCTCGCGGCTCTGGTCCGGCACGCGGCCTCGGCGCGCTGCCTCCACGAGTGGAGCGCGGGCTCCTCGCCGCCGCGCCTCAGCGACGAGGCTTGCGCGCGGCTGATGGAACGGACCACCGACGCGCCGCACGCCTCGCCGTCTACAGGGAGCTGGGAGGGAGGATGCGGATATGCGGCTGGGGGCTGGCAGGAGGACGGCACGCCGGCCACGCCGCCACTACACAGGAATTTTAAGAAGATTGGATATTGCGGCACCTTCACGGGGAACTCGTCTCCCGATACTGCAACCCAGACAGACAAGAGCTGGCTCTGAGCCACCGCTGCACGCACGCTAGACTGCCACAACGTATCAGACACTCCTCATTCCGAGTACACATCCACCCTCACGCACAATTAGTGTTCAGCGCCCACTCAAGGATTGGCCCAATGCCATCTACGTCATCTACGGCCCCGTTCGTTGCGATGCGTCCGATTAGTCGCGGTTGCCGGTGGTCTCCGTACTAGTGAAACACTTGGCATTTACGGTCTCCGCGTGGGCGAGGGTGTGGCCACTGAAGGCATTCGGCACCCTGGAGAAGGCCAATTGATGACAGGCCGGAATTAATCCACCGTTCCGTTCAACAGAAGACCGCACAGCTCGGCCAGACGAAGACTCACTCCTTCTCATGTCCCTCGTTAATCATGTTGGCCACGAGGACCACCTCTGACACATTCAGGGGTGCGGTCGGGGATGCCAGCCAAAAGGGCGGGAAGGTTGTCTGGGTGCCGCCGACAACTAGCGTGCCACTCGCGGCGCCCCGCTCGGCAGCTTTGGCAGCGACCAGCGGGAGTAGTTTTTGCGTGGCGCCCAAAGGCCTTTCATCGTTGGACATAAGGGCATGCGTGGTCAAGACCACGCCCAGCAGCCAAGGCACGGCGGCAACGGCGAGCGCGGCGTCCGCAATCCCCTCCGTGACGCAATAGCCACGGTGCGAGGCGCAGAAGACGACGTCTCGGGCCAACATCAAGATGGCCGCACTCAGAGACAGAACTGAGGTCGCGCCCGCCAGCCGGCGCCACCCGAGGGGGACTCGGACCGTGGTGGCCAGTACGAGGCAGGCGCAGCCAACTTGCCCGCAAGCCATGATGGCGAGGAGATCAGGCGTGACGCCGTCGCCAATCGCAATCTGGAGGCCAAATAAGCCGACGGCGATCACACAAACGGCAGCCCCCACGGCGGCGGAGGCCACGCGGAGAGCTTTGAAAGTCGGACTGGAAGGCCGCCAAAAGATACTTTGCAGAAGGACGATCGTTGCGGCGACGATGCCGAGGATAACACCGGCGCCACTGAAGGCAGACGCATCGGTGTCGTGCCTCTCGTAAGGCACTAGCCACCACGGCCGGTGATGATTCGCATCCTCCTCTGTCAGGCGGAACACCTCAACTCCATAAGTGACGTCGCCCTCGGTGACCTGCGCCTCCAATGTCGTGAGCACGACATTGCACTTGTCCGACGGCGGCGGCACGGAGCAGAGCTCCCAGCGCGCGCCCCCGATGGTGTAGCACCACGGCCCAATCTCCGCCGAGCCCGGGTTTCGGCAAAAGTTGTGCCCTCCGAGCCCAAAGGTTGGAAAGGCGAGGCCGGTCTTGGTGTGCGCGTTGGGCGTCTGGTGTGACCAGACCTGGCACTGGTGGCCCGCCGCGGAGACCGCCACGTGGCCGCGATAGTCGATCCCGCGGCTGTCCGTGTAGCACTCGTCCGCCTCGTGCGAGCAGTCGTGCCCGTCCCAGCCGCACGCCTCGTTGTTGCACTGCTCGTCGCACTCGTCGTCGTCGATCCAGTTGGGCATGCAGCCGTCGGCGCACCCGCTGTCGGCGGTGCAATCGGTGCCGTCCCACTGGCACGCCGAGTTGTAGCACGCCTCGTCGCAGTAGCCGTCGCCGATCCACGCCACCGGGCACGCGGTGGCGCAGTTGTCCTCAAAGCCGTACCCGCCGTCGTAGCCGCAGTCGCCGCCGTCCCACACGCACTCGGTCGTGTTGCAGGCGATGTCGCACTCGGCGTTGCCGAGGCGCAGGTCGTCGCAGCCCGGAGAGCACGAAGTGGCCACAAAGTCGTCGTAGTCCATCATGTCGCCGCCCGCGACGGCGTTGGCCGCGTCCTGCGTGTAGTTGTACAGGAAGAGCTTGAAGTCGCCCTCCTCGAAGCCAGAGACGCCGATGTGCAGCTTGCACTCCTCCTCGTCGGTAAGCGGCGGTGGCGGCGGTGGCGGGGGCGGCCGGGGAGGCACGCTGCAAAAGCCGCAGGTGTAGTCGCACAGCCCTGCCAGAGGGGGCGAGGGGTGTAAGGGTGGCACGGGCGAGAGCGCCGGTGGGGGCGGCTAGGAGGTGTCTGGGAGGCGTCCGAGAGGCGTCTAGTCTCCGAGGTGCCTGGCAGCAGGCAGCTCGGGCAGAGCAGCGTCTCGCACACGCTGAGGTGCGAGGGGCAGTACCCGGGCGTCGCCGCGTCGACGCACTCCTCGGTGGCGGCGACGGTAGTGGCGGCGGTGAGCGTGGCGCGCTGCGGGCGGAGGGGCGAGGTGAATCGAGGGGAGGGGAGGGGAGGAGGGAAAAGGGACGGCGACCTGCTGCCGCCCGTCGAAGTCCTCGCTCGGCTTCCGGCCGCAAAAGAACTCGGAGGAGGCGGGCAGCGTGAACTGCTTGACGCCGACCGACTCGTCGAGCCACCTGAGCACGAGCAGCCAGCGCAGTGAGGAGACGCCGGTCACACACCCAGAGGCGAGTCGGGCAGCGAGGAAGTGATTGCGGGGGTTGCGGCGGCAGCGGGGAGGGGGTTGTGGTCGCACGTGGCGGAGGAGCGTGTGGGACGCGGCTCGCTGAAGGAGAGGAGGAGGTCGGCGTCTCCCTGGATCGGCAGCAGCACCACCTAGTCTCGCGTCCCCTCGGGGTCACACCTCGGGTCGACTCGGGAGCGCCGAGGCGGCGGCGGCGGCGGCGGCGGCGAGGGCGGCAGCGTGGGCGGCGGCGTGGGCGGCGGAGGGGGGGCCGCGCGCGCCTTGACGCCCTGCATACTCGGCGGCAAGCTCGCGACGTAGTAGACCACCTCTAGCTCCTTGACGTGCCCGTCGGCCCTGCGCGAACGCACCACATGGACGGCAGTGAGGGAAGGCGCGGGTGACTGTGACTGTGAAGATGGGGAGAGGAGAGGAACCCCCCCTTGTGACGGTCGCAGACACTCACGGGTGATGCTGTGCGGCCTCGATCTCGCTCGATCTCCCTCGATCTCGGATGGCCTTGGCCGATCTCGCTCGATCTCGCGATCTCGGCCGAACTCACCCCTCGCGCAGCTTGAGCGGGATGAGGCCGTCCGCCGCGACGGCGGCGGCGACGGCGCCCGCGCCATCCCACTTTGCCGCGTACCACTCCGCAGCGCCATCGTCGGAGGAGATGAAGGAGCCGCACGAGCCGCCGTTCTCAGCGAGCAGGCCCTCGCGCCACTGCGAGCCGGTGACACGCCACTTGCCCGAGCAGAAGAAGATGAAGCGCGAGCTGTCCGGGTCGATGCGGTCCCAGATCGGCTTGCCTTGGATCAGGTCGTCCGAGCGCTTGTACGTGCCCTCACATTTGGCGTACGTGCGTCCGTCCAGCTTGGCGTACTGCGCGGGAGCGCGGGTCTGCGCCGATGCGATCAGGCTCGGCTCGCTGGCGTCGCACCTGGCCGCGGGATGGCGAGCGGAGGCTGATGACCGAGCGTGTGAGGTGTTCGGGTGAGGCAACAGGGGCTTGTCATGGACGTCTCTCTCTCTCCAGCGCTCACTTCTTCGGCTCCCCCACGTCGCACTCCTCCCACTCCACGTCGGGGTAGTCGGTCGTGTAGCACCACGGCCCAGACTCGCGGCCGGTCGGGTTGCGGCAGTAGTTGTGGCCGCCCAAGCCAGCGTCGGGGTAGTCAAAGACGGTCATGGTGTGGTGCCACGGCATCTGCTCGGCCCAAGCCTGCGGGGGCGAGGGGGGGGGGGGGAGGGGGAGGAGCATCGGTACGCTATAGAGGGTCGCGCCGCGGGGAGAGACACGGACCGCAAGCTCCTCGGCTGTGTGTCTGTGAGTCCTCTGCGGGAGGGTGGGGTGGCCGCCCCTTCACCTGGCAGGTCCTTCCAGACTTGGTGTGATCAACTTTGCCGCGGTAATCAGCGCCGTTCGACTGCTCGAAGCACTCGCTCGCGTCGTGGAAGCAGTCCCGGCCCTGCGGAGGCGCGGGAGCCGCAGCTCGTGTGCCAGCCGGTGGCTAACGCGGGCGGGGAGCGGGCACGCACATCCCAGTTGCAAGCCTCGATGTTACACTCCAGGTCGCACGCGCCGTCGTCAATCCACTGCGCACGAGGGAGGCCGGTGCAGCTCACGGGCGTGCCCAGAGTGCGGTGTGGCGGGCCACGGGCCACGCCTCGTTGGGACAGTTGTACACGCAGTTGTCCTCCCACTGCAGACGACGCGGGTCCGTGGCGGCAGCGGCGGTGGCAGCGGCGGTGGCAGTGGCGAGCACGAGCCACTTCATCGCGTCCCGGACCGGGCGACGGACGAGGCGGGAGGGGTATAGCGTCCTGGATAAGCCAGGAAAGCGAGCGCTGCGGGGGTTTTCTCCCGTTACGCGATTGCTGCGCTTCGCGGCAATCGCGTAACGGGAGGCTCGCTGGCTTTTTGTGGCTTTTCGGAGGCTTTTTTGGCTTCTCCCGCCCTCCAACTCTCTTGGCTTTTTTTTTCCTCCTTTCAGCGTAGATCGTCTCTCTTCGGCGCGCTCGAGCACGTTTGGCACCAAGCGGCTTTGATTCTTACGACCCTCACCCGCCAAGGCAGGTGTGCACTCCGCTAGTCTTGTGTGCTCACACCACGACACTCCAGGCTGCCCCAAACAAATGACGTGTGAGTGTTAGAGTTGTTTGGTATTGCTAACAGTGGCCAGGGGCGGGGCTTGCATTTTTGCCGTCGCCAGTCGCCCCCCCAAACGCTACAGCGGGGGCGGCGGCGGCGGCGGGGGCGGCGGCGGCGGCGCGACGGGGTGGGTGGGGTGTGGGGAGGTGCTGCTGTGTGCGCTGCGCGTGCGCGCACCGCACACCATACTCGAGTACGGCGGGAAACAGACGGCGAGGGGGGCGCGGCGGCAGCGGCGGCAGAGCGCGCGCGCGCGGCGCGCGCGACGGAGGGGCGGAGCAGCGACCGCGCGCGCGGTCGCTGCTCCGTCTGTCCCGGAGCGCCGTCTGCGCGGGGTGCGCGTCAGGAGAGGGGGCAAGCGTGGCGGCGCGGGACGCGCGGCGGCGGCGGCGAGCAGCCGAGCGCTCCGTGCGCGGTGAGGCGGCCGGGCGAGGGCGCGGCGGGTGACGGGGGAAGGGAGCAGCCGGGCGACGAGAGGTAGGAGGTGCTCGCCGGCGAGCGCTCCCGCGCCTGCGGAGGGGCAAGGCCTGAGGGCGGGCGGGCGGGCGGGCGGGCGCGGGTGGGGGGGATAAACGCTGCGCCGCCAAAGGAACCAGCGACACTGGCCGCGGCTCGTCGCCACGCGCCGGCTCGGAAGAGGGGCTGTCGGCGGCGAAGCAGAGTGGCACGCCTCGGCGCTCGAGCCGCCGACAGCCCCACTCCTCGACGTGACGGCCGCTCCCGGAGCCAGCCGGTGCGCGCCCGACCCACGCCCCCTCTCGCACCCCTCCGACCCCCCCTGCGCGGCGCACCTATCCGCTGTGCGCCGGCTCGAACGCCTATCGCCAAATCGCGACGTTTGAGCGCAGCGCACGCGTCCCACACGTCACGCGCGCGCAGGAGAGCGTGCGGCACAGCTGTAGCGTGTACTCGCCGAGGGCATCGCGCCGAAAACCCCGCGCATTCCGCCCCAGCAGAGGCTGCAGCCTCTGCGACAAAAACACCACTGTAAAACGGTGAGTACTTGGGGTTGAGTGGGCTTGCTTGCTAGGAGCAAAAATGCAAGAAAAATCTCTCTCTCTCTCTCACCACGACACAACATCAACAACACGACTACATACACTGTGGGTGAACCTTCTTTTCTAGACGGCTAGGATTGAGAGCAGCCTCGCTCTCAATCCTAGAAGTCGAAGGATTGTGAGCAGCAGTCATCGCAATCGTAGCATCTCTGTGCGATTGTGGAGACTACCTTTACAACAAGGCCCACCACCGGCGGCCCCACGACGGCGTCCTCGCCGCCTGGGCGGACGCGATGCGCGCCCCGGCCAACGCGCCGGTCGTGCACGGCGACAAGGAGAAACCAGAGCTCACCCGGCAGTACAACGAGGGGTACAAGGTCGACCTCGCAGAACCCCACGCTGGGCCGGGAGGATGCGATGAAGTAAATGAAGTCAAGCTCTGGACGCCCCTCCTCAAGACCTCCTCGACGGGCGTTGGCAACGCCTCGAGGCTCGAGCGGCGGCACGCCCGCCTCCGTTGGCCACTCCTACGCCTTCGGCAACACTGAAGAGAAGGCCCGCCGCCTAAACAAGGCGCGCGGGCAGCCCGGCCAACCCTTCTCCCACAAGACCGGCCACGGCTACGTCAAGGCGCATCGCGATTTCTACCACGACGCGATCTTTGTCAAGCGCAACAACTTCAACCTGCTGCTCCACGAGACGTTCGGCGGCGGCTTCTCGCCCACCGCCGTTCTCAAGCTGCGCCGCCTCGCGCGCAAAGTCGCGCGCCCCCTCTAGAATGCGCCTGTGGTGTGCCCCATATGTGGCACCCCGGCCTGTTGTCTCACCCTCTGGCTCCCAAGTGCCAAGATCATTTTGGTCGTCACATCGTGATCCCCGACGTCGTCAAATGTCGCTCGCCTGTCCTCCCCCCCATTCTCATCTGGCAATCTCATCTTATTGTCCCATGGGTGTTTGAGGCTGGCTACGGCCACTTGCACTTCGCTCCACAGCCGTCCCGCCACCCCTGCCGTGTGCGATCCCGAATGGTTGGGTAGTAGGGCTAGAGGGTCGCTCTACACTTAGCCTCTGCAGCGAGCGAGCGCTCAACTTAGCCCCCGCACGGAGCCGGGCTCGGACTTAGACCCCCATGGTCGGGGGCCATGAACTTAGACGACATAAGGCCAACTCCGGGTAAAACCGGGTATACCTGAAAAGCTTTCAGGTTTACCCGAAAAATACCTGGACGCGTCCCGACCAACGTTTGCCGCGTGCCGCGCACGACGCCATATCGCCTTCTCCCAGGGCCAGTGCGCTACTTGCGGCGCGCAACGCCTGCTCAAGTACGCGCAACGTACCATATGCTGCCGCTATGCGTGCCTTAAGGCGGCTGCGGCGAAGCGGCGGGCGCGGCATGCCGATGGCAGTGCGGACGATGCGGTTGCGATGTGTTCTGCTTCAAGATCGTGGCGGTGCTTGGCATGCACTTCTGCGATCCCAATCAGCTCATCGCAACGAAGCAGCGCAACAAGCTGGCTGCTGTCAACAAGGCCCTATGCTACCTCACGCGCGGATCGTTCAAAGAGGACCAGCATACACAGGCTTCTCTGACATCCGTTTGTTTGAGCTTGAGGCTATTTGTGAGAACTGTTTGGCGAAGAAGTCGCCGAAGATTGCGCTCAAGAAGCAGCAACGAGAATCGGAAGAGGAGGATGCTGAGGCGGCGATTGCTGAGCATGAGAAGGATCGATCGCCCGCCGCAGGCGAAGAAAATTTGGGGGTTGCGCCGTATCGTTTGTACGTTGATCACGGTGGGAGCCTCTTGGCCCCAGGCCGTCCACGGCCGACTTAGCCGATGTAAGAGGCTCCCGCTGATCTTAGACCGCGCAAGCACTCCAGCGTGGCTAGCCACACTTAGACCCGTTAGGCCTCCAGGCTCAGAACTTAGACTACTACCCAACCAGTCGATCCCGGCCTCACTGTCTTTCGGAATTGTTCGCACACCCACTCGTGCGCGCTCTGACACATGTGTCCGTACGTCCGTCGGTCCACTATATCTCCCTCTTGCTCTTCTCTGTGACTGTGTCCTCTGCCGCACCACTTTTGAGGCGTCCTCCGTGTCGTTATTTCCCAGGTATGCTGTCGCCACTGGACTGCGTCGGCGTATGCGTTGCAGGCTATTCCCACGTGCGATGGCACCCACACAAAGACCACTGCCTCTAGCTTCGATCTATAGTAAGCAATCGCCTCTAGGACTGGCATCCCTTTACGGACGCTGCGCATTCTCAATCTGCTGCAGCGCGGGTTTGCAGTCGCATAGTACTAGACCGTCGCGCCTGCGCGTGTCGCTCGCGCTCGCCACTTTGCGTAGGTATGCGAGTATCGCGTACATCTCCGCGTCTATCACCTCCCACGTGCTCGGCAGCTTTCCTCCCCACATGCCCGCCCCAAAGGCTGTCCGTATCTCCTCTTCTCCACAGGGTCCGATTCCGTTGGGATCCTTTACCTGGGCGTCTCCCGGGACGCGCTTCCCGAATCGTGTCTGTCCTTCGAACACGCCGTACGCCACCCTTGGGTGCGGCGCGTCCGCTGCGCGGGTTATTTTCTGCCGTTACTTCGCTATTTTTGGCCGCGCCGCGAATGCAGAACATCGAGCTCGGAGAGTCGTCCGTCGACGTCGAGCGCGCCGCTCCTTCGCAGCAGCCTGCTTCCTCATCAGCCGACAGCCGCGCCTTGTCGTCGCAGCCTCTAAGCGACGTCGCCGGCAGCAGCGGCGGCGGCGCGGGCAGCAGCGGCGGCGCTGGCGCCGGCGGCGAGTGCGACGGCGGCGACGGCGACGGCGAGTACGAGCTCGATCCGGCGGCGCAGGTCGCCTCCCTCCTCGCGCCCGTCTGCGCGACGATGGCCATCGTCGTCTACCTGCTCAAGACGGTCGACGCCGCCGAGCAGCCCGCCTCCGGCTTCTCCGAGATCATGGTGTACCAGGAGCACTCCTCGGACGACGCGGCCACCATCGCCGGCGGCGTCGCGCTCAACGCGCTCGCGATGGTCGCCCTCCTCTTTGTGGTGACGAGCGGGCGCGTCGTACACACTTCCTAGACACAGCTCGTCGTCGTGCGGGCTCGCCCCGCTCCGCCGCTTGCCACACGCTACCCCCGACCCTGACCCTCGCCCTGACTGCGAGGCTTAACCCTAACCCTGACCCTGACCCTGACCCCGACCCTGACCCTCGCCCTAACCCTAACCCTGCGAGGCTCGTCCTGCTGTACCGCTTCTCCTGCTACGCGGCCATCTACGGCTTTCTGCTCTTCTCGGTCGTGGGTGCCCTCTTCGTCTCTGGCTGCCTGCTGCTGCTGCGCAACGTCCCCAGCCCCAGCCCCCAGCCCTGACCCCGCCCCACCCTGCCCCCCCCAGGCTCGGAGCTGCTCCGCGGCGTGCGAGACGCCTACGACCCGGCCGGAACCCTCCCCGACCTCGCCGTCCTCGCCGCGGCGGGAGCCTTTGCGCCGTTTGGGCGGCCGGCGCCGTCTCCTGGTCCGGCCGGGAGGGGCGCGTCCAAGACACGTCCGCCGTACTTCACACAGGACGGCCGCAGTCTTCTGGTCCGACCTCGGCTGCGCGCGCAGGTGCGGCGCCGACTCGCCTCGCCGCCCTGCAGCCTCGGCTCAACACACGGCGCACCTGCGATGCCGCAACACGGCGCACTGCGGTGCTGAAGGTGCGGCTTCGACTTGCCTCGCTCGCGGCAGACGTCGCTCGTGCTCATCTCGGCGATCACCGCCGACAGAGCGGACCCGAGCCGCCCGCTGGCGCGTCACTACCCACTCGCTGGCTTTGTCTCGACAGGCGGTCATCGCGCACAACCCGACCAGGCTGCAATAGTAATATATAAGAATAATACAACCATCACAGGCGATCATCGCGTACAACCTGACCAAGCTGCCTGAGTGGACGACGTGGGGCGTCCTCGGCGCGGTGGCGCTCTGGGACATCGTCGCGGTGCGAGCGAGGGGCGAGGGGCGAGGGGCGAGGGGCGAGGGGCAGGGGTGGGGGCAGGGGCGGGTGTGGGGGTAGAAGCAAGGGAAGGGTGGGGGTATGGACAGCGGTGGGCAGTACAGCAGCCCGTCCCCGGTGCTCGCCCCCTCGCGGCTGATGAGGAGGAACGAGCAGTTCATCGTGGTCACCAGCAGCCCCCGCCCGGCAGGTGCCCACCCCCCTCGCGGCATAAACACATCACAATATTATGTATTATTCCCCGCCCGGCAGGTGCCCACCCCCCTCGCGGCATAAACACATCACAATATTATGTATTATTCCCCGCCCGGCAGGTGCTCACCCCCCGCGGGCCTCTCAAAGTGCTCGTCGAGACGGCCGAGCAGCGGAACGAGCCCATCCCCGGGCTGGTGTACGAGGGACACGGCATCAAGCTCGGGCTCGGCGACTTCGTCTTCTACTCGCTCCTCGTCGGCCGCGCCTGCCTCTCCTCGATCACCGCCTTCGCCGCCTGCGCCATCGCCGTCCTGGCCGGCCTCTGCGCCACCCTCGCCCTCCTCCCCGTCCTCGAGCGAGTGCTGCCCGCGCTGCCAATCTCGGTCCGGCCCACACCGGCCGCTGAAGCACAGCCTTCCCTCTCTGCTGGCTGCAATCTCAGTCCGGGCCGCCGCCACAGCGCCGCGCCCCGCCGCCGCCCGCCCCTCGCCCGACGCTCCCCTCTCGCCTCCGCGAGGTTGCGGTCGGCATCCTCTTCTACTTCATCTCGTCGTCGCTCATCGAGCCGCTCGCCGCCTTCGCCGCTGACCAGTCGCTCTTCCTATGAGTCATACTATGAGGCTGCTGGGGACGCCGAGTAGCGCTACAGTGTGTTCGGCCATGTGCCCGGGAGGTGCCGCGCGGTGCCGGGAGGATTACTCTGTCAGCGCACAGCGGCGTCTCGGGTCTCGCTCCTCTCGCGGTCTCGGTCTCGGCGCGGCCTCGCTCGCGCGCGTCTCCGCGCGGCACCCGCTGTGGCTGTTATGGCTCGGAGAGAGACGAGAGTCGACATCCTCAGACTCGAGAGAGCGCGACGCCACAGCGGCATGGAGCGATTTTTTGAATCCAGACCACAACCTCGACCTCTCACATATCCGTCTCGCGGGAGACTCTACTGGACGGGCACTCCGTCGTCGCAGCCGTCGGCGAACGGGTTCTGCTGGCACTTGAAGGCCTTCGAGCTTACGTCCAGCCCACCCGCCGCCTTTTGCGGGTCCGCGAAGCCGACGACGTCGAGCTCGACGAGGAGTGACTCGTCGAAGCGCCTGCCGAAGCGCGCCTTTGCGCCGTAGGTGCGTGGCTGAGGGAGGGAGACCTTGTTCTGGCAGGCGAGCTCATTCTCGATGGCGGCGCCGATGTCCGCCTTGAAGACCAGGTTGCCCGACTGTGCGTCCGTCCTCTTCTGCGCGTCGAGGCCGAGCGACTTTGTACCCTCGGCGCACGCGCCAGTCAGGTCGCGCCAGCCTCGCTCGGGGCGCACCAGCACGCGCCTCCGCCCGCCCGGCTTCATGCCGACCAGCGCGTCGTTGACCCCGGCGACCAGGTTGCGGCCCGCGAGCCGGACCTGATCAAGGCAGCCACTCCTTGTGCGGTGCTCCGGCGACTGCAGGCTGCGAGGGGCAGGCCGGCCGCACCGGCAGCGTGTCGCCCTCGCGGTCCTGTTCTCAATGAAACGCTTAGGATTAGAACCACATCGTGCACCGTCCCGTGACTCGCGCCTCGTCTTCGCCGTACCCAAAGGAGAAGATTGTCTGCCCTTCGCCGGACAGGCCGTCGCGCGCCTTGGTCCCGAGCCGCATCACGCGGTACCGGATCTCCACTGCGTCGCCCTCGGCGACCGCCTTGCCGCCCTGCCCCACGGCGAGGTCGCGATACCGGTCGCCGCCTCGGGTGCGCTCGATCGTCTCGTCAGCGCCCTCGGCTGCCTTGGCGCGCTCGCGTTCGCCCAGCGCCTCACACTCGTCGATGCTCTTGCACTTGCGCTCCTTTGGTCCAGTCTTGGGCGGAGGCGCCGAGCCCTTGACGAGAGCCAACGCCGGCGCCGGAGCGGCCGCGGCCGCGCCGAGCAGCGATCCAGCCGCTCCGAGGAGCTCGCGCCGCCGCTGCAACAACGCAGCAGGAGTGGGCGGGAGGAGAGAGGACGAGGCAAAGAGCAGCAACGTCCACATGCGATCTCACTTACAGGATTCGTTTCTTTTATTTTTGGCTTCGACGATATAGGCGATGTCCGCCCCACCCACGCGCCGCTCGCGCCGCCTCCGTCGCTCGCCGCCGCCGCCGCCGCCGCCGCCCCGTCCTCGACCTCCCCACCAACCTCCTCGTACGCGTCCTCTCGCTACAACAGCTCCATCGACATTACTCGCGTCGCGGCCGTCTCGCTCCTCTCTCGCGCCTCGCTCGCGGAGGAGGGCATCCGCTTGCGGGCGCAAAAGAGCGCGCGGCTACGAGCTGCTGGCGCAGCCAGAGAGCGAGGGCTGGGCTGTGCTTGTCTGCGTTGCCGTCCGTTGCGCGTTGGCGAGGGGCTCTCGACCCCGGTTTGTTTGTTGTCCCCGGGGTAAGTCGCCGACCATCCCCCCACACACAAAGACAAAAACACCCCCAGGATGGGACCCCCGGCCCGCTCCTTTTGCCGGATCACAGGCGCGATGAGCGTCGTGCCACCTGACCCGAGACGGGTCGCAGGCGTCGTACCGAGCGCGTCGAGACCGTGTCCTGATGCGCTCTGCACGGGTGAGTCACGTCGGCGTCAAAGGAGCGACGTGTGACCTGTCAGAGCTTGATCTCCGATCTCAGCGACGTCGAGTCGCCTTCGGTGGCGACAGCTAGGATGCATCTCCTCCTTCGTTTTTCGCGCTATGGCCCTGGGAAGCTGGCGGCGCACACAGGCGGACCTTGTGTGTGCGCGGAACGCTTAAGTGTGGGTGCTCTATGTCCATAATGTCAGTGATACTTATGTCACTTTTTTTGAGTAGATAGTGCCGAGCTGGCCGTGACCGCGTTTTTTGCAGTTTTTGTGGTGGGTTTTCCCCGTGAGACTTTTTGCAACTAGTCTCCTTTTGACAGCGTTATCGCACAGTAGCCAGTCCGACTTTGTTACAAGATATGCACTTAGTATTTAGAGAAGTTTCTACACTCGCACCTCAACCTCTCACAGACCAGCGCACAGCGCCATAGGAGGTATTTTCTTCTCAATAACAAGGCTGTGATATCACTTGATCCTAGACGGCGTGTTAAGCTTAGAAGGTAGAGATAGTAGGTCGGGCCCGCCATAGAGTTATGTAATCTCGATGCCGTCTGCGTGTGGGTGATCGTTGGCGTCGGGTGCATACAGAGGGTATCTGCTATACGAGATGGACCCGTCCCCTCCCCTTCGCTACCCTTCGCGTGCGTACGTATCCGCGGATGGGAGGGGCGTACCAAGGCCGCGTGCGCTGCGCTTCCCAGCATGGCATGTGGGGTTGTTGCGGGTCTGCTTTTGTTTAGGTAGGTGCGGCGTGGTGCTCACCTTGTGTTGGTCGGGAGCACATTTCTGGCAGCTTCGACGTCATTCTGCAGCTGCGTCGTCGGCATCGCGATATCAAAGCGAGAGAATGCGAAGCGCGTGGCGTAGCGCGACTCCACCTCATACATGGCCGCCGTGCCCTCGATGGCTCCCTCGGCTTGCGCACTAGTGGCGAAGCGTCCCGCGGCTGGGTAACTGTCCTGCTTCCCATTCCGTGGGACCGAGGAGGAAAAGGACTGCCCTAGCAGACCATGTGGAAAAGTGCGCTCCGGTGCGTTGCCCGGGGCACTGATAGACACGTCGAGGCGATGCCTTGGGCCCGAAATCCGGTCATAGACGTAGCCACCGCGCACGGTGGCGGCCCACGCGCGGACCTGGAAGACGGCGGAGGAGTAGCGCACCTTGATGGACATCTCCTCGCATCGGCGCGTGTGAGCGACCTGTACATTGAAGCTGCCAAAGTAGCCGCAGGTGCCGTTGACGAACCCGTAGCCGGTGTTAAAGTCATTGAGGGCCTCGGCCCAGAACGAGACGGTCGCAAGCTTACCCTTGGCCCCGCCGACGACGGCCACCATGTGCGCCTCCGTGACGATACCGTGTACAAGTATTCCAGCGGTTTCCCAATTTGGTCGGAACTCATTCTGCCAATCTCTCAATCTCCTTGTGATCTCTGTTGAGATCGAACAAACCTAAAAAAAAGCCAAGAGAGGGGTGGAAGGGCGGGAAAAGCCGGCGTAAAAAAAAAAGCTACGGCCGAGTTGGTGTACACTAACCGTGACTATCAAACTATTAGCCTCATGATGTACCATCCAGCGGTGCGACACGCTGAGGCATTTGGGAACGTGCTCGGCGCGCACCACCTCAGAGTAGTTCATTTCCAGAGAGAGATTTTTAGCAATACCAAACAACTCTAACACTCACACGTAATTTGTTTGTCATTTCCATCCATCTGCTTTAGTAAAAAGGGGGCAAAGAGAGCGGAGCGTTCCACCTGGCACCTGCATAGCACGTCTTGAAGGGAACGCCCTCCGAAACGATTCGGACTGCGCAAGGGACACGCCCTCCGCGTCGATCTCGTGTTTTCTGCAGAAAGAATCGCACGGGCCTCATGCGATTTCTTTGGTCCGTTGCCCAGACACATCCATCAGTCTCATGGACCCGCTCTCCTGCGGCGCCCGCGTGCGCTTGACGGGAAGGACCTGCGAGGGCACGGTGCGCTACGTCGGAAAGGCGGACTTTGACTCCGAAGGAACTTGGGTCGGCGTGGAGCTTGACGGCCCAGAGGGTCGGAACGACGGCTCGGTCGGCGGCGTGGCCTACTTCTCCTGCGCGCCTCTGCACGGTGTGTTCGTGAGGCCGGAGAAGGTTCGTCCGGCTGTTGGAGCGCCGCCGCGGGCGCCGTTTGATCGGCCGCTCGCTGGTGGCGGGCCTTCGGAAGCTGCGCCGCCCGCGCCGCAGCCGATGGATATTGGTGATGGGACGGCCTGTCCCGTCTGCACCTTTGTCAACGCGCCGGGCGCCGCCGCCTGCGAGATGTGCGGGACCCCGCTTGCCGCGGCCGACGCGCCGGCGACGGGCGACGCGATGCTGGCCGCCGCCATAGCTGCGTCGGAGCACGAGGCGGACGAGAGGGAGCGGGCGGCGACGAGGAGAATAGCAGCCTAAAGCCTCCCGCACCCACATACCTCCCCACGAGCCGCTCCTGCACCTGCGTCTGACCGACCCCGTCCCCCTCCTGCAGCCCCGCACTACCTCCCCTGCGCGCGTCCGCAGCCCGTGCCCCTGCGCAGAAGCCCGCTCAGCCTCGGCCCCTCCCCAACCATGTGTGTGTACCTCCCGCCAGGCGCGAGCGCGAAGAGGTGCTCGCAGCGCTTCGCGAGTCGCGCGCCGGCGCAGACGCGGGCGCGGAGGAGCTTCAAGAGGAGGTGCGCCGCCAGCGCGACCCCTCCCCACGGACAGGGCTCAGTCCCACCCCCCCAGCGCCGGGGCCCGTCTCTGCCGCTTGAAGGGACCAGCTGGAAGGGACCAGCTGGAAGGGACCAGCTGGAAGGGACCAGCAGACAGGCAGCCAGCCTTGGGCCCTTTTCCCCTCCCGCTTGTCAAGCCCCCCCCCCCCTGGCCGCAGCCCACCCTAGCCGGGGCCCCGCCTGCCTCCCCCCCCCCCCCACCCCACACCCCACCCACCCCACCCGCGCCGCCGCCTGAGCAGGCGCGTGCCGCCGCCGAGCTCGCCTCCCGCCCGCCCACCGCCGGCGCCGGCCCGACGGCATCCTTCTTCGAGTCGCAGCGCGCGGCGGCGCTCCTCCGCTCTGGTGGAGCCGACGCGAGCAGCAGCAGCAACGGGGCGGGCGGCGGGGCGGGCGGCGGGTTCGGCTTCGGCGGCGGGCCGGACGAGACCCTCAACGGCGGCTCCACCGGAGCCGGAGGCACGAGCGGAGGCTTGTCCGCGCCTCGCCCCGCGCCTCGCCCCGCGCCTCGCGGCCGGCAGGGCGGCAGAGGAGGAGGGGTGGGAGGGAGCCGCGGCGGCGGCGGCGGCGGGTTTGGGTACGGTGGCGGGTCGGGGCATTCGCGGCACGCGCCGATGGTGCTCGACTCTGAGGAGGAGGACGAGGACTACGATGATGAGGAGGAGGAGGAGGAGGAGGAGCTGCCGAGCCGGGGGAGGCGGGTGCGGAGGGACTACGGCACGCGGGGCGGGGGGAGGCGCGGGTACAGCGGCGGAGGGCACGGAGGGGGGTACGGGGGGGGAGGAGGGTACGGGGGGGGAGGCGGGTACGTCGACGACGACGACGACCCGATGCTCGCCGCAGCGCTCGCCATGTCGCGAGGCGAGGCGCCGCCGGGGCTGCTCGTGGACGGAGGCTACAACCCCGGCTTCGGAGGAGGGGTGGGAGGGGGGATGGGAGGGGTGGGAGGGGGGATGGGGCCTGGCCCGGCGGCCCTCGGAGGCGGCTTCCCGCCCGGCATGCCCTTCGGCGGCGCGCTCCGGTTCGGAGGGGCGTGGCGGGGCGTGCTCGGCTAGCCCCTCTGCAGCGGTGCGAGGTGGGACGGGTGTGGGACAGGTGTGGGGCATGTGTGGGACGTGTCCTTAGGCTGCCTCTCCTCCGAGGCGATGGACAACCCCTCCCTCTCCGACGGAGACAAGGTGCTGCTCCCGCCCTCGACGCTGCAAGAGATCATGGCCCGCGTCGGGGAGGGAGGCGAGCGGCGCTCTGCCGCCGCGCCACGGCATAGCGCCGCCCTTCCCGACTCCGCCTCCCCCTCCCCCCCCCGTCGTGCCGCGCCCCAGGCATGCCCCACCCGATGCTCTTCAAGCTCGAGTGGGGCGGCGCGGCCCGCCACGTCGGCGTCCTACCTAACTAATTAATTAGGTAATCAACTATTAATTAACTAATTAGGCGCGGCCCGCCACGTCGGCGTCCTCGAGTTCTCCGCGCCCGAGGGCTCGGTCGTGGTGCCGCTCTGGATCATGCGTGCGCTCGGCGCCTAATTCATTCATTCATAGCTAGTGAATTAATTAATTAGGTGCCGCTCTGGATCATGCGTGCGCTCGGCGCGAGTGACGGCGACCAGCTGCAGCTCTCTTCGGCGAGAGGGCGCAGCTGCGCGTGGGGAGCGGCGGCGGCGCCTTGCCGAGGCGTCGAGGGAGCGAGTAGGCGGAGCTGCCGCGCGGCACTTTCGCAAAGCTCCAGCCGCTCGACGACAACTTCGTCGCGCTGTGCGGACACGACGCCAAGGGATCGCCCGAGCGGCCCCTTGGCGCGTGAGGGACACGTCGCGGACATGTCTGGGACATGTCTCGGACGTGTCCTCGTAGGCACGCTCGAGCGGAACCTCTCCGCCTCGCGCGCCACTCTCTCCCTCGGCGACTCCGTGATGCTGCACACCGGGGCGGCGCAGGCGGGGAGGGGCGGGGGGGGGGAGGAGAGGGGGGGGGGGAGGGGAGGGGGGGGGGAGGGGAGGGCCGCCTCTTGGACAGCCACTCTCTTCCTTGCCCCTCGGGGAGCCAGCTCCCCTCTTTGCGGCGGCGAGTCCGTCTCTGACGCCGCCCCGCCGCCCCGCCCGCCTAAGGTCGAGCTCTTTGTCGTGGAGCTCCGCCCCGCAGATGAGGTGCAACCCCCCCCCACACACACACACACAGAGAGAGACGACGCTCGAGGAGGAGGGGTGCCAGCCGTCGGTGAGGATGGCGCATGAGTGAGCAGGTCTGCGTCATCGAGACGGAGCTCGAGGTCGACTTCGCCGCGTCAGTCATCAACGAGGAGGAGCAAAAGGCGGCGGCCGAGGCGGCCGCAAAGGCGGCGGCTGAAGCCGAGGCGGCTGCGGCCGCCGCCGCCGCCGCCGCCGCCGCGCAGGCGGAGGCGGAGGCGCACGCTCGCCGGGCGGCCGAGGCGGCCGAGGCGGCGGAGGCTCTCCCTGCCGAGCCTGCCGCTGGGCCAGACGCGACGACGGTCCTCGCCGGCTGCTTCCGGACGGGACGCGGCCGAGACATGTCCGGGACTCGTCCGCGCCGTGTCCCCGTGTGTAGGTGCTCGCGCGGCTGCCAGACGGGAAGCGGCTGAGCCGCCGCTTCCCGAAGCAGGCTCGCCCCTCAGCCACGTGCGGACTTAACTAATTAATTGACTAACTAACTATTGATGAATTAATTAGGCGCCCCTCAGCCACGTGCGGACTTCATTAATTAATTGACTAACTAACTATTGATGAATTAATTAGGCGCCCCTCAGCCACGTGCGGACTTGGGTCACCGCCGCTTCGCCGGAAGCGGCGGCCGCGTGCCCCGCCGGCCTCGAGCTCGTCTCGAACTACCCGCGGCTGGTCGTGGGCGAGGCAGACGCACCGCTGTCGCTGCTCGAGGCGGGTCTCCACCCGCAGGTCGCCCAACCCCCAGCTCCTACCCCCCCCCCCCCCCCCTTCCCCCCCCTCCCTCCTCCCCCTCCCCCCTCCCCCCCGCTCACCCCCGCCCCGCCTTCACGCAAAGGCAACCTTCTTTGTCCGCGAGGCGGCCAGCCCGGAGGCCGCGTGACGCATCGAGAGGCGGACGGCGCGGCGTCGGGCCGCATCGGCCGCTCGAGACTCGCCACGCCGTCCTGCATGCCGGACACGTTCTTTTCACAGGCAAGTCCCGATTTGTGGGTTTGTGCGGCTTTTGAGAGAGAGGGCGAGACCGTGTGAGCGCGTGCGCGAGCGGACTTTGCGCGGGCGGCCTGCCGGTCTCTTGTCTCTTGAGCGCTCTGGTCTGCCTCTCGCCGCCGGTGTCTCGCACTCGCTCACTCGCTCTCGCGACTCGCCGTCTCGAGCCTTTGTGTTCTCTCTCCTCTTCTTGTTTGGTCGTGTACAAGAAAGTACTCGCTTTTGCGGACGGCGAGGTGATTGTGGATCCCCACTCGGCCACACTGGCTGAGTCTCGCCGCTCGTCGGGTCGCCCCCGCCACGCAGCGGCCCGCCCTGGCCCACGCAGCGCCCAGGGCAGGAACTAGCGCGCGTTGATAGATAAATGCGTCGCGCTCCTGGAGCTGCGGCGGCTAGTCCGGGCGGTAGCCTGCCTGGGCGATGGAGGAGCGCGGCGTCATGTCGAGGACCCGCTTGCCGCGGTTGTTCGCGACGTCGCGCGCGGACACCATCCGCTGAAGCGCGTTGAAGATGCAGCGCGTCTGGTTGATCTTGTTCTTGGAGCCGTGCACCTTGACGGAGACGTCGGTGATGCCGAAGGCGTTGAGGATCTTCCACATGAGCCACGAGCAGCGCGTGCCTAATTAATTCATCACATCATTAAGGACCTAATTAAGTGATTAATCACCACATGAGCCACGAGCAGCGCGTGCCCGACCCCGCCCGCCGCATCAGGACGACGCACTTGGTCCTTGCCCACGTGTCCTCCATGTCGTGGAAGATGGTGCGGCCTGCTCACAGCTTGGGCGAGTGATCCGGCGACCTCTCCGCAAGCAGCGCGTGGCGTGCGAGAGAGGCGGCCGTCGAAGCGGTCCACGTGCAGCAGCTGCTTGCGCGCCGCCTTGCACGCCTTGACCAGCGCCTCCGTCGCCTCCTCGTCCTTGCCGAGGCCGAAGCCCGCGCTGCCGGCTCCATTCCCAACCACTGCGAGCACAGAGATGGAGCGCTTCTTGCCCCCGCTCGTCACCTGCGACACGCCGTGCGCAAGACGGTCGGTGTCTCGCAGCTGTCTCGCAGCTGTCTCGGGAGTGGCTCGGGAGTGGCTCGGAGGTGCTCGGAGGTGCTCGGAGGTGCTGGGAGCTGTCTCGGGAGTGGCTCGGAGGTGCTCGGAGGTGCTCGGAGGAGTCCAGGAGGTGTCTCGGAGGAGTCCAGGAGGTGTCTCGGAGGCGTCTCAAGGGGGTGCGCCGCCTTTGACACGGCCCTCGTGTGCAAGACGTGCGCGAAGAAGCCGCCGGGAGGGAGGGCGCCCGCCTCGCGCAGCCGGACCGAGTCGAGGAAGGAGGAGACCATCGACAGGTCCCCCGACCCGCCGTCGTCGTCCAGACCAAGCTCGTCCAGGTCCAACGCCTCCCTCCGCCCCTCGGAGCCGGGAGGCGGGTACCGCGCCGGCGCGGCCAGTGCGGCGGGGCCGAGCTCGTCGAGCAGGCCAAGGAGCTCGGCGCGTCGTCGAGCGGAGACGGCGTCGTCGCTCAGCAGCGCCTCACGCACCGCCTCGAGCTCCTCGGCCGCCTGGCCCCGCCCGCCGTCGCGCCCCTCACCACCGATTGCCTCGCCCACCGACTCGAGCGAGTCGTCCAGAAGGAACTCGAGGTCGTCGTAGTCGTCGCGAGGGTCCTGCGCAGCCGCCTGCGCCACCGATCGGAGGGGCGATCTCCGCCGTTCGGACCGTTTGTCGCCCTCAAACGCCACCTCCTGCGCAAACTCCTGCTGCGTCGCCGCGTTCCACTTGCTCCAGAACCCCCCACGCCGGTCGCCCTTGCCCGCCCCGGACGGCCCGGCCATGCCGCGCGTCGGCGCGCTGGCGACGAGCGCGCGAGCACGCGCCAGTCGGCTCGCGCCCCGAAACACTTGCGACATAGCAAATAAGAAAGCACGCACTCGCACTCCCATCCCTCAGTGGAGTTGGGATTCCACCGTGCACCGCGCTGCGCGCCTTTCGTGTCCCTTGTCAGGAGCAGGAGAGCCCACCTGTCCCCCTGATCGTCCTCCAAAATCCTGCTCGTGCAGGTGGGGACGACCCTGTCCTCCTCCCCCATCCCTCGTTTGGGTCGGCTGTTTTCTTTCTTTCTTTTTCCCACATCCCTCCCCGGGTTTCTATTTTCTTTTTTCTTTTTTGCACACTGGCGACTCGCCGCTTTCCTCCCGCTGTGATTCTGTGTGAGCTCTGTGTCTTGATTTGCCAACAATACACTAAGACTGGCACAAACAGAATGTTGCGGTGGTGCTGGCACTCGAGGACTCGTGACTGCTGATGACAGTTGACAGACCCCAACCCCCTCTCTCTGAGCTATTGTCGTCCGTTGCTGCTGGCCTGCTGCTGCTGTGCTGCTGCTGCTATCGGCAAACACGGGAACATACTCTCGGCCGGTTGTTCACGCCCGCCGCCTTCTCGCAAACCCCCGCGTGTGGCGTGGTGGGTCGCGCGAAGAGGTGGAGACTCGCGGCTCTGCGCCAACCCATGCGGTGAGGAGCGTTGATCATAAAGGTGCATATCAAGTTCGACGGACAGCAGGACCCGCCTCCGCTCTCACCGCACACCGCCACCCGTCGCCGCGAAACACCTGACACCACACACCCCACCACCGACACTGACCGACCGCGGCGCGACATGATATGTGCTAAACGAAAGAGGCAAAGCCAATGCGCTTTCTACCGATGCAGGCCTACCGCAGCGGCGAAGAACCAGTGACTCAGCAGAAGCCGCCAAGGCTCCAGGTGGTCACTGCTTTGCAAGGCACTTGCCGACTCGGCGATAGCTCAAGTTTATCAGATTCCGAGAGCGGCGGCCGTGAATCGGGACGGGCTGTGTTTCCAAAGAGTCGTGTCGCCTTCTTGCGGGCTCGCTCTTGATCAATGAGTGCAACGGAGCGCTCCATAGCTCCCACGCGACCGGGAGGAACCCCGTGCCTCCTCGAGTTGCGTGCCGCGGAACGGAGCTGCATCTCCGCCCGCAGCCTGTGCGCTTTGGCCGCCTCATGTGGTTCGCCCCCGGTCGTCACGTTCCACCGCGCCTTATCCCTCAGCGCTGGATGAAGTGGGGCCGATCGTAAAATGCTCAACGCCGGCGCTGAGCGTGCGATGTGCCGCTCCGTGTACTGCAGTTTGCTTCCCCGGCCAATATATTGGGAGTCGGAGTTGCCATCACTTGCCTCCAGCACTTCAGCACGGTGGTCGTAGTCGAACCGCTTGAGCGAGTGATACTTGGACAATTGGTGCATCATCGGTCGCTCTGGAAACGGAACAAAGTTTTCTGGCAGTGTGGAGGAGTTCCAGGAGGGCTTGGAGAAGCCAAGGAGGTCGGGACGCTTGGACGCTTTGACCTCTGCTTTGGCTCGAGCGGCTTCAAGCGGCATCGCGTGCTCGTCGAATACAGTCTTGTCTAATGCAAAGTCTATTTTAGCCCGCCAGCCGCGGCTGCGCTCGAAGCCGGCGCCCATTGCGCGCGGCGCCCGTGAGTGGTCGTCCGTGTGAGACACTGGTGGTGGGTGAGAGATCAAGCCTCAAAGGCGTAACGGTTGCTCTCTTAGGGGACCCTAGGGTTCTGAGGGCCGGATTTTCTGGCAGCGTCGGCGCCGGCCTGCTCCCACGCTGGCCACGCATCATGCTGCGCTTCGCGAGCAATCGCGTAACGGGAGGCTCGCTGGCTTTTTGTGGCTTTTTGGGCGGCTTTTTTGGATTCTCCCGCCTTCTTAGATCTTACTACTCTCTTGGATTTTTTTAAGACCTTTTAAGAAACGAGGAGGTTTGGGGGCTTAACTTGCCATTTAAGAGATTGCAGGCACGGGGGGTGGTCCCTCTTTTAAGACCATTTAAGAAAATCGGCCTCACCGGCATGCGTCGCTGGGTTCCGCGCCGTTTTCTCCAATTGTCCAATACTGCCGTTATTGGGCACAAACCCGCCTCTGAAGACACATCTGTAAGTCTGGTGCACTGGCAGGAGCCATACTCGCATAGGGGACGCGTGCTAGCTGACTGTAGCCAGCTTCCCGGCCTACGGCGTCTACCGCGTACCGGGAGCCTCCCGGACCATCGACCTCGGCCGATGACACGGGAGCTCTCCCGCACCGTTTAAGCGTTTAAGACCGTTTAAGGATTCGGCGGCCCAGGCAGCCTTAAAATGGGCCTAGGCCCGTTTTAAGCCGTTTAAGCCGCAGGCGCGCCAGGGCTTCCTCGCGACGGGTTGGCCGGACGGTGCCGCGCCGCCGCGTGCGGGGCCACGAATGGTTGGGTAGTAGGGCTAGAGGGTCGCTCTACACTTAGCCTCTGCAGCGAGCGAGCGCTCAACTTAGCCCCCGCACGGAGCCGGGCTCAGACTTAGACCCTCATGGTCGGGGGCCATGAACTTAGACGACATAAGGCCAATATCCTACAACATAAGGCCAACTCCGGGTAAAACCCGGGTATACCTGAAAAGCTTTCAGGTTTACGAAAAATACCTGGACGCGTCCCGACCAACGTTTGCCGCGCACGACGCCATATCGCCTTCTCCCAGGGCCAGTGCGCCACTTGCGGCGCGCAACGCCTGCTCAAGTACGCGCAACGTACCATATGCTGCCGCTATGCGTGCCTTAAGGCGGCTGCGGCGAAGCGGCGGGCGCGGCATGCCGATGGCAGTGCGGACGATGCGGTTGCGATGTGTTCTGCTTCAAGATCGTGGCGGTGCTTGGCATGCACTTCTGCGATCCCAATCAGCTCATCGCAACGAAGCAGCGCAACAAGCTGGCTGCTGCCAACAAGGCCCTATGCTACCTCACGCGCGGATCGTTCAAAGAGGACCAGCATACACAGGCTTCTCTGACACGCGTTTGTTTGAGCTTGAGGCTATTTGTGAGAACTGTTTGGCGAGAAGTCGCCGAAGATTGCGCTCAAGAAGCAGCAACGAGAATCGGAAGAGGAGGATGCTGAGGCGGCGATTGCTGAGCATGAGAAGGATCGATCGCCCGCCGCAGGCGAAGAAAATTTGGGGGCTGCGCCGTATCGTTGTACGTTGATCACGGTGGGAGCCTCTTGGCCCCAGGCCGTCCACGGCCGACTTAGCCGATGTAAGAGGCTCCCGCTGATCTTAGACCGCTCAAGCACTCCAGCGTGGCTAGCCACACTTAGACCCGTTAGGCCTCCAGGCTCAGAACTTAGACTACTACCCAACCAGTGGGCCACGCACAGTGCCTGGAACCTGCAACCTGGCCATCGCCCACATCGAGCTGTGAGGGGCGGCAGTCGAGGATGCGCACTACTCCTTTGCTCCCCACCCTTTTAAGCCTAGGGGTCCCCTAAGGTTGCTCTTACACTTTTCTTTCGCCCACTCCGCAATGTAGAACCCATCTCCCTCATGCCATCTCTCTCCCCCTGCTGCTCTCGACGGGTAGCCCGCGTGTACAAGACCTTGCACAGCTCTCTCGAGTCTCGTCGCGCTCTCTCCCCCGCCCCACCAATTTCGTGGGGCGGGGCACCAATAGGTAGTCTGTGATTGCTGATGCCGCGATATTCGGACTCGTTCGCGAGCGCGTCGGTTAACTTGACGGAAGAGCATCCTCACCGCTCCTCGCTGCTCGTGCATTGCATCCGGCGGCACTCGCCACCATCACGAGGTGCGGAGGATCTGCGCCACGACGCCGGGCCGCGCGTCGAGCGCGCGCTCGAGGTGCTGCATCGTCTCCATCGCCTCGTACTCCGAGCCGGGCGCGAGGGCGTCGCAGCAGGCGGACAACACCGACGCGTCGATCTCGGTGTTGGAGTAGAGCTCGCCGACGGCGGAGGGCTCGAGCTGCAGACAGGCGCGCAGCTCGGCAGAGCGCTCGAGCTCCGCCTTGGCGTCGCTGCTCCGCGAGCCGAAGCCCTCAGTCAGGTCGAGGAGCCAGCCGTAGTACGCGTCGAGGGCGAGCTTCCGCGCGAGCGGCTCCGGCAGGCCCAGCTGGGTGGCGGCGGCGTCGAGCGCCTTGCGCTCGCTCTCTCCGTACTGCGCCGAGGCGAGCAGCCGGTCGAGCCTGTGGGGAAGGGGGGGGGGGGGGTGAGAGGAGGGCAGAGGCGCGGCGGCTGCGGCCGTCGCGGCGCTCCGGCTGCAGTAGTCGTCGCGAGCCGCCTTGAGGGCTACTCTCGGCTACTCTCGGCTACTCTCGGCTACTCTCGGCTACGCTCGCTCCGGCTGCAGTAGTCGTCGCGAGCCGCCGTGAGGGCTACTCTCGGCTACTCTCGGCTACTCTCGGCTACTCTCGGCTACTCTCGGCTACTCTCGGCTACTCTCGGCTACTCTCGCTCCGGCTGCAGTAGTCGTCGCGAGCCGCCTTGAGGGACGGAGTGCCGAGGGCGAGCATGCTCTGCAGCAGCGGCAGCGAGGAGGCGAGGTTGGCGCCCGTGCCGGAGAGGAGGCGCTGGGCCGCCTCCTCGAGGCCTGCCAGAGGGGGGGGGGGGGGGGGGCAAAAGAAAAGGGCGGAAAAAAGGGGGGGGGGGGGGGGGCTTTTGCAAATTTCCCGGAGAAAAACGGGTTTCTGGGGGGGGCCCATTTTCCCCCGGCTCGGAGGAGAGGGCGCCCAAATACCGCTCGGCCAAGTCGCGCGCGGGCGCCTCCCCAGACCAGCCCGCCAGCTGGACGAGCGATCCAACCAGGTCGGCCCAGCCGGTGAGCTCGAGCAGCGCTGAGGTCGCCTCGTCGTCGCGCCCGGCAGCGGCGAGGCGCGCCTGTCACGGGACACGTCCACGACGCGTCCAACGACACGGCCACGAAACGGCCACCACCCGCCCGCCGCCCCCCAAGAAAGAGGAGGGAGAGGCAGGGGGGGGGCGGCGCATGGACGCGTCCCAGGGAGAGGAGGGAGAGGAGGGAGAGGCAGGGGACGGCGCGCCGCATCCTCGAGCC